TGAAATAATATTAATAAGGGAATATATTAGGCATTCCGGAAGCAAAAATCCACTAAAATATTAATTTTGAATTTTAATTTTAACTTATTATTTTCAGTCTCCTCCTGAACAGCAACAACACATTTTATCCAAATCAAGTCAATACAACAACATACAACAAGGTCTTCTAGCATTTGTTAACCGACATCATCAACAGCAACATTTACTTCAACAATCTTTACAGCTTAATGAAACGTCTTCAACAGCTCCTTTTTGCTCCGAAAGTTCTTCAACATTAATTCCTTCCTTTGGAAACATTACAAGTCCAATAACAACAACTACTTCTCCCTTGTTAAAATCATTTTTTACGAACACTTCGGGGAATATATTAAATCTAGGAAGAGGAACTATTGTCTCTCCTCGTCATCATCAACAACAAACAATTATTGGAAGCCAAAGCTCTACAAGTACTTCTTCACAATCACCCCCTTCTCCATCAACTAATGAATTTGTTGGAAGTAGCAACAGTTTTTTGGCACATTTGTTAAATAGAGAATTTATGGGGCAGAATTATAATAATCAACTACAACAACATTCAGATATGGCTACAGATTTTGTTGTTGGATTGCAGGTACTTGTGATTTCTTAAAGCTTAAAACTAGAGGTCGGATAGGGACGAGATCTGTTATGTCGTTAAAATATTTCCCTAAATATCGAGAGCTCATCTCGATTGATCCTCAAGTCCTTCCTCCTTTATCTAATATGAATCTTATAGAATGCCCACAATCATCAACAGCAACAACAGCAATTATTAATGGTTGATTTAAACAACCAACACCATCAACAACATTCTTCAACTACCGGATCTTCGCGTGATTCAACAATTTCCGTCAACGCTGTATTGCCTGCTACAACATCAACAAACATTTCAATACATCCCCCACAAAAACATTCTTTAATTAGTTCAGAATTAATATTTGAGCATACAGATCAACCATTGATAGATACACAAAGTGTGATATTTGATTTGCCTATTCCTGCTAGGCCTTCTTTGGATAAAAATGGAGAAGGAAATAAAGGAAATGATGCTTCTTCTCAAGATCATAAACAAGCATTGGGTTATATTTGTGAAAGTGCTTCTCGTCTTCTTTTCCTATCCGTTCATTGGGTTAAGGGAATATGCGCTTTATCAGACAAGTAATATACGTTTATAAAAATATATAAGATTCTTCGTAATTTTGGAAAAAAATTATTCGCTATAAATATCTAAAATTAAACTTTCCGGAAAACTTTTGCGTAATTATTTATGATTTTCCTGAAATTAATTCAGGAAATAAATATATTTTCAGGAAATACTATTTAAAATACTTCCGGAAATGTAATAATGTATTTTTCCGGAATTTAATAATTTTCCGGAAATTAATTCAAGCTTATTTTCAGACATTCACTAGTAGAATGGTTGATGCGTTTAAGATGGTGCGACCTTTTTATTATTGGTCTTTGCCAATGTGCTCAGGAGTTGGATCTGACTTCAATGCTTCGCAGCATTCAGGATCATCTTGGCAGTCTCTTAAAATATGGTACATACTAGAAAAAAATTTTTTATAAAAAATTCATATCAATTATCATTTTTAATAATTTAAAGGTAATCAAATTAATCGTGATCATTATGACAAATTATGTTCTCAAATTAACCAATTACTTAATCTAGAAAAGCGTATAAGTAATCTCAATTTATCAGCTACAGAATTTGCTTATATGAAAGCTATTGCTTTTAGTACTGAAGGTTTACTTGAAGATGGTGAATATTTTTAAAATTTTTGTGAAAAAAAATAAAAATTATTTTTAGCTCAATTTCTACCATTTTTGCGCCAGTTTAATTCTCGAGCTTGCCAAGAGCTTTTTGCTCATACTATTGCTGCCTTTACTCATTCAAATAATTCTCAACATTTTTTTGTTGAGGAGAAACAGCGATCTAATTCTGAAGAGCCTCCAACAAAGAGGAAAAAGCTTCTTACGTGTACCAGCAAGAATGGCAATGAAGCGACAAATTTTTGCTTACCCGAAGCTGCTTCAATTACTGATAGACAGCATACTAGAAGCAAAAGCAAAGATATTAATAATGCTTCTGAGGAAAGACCTCAAAGAAGTGAAAGTGAACCAGTCGATTCCTTAACGAGAATAAATCTAGAAAACGAGAACAAATCTCAAAAAACGCCTGAGGCAACAATTCTAAAAGGAAAAATCCCTTCAATAGCAGATAATCATTTAACTTCATTAATTTCTGCAATAGAGAGGCATTCACAACTTCTTCAGTTATTACCTATTTTGCGCTTATTTAATGAACAATTAATTGTAGAATTATTTTTCAGGTATAAATATTATTAAATAATAAGTATTATTTCCGGAACTTAATAGTATATAATAATTCCGGAAATAGTTTAAATAATATATAACATTCCGGAAAGTTTTATAATGAATTGTTATTTTCCGGAAATAATAAAATTCTGATATACATGTTTCCGGAACATATTAAATAATATTCATATTTTCCGGAAGGTTTATATAAAACGATGTTATTATTTTTCCGGAAAGTTTATAACAAAAAAATTTTCCGGAATTATTAATATTAATAAATAGAATACATGTTTTCTAAAGGGTTCCGGAAATCTAGCATATAACTTTAAAGTTTATTTTAATATAAAATTAAATTATTTTTAAATTTAAGTGGACTAATTGGCAGTCTTTCGATAGAAACAGTCGTATGTTTTTTATAAATAAACAAAAATTAAATTTATCTATTTTTAATTTTTCCCCACAGATCCCTTTTATTTTAAATACTGACACTGAACAAATATTTGAACAACGTAAAAATCCTCCACAACCTCCCCCTCCTCCACCACCACCACCGCCAACATCCCAATCCTCTTTTGCTTCTTCTCTAAAAAATCAAAATAATCCAGCTTATTTTTGTTGCAAAAAAGAACTGAAAGAAGAATTAGAACGGGACTAGAAAATGATTTTCGAGTGAATATTTTGTTAGGATCAAACAAAAATTATTTTTTAATATAGGTAGATTATTGGACCGGTTTATATATTTATTTATATATTTTTTTCGAGAAATTTTATTCATTTTTTCCTCCCTTATTTCTGTTAAATAGGTGGTACAGCCTAGTGATTTTCCCTAAAAATATACTACTAAATTTTGAATTTAAATTTGTGAAAAAATTTCTTTTTGTTTTTGGAACGCCCAAATCCCTTCCTTTTTTAAATCCATATATGTATAAATATATAAATTTATTTTTAAATTTTTATTTTATTTTTAGTCCAACGATTAAATACGTATATTTTTATTCAAAAACTAGATTTATATTTAACTTTGTTGCGAAATTTTTTTAAAAAACATTTATATTTCCCTTACAATTTTTTGATATTTTTATGTTAAAAAATAACTTTCAAAATATTTTATTTTTGAATGTTAAAAATTTTAATTTTTAATTTTTGTTTATATTTTTCTAAAATATTTTTTATTCGTTGTTCAATTGTCAAAAAATTATTTTTTTAATTTTTTCAATAATTTCCAAAAAAAAAAATACCCGTAACAAAGTTAAACATAATATTTTTTTTATTTTTAATAATTTTTTTCTTCGTTCCTCCTATATGATCATCTCCCTAAAATCATTCACACTCGTGCTTTCAAATTATATTTCTTCAATGAATCTGGTGTATAACACATAACTTCTTTCACATTTAATATTTTTTTCTTAATTATCTACTAAAATAATTGATTATATGGTAAAAATATTTTCTTTTATTAATTATAAAATTAGAAACTTCACAAAAATTAAAAAAAATTTCATTTTTAAAGTTCAAGCAGTACACAATGTAGATGAACACTTTTTCGTAAAGTACTGCTTGAACTCTTTGATTTTTTTCTTTAACTCTTTTATTTTTAAATATTTATTTTATTCGATTTTTAATTAAATTCTTTTTTTTTCTTTTTTTCCAACCAGCTTTTTATGCGTGCAATTTTTACATTTTTGTCGCAAATACAATTATATCACACAAACATAAATTTAAACTTTTTTTTATTATTTTCTCCTTTTAAAATCAATTAAAAAATTCTTTTAAAACTTTTTTTTATTCAATTTTAATTTTTATACTTTTTCTTTATTTTGTTAAAATAAAAAAAAATTTTTTTTGAAAAAAGAAAATGTATTTCTCATTTATTTTATTTTTATGTGTAATATTTTCACTGATTTTATTAAATTTTTAGGAAATTTATTTTTCTTTGTAAAGTTTATTCAACAAATTTATTTGTGTAGTGCTTTCCGGAAACTTAAGTTTATTTACTTGATATTCTGAAATAATGCTTTCCGGAAATATAAGGACTTAAGTTTATTTACATGCATACTCTCAAATAATCCTTTCCGGAAACAAGCTTATATTTTAATATTTCCGGAAACTTAAGTTTATCGTTTGATTTATTTATTCTGAAAATTAAGTTTTCCGGAAACCTAAGTTTATTAACCTGATTCTTTAACGTTTTCCGGAAATATAGATTTATATTATAACTATGTATAAAATCAGAATTTGACCCAAGTGCTTTTCACCCTCCATTTTTTTATGTTATTCATTTAGTATGGCTAGTTTTTTTCTTATTTTAAAATTATTATAAATTGATTTTAATTTTTAAATTTTATAAGTTAATTGAATAAATAAATGATGGAGTTTTTGGAGAATTATTTTTAGAAATTTATTTTTTAATTATAATATGTGCAATCTTTATTAGTAATAATTATTTACCAAACTAATTTTTGTAAAAAAAGCAAAAAAAAATTATTTGAGGTCGTAGCTGTATGTGATAGTCGCCGAATTTCAGTCATGGTCAATTATTTTGAATTTTTTATTTATTCCCATTATTCCCTTTAATTTTGAAAAATCATTCTTTGGAGATTATTTTTTCAAAATAATTTTTAAAAATATTTATAGATAAGATGAACAATAAAAATAATTAATTTAAAAAAATCTGTAGAATATCAGCAATAAAAGGAGGAATGAATAATAACTCAAATTTTTTATTAAAATGCTTTCCCAAATTTTTTACAGTTTTACCGTTATTATTATTACTAATTTTGGTATTTAATTAATTTTTAATATAATACTAATTAAGATTAATATTTTAATTTCTTTAAAAAGTTACTTGGCGATGATCCCATTTCTATACAAATTGGATTCGTAGGCAAAGTAGATGCCCTTCCACCAAGTGAAATCTGCGATAATTGTCAAAAGTATATTTTTATGAAATTTTTATTTGAAAGAATACATGATTTTCGGAAAATCATTTAACGAATATAACTTTCCGGAAAGTTTATAATTTCCGGAAAGTTTATAATAAACCATTTTTTTGGAAAAAATATATTTAAAAATAATTCGTTTCCGGATGATTTACTACATAAATACTTTTCCGGAAATAATTTTCCGGAACTAATATACTTTTCCGGAAATAATTTTCCGGAACTAATATACTTTTCCGGAAATAATATAATAAATCATTTAAACTTTCCGGATGACTTTTTCTGAATTATTTAGAGTTATTTTCTATGCTTTTCAACATTATCGTCAATCAAGTACCAAACGTCTACTTAAACATTGGATAAAGCATTTATGTAATCGTTATTTTGAGGTATAATTTTAGCCAAAATTATCACAAAATTTGACCAATATTTTCAGTACCGACGCCGTTGTCATTCCAAATTGGTGCATAATTTTCGCGAAATTTGGAGTGATATGGAAAGCATTCTTGATACAAGTCAACGACAGAGACTTAGGCACTATAATGAAGTTGATACAAAATTTAAGCCATACAAGACATGCGAAAAATTGAAGGGTATTAAATTAATTTATTATAGCAAATTAATTTTTTAAAAATTAGAATGTGGAAAAGAACAATCGCCTATTGACTGGACAAAAGGAAAACAAATTTCTGTAGAAAATGAATCGTGGACAGAAATAACTCCCAAACAAAATAGCGATGAAGTTTAAATGTTTTTAAAATTAAACGTTATTTATGTAAATATGTATTTATTTAATTAATAAAATACAGGGTTTCAGGAATACTATATATAGTATAAGCTATAATAAACTTTATAATAAAACACTTATCTCCGGAAATAATATAACTAACAACGAAATACATGCCTTCCGGAAAAGTATAAAATAAATATAACTTTCCGGAAAGTATATAATATAACATTATTTTTCCGGAAACTATTACATAGTATCGTATCATTAACAACAAGCAACTACTTTCTTAAAATCTATTCTTGAATCCAAATCTGTTCTTCTTTGTATTGCATGCTTCATTCTCTTCTTTGGATGGTCTTTATGATAATGCGGTAGGAAAGTCTTTTCATCTTAAAAATAATTTTCACTTCAATTTTATTTTTTTACGGTTACCTTTATTATTTTCACTCCACCTCTGATATTCACTATTAACATTTAAAATATTAAAAACACTTTGGTCTTGTCTATGACAAACTCCAATTAACCCTAACATGTGATCATTACAATAAAGCGCTGAAGAAGCTGGCTCAATACATTCTTGAGTAGCTGCACAGAGAAGAGCCCTTTTATTCAAATTTAATTTTTCATTTTTATTTACTAACCATTTAAGAAATTTTCTTGTATATTCGCTTTTATGGAATACAAGTAAATTAGCTTCATACATGTTAGAATCCCATTTTGAGCTTGCATTTATCCAATCGGTAATCATTGGCAAATAGGAATACATTCCTATAATTAGGTCAGGAAAAGTAACATGATTATAAACATTTCTGAAGGTTACATATATTTACTTATAGCTTTGCCGGAAAAATAACATGCTTTTAATATCTATTACTTATATTTATATTTTCCGGAAAACATTTATTTGCATAAATTAATATATTCCGGAAAGAAAAATATATTTTATTAAAAACTTTCCGGAAAACAAATATTTTCAATACTAATTAAATAGTTATATTTTCCGGAAAACCCTTATGTTTTATTATAAACTTTCCGGAAACCATTGTCTTCAATATTAAATAAATATTAATATTTTCCGGAAAAACATGTATTTCCATAATTAATATTTCCGGGACTAAACTATATTCTATAATAAACTTTCCGGAAGTCATCTTTTTTCATTATTATTTAGGTAGTATTTTCCGGAAAACCCTTATGTTTTATTATAAATTTTCCGGAATCTTATATTATATTCTCTTACTTGGGTTCGTAGCAAAGCGAATACCATGGTGATTATCTTAAAATTGTATTTATAATTTATTTAATAAAATTCTTTTTTAACCACTAGGAAGAACAACGGGTGAAATACTCCCGTTTTCAATAGAGTCAAATAATGGAATTAAAGCAGAAGCTTCTACAAATTGTATTGAAGTATCACACCAAATAAAAGTGTCAAACTCTGAGAATATTTGCTGAAAATTAATTTTGATTTTCTTTTAGATAAAATAATTATTTTAAAATAATATACAGCCATAATAAAAATTTTCCAGGCAAAGAATTGTGAGGAATGTACACTTTTAGGCATAATATTCCAATCAAATTTTCTCCATTCCAATTCACAAACTAAATCTATTTCTTTTTTCTATTAAAATTTAAAATAATTTTTTAAATTATTTTAAGAACCATTTTAATTTCTTCGTTAATTCCACCCAAATCAAATCCAATAATTTTTTGTTTGCAACCAAATACTCGCTTTAAATTTACCAAAACAGTTCGAAGATAATTAAAGAATGATTTATTTGAGCCGACAACAAAAACAAAACCTTTTTCACCTGGTCTTTTGACCTTTAAATTTATTTTTTTAATATATTAAAATATGTTTATTTTTGACTCTAACCCTGTAAGTTGATTTTTGTCTAAAATAAATTCAAAAATAATATTTTAAAGTTCAAGCAGTACAATCTGTAGACGAACAGTTATATGGGATGTACTGCTTGAATTATATTATAGCAACTTTTTTTTAGTTTTTGAATTTTTAAGTTTCTTTAAACTTTTCAACCTATTTTTTCCGTCATCAATTTCATTTAAAAATAAACCTACCTTAATTTTCTTTTTTAAAGTAAATTCATCAGATAATTTATATTTATTTAATAATTTAATAAATTCATAATTAAATTCCTTTCCATATATTTTGTTTATTGATAAATTGTTAAATTTTTTAACAGTAATACTATAAGCCATTTCTTGAGATTGACTAAAATTAAATTTTAAATTATGCAAAGTTAACTAAAATGTTCGCAAGTTCATTAAACTTATTAGAGAATATAACATTTCCGGAAAAGCAAATAAATATAACCTTCCGGAAGGAATATAATAAAACAATCTGTAAATTATTAATAAACTTTTTCCGGAAAGTTTTTAATAAATCGTTCCGGAAAAGGAAATAAATATACTTTCCGGAAAGATTAAATAATATTATAGTATATAAATATAGTACTTTCCGGAAGGCTTATAATACAACATTCCGGAAAGTAGTAATATAATTAATATTGTAAAATAAACTTTTTCCGTAAAGTTTAAATAAACTTGCTCTATTATTTAATTAATTCGAACCTTTTCTTTGTCTTACTATTTTTATTAAAATTTGTAGGTGTATTTTTAGTTACTTGTATAGCCTTTAAAACATTATATAGTAGAAAAAGTGTCGAAAAGATTATTAAAAATCGAATAATATAAAAATAAATAATTTTTGATTTTGATTTAATTTTTCTCATTAATTTCTGAAAATATTATAATTATATTTTAATTATCACAAAATAAAATATAATTTATGTTTAATATTAGATAAAATCAAATAAAACTTATAATATTATTAGCATTTTTTATATTTTAATAATCCATGTTTTCCAGTTATTAAATAAATCTTCCTAGTGGGTGGTCTGTGAAGAAGATTTATATTTTTATTTTTTAAATAAAAGTTTATATTTAGAAAAAACAACTTTTAAATTAATGATAATTAAAAAATATTTTTTAAAAATAATATTAAATATAAAAAATTAATTAAATAAAATTTCATTTTAATTAGCATTAATTTTGTATTTATATCTTGAGGAAAACCAATTATTTTATTTTATTAGATCTCCGGAAAACTTATTTATTTTATGCTTTCCGGATTTATGCCTTCCGGATTTTTTATGCTTTCCGGACTTATTTATTTTACGCTTATGATTTATTTTTTTTAATATTAGTCTATTTTTGTTTTGTCCGCAAAACGATAAAAATTTATTTTATAAAAATAATAAATATTAAATTAAATTAAAATGTAAATTAACATTAAACAATATTTATATTATCATTCAATTCACTATTATTTTTTATTCTTTCTTCCCTAATAGAACTACATGATTGTCCATTTGTATCATTTTTATTTTCAAATTCTGAATTGTTTTGATAGAATCCGTCATTTTGCGTATACGGATAATTTTTATTTCCTCCTAAAAAATATTTTCCAATTTTATTATTTTAATTATTTTTTAAAACCAATTGTAGATAATGAGTTTGTAGCTTTAGTAGAGCGACGTTTACCCTGATGAGTGCGTGGAAGCGTTCTCTTCTATGAAAAAAAATTTTTTCATTTTTTTTATTTTTTTTATAAAATTTAGAGATTCTAGAAAATAGCTAGGCTTCTAAAAAATCCGAAAAAAATTTTTCATTTACCGCAACTCTCCCTACTGGCTGGTATCTTGTTGAATTTGATGCCCAATAATGACAAATAATTACTGATGTAAGAATAAAACAAACACCAACTAGAACATTGCCTAAAAGCATCAATCCAGAAAGGCCATTTGCTAGGCCCGTACGAGATTTTAACTTGCTTAGGTGGTCTTTAAATTTTTTCAGATAAAATTAAAAATAAGATACCTAGCCAAACACCTGTTGTTATTACCTAAAATTTAAATTAAAAAATTTGGGGAAAAATATTTAAAGTTACAGATAGAAGATTAGCCACTGAAGAAATAATGCACCTATAAAATAATAAAATTAAATTCTTATTAAATTAATTTTTTAAGCATACATAATTAGCCAACAAACCAACATCGTCCTTTATATTGTTAATTTTAATTAATTAAATAAATAAAAAATTTAATTTTCTGACCAACCTCCAACCAAATCTTTAAAGAAATAAAAAATTTATGAAAAATTTGTTAATCATAAAACACCTGTGAACAGCTCCAAGTCCCATTCCCCCCGTAAATAACCCAACTAGGGAAGAGAGAACATTTATATGACAAGTCCCCTGATAAGCACTTTCCTAATTATATGAAAATTAAAAATAAAATTTTTTTATAAAAATCACTTGTTCAAATCCAGGACAATATAAGCCATGAATACCATAAATAGCGGAAATAAATATTTCTGCCTTGCATAGATGAGTAAGAATTTGTACATATCTAATTATTTTAAAAATGGTGTATTTTTCGTATTTTCTCAATACATTTCCGGAAAAATACTATGTTTTATTATAACTTTCAGGAAAAGATTTATTTTTAGATATTAATTGGGTATATTAATATTTTCAGGAAGCCTTAACATGTTTTATTTTATATAATTTCCGGAAAATTATATTTATTTAATTCTTTCCGGAAAAACATATATTCCTTAATATTAAAGTTGTATTCTATTACATTTCCGGAAAACTATATTATTTCTTAATACATTAATATTTCCGGAAAGTTATATTTATTTAATATTTTTCCGGAAGAATATATATTAGAGTTGTATTTTAATACATTTCCGGAAAACTTTATTATGCTTTAATATACAATTTCCGGAAAGTTATATTTATTTAATATTTTTCCGGAAAACATAGTTAATTTATTAAATAAACTTATACTCAGTATGTTGAAAGCCCGATCGTTGCATTACTGTAGAAGGAGTAAATTTTAAAGGGACAATATTTAATTTAATATCCATTTTATTTTTTTTAAAAATTTGAGTATTTTCTTTTCAAAAAATGTTTATCTACATTTTAACTAAATTTTTAATTTATTTTTATAATTAAATTTAACATTCAATCTTGCACATTTTTTTGTTTTTATTTTAATAACCAACCGGTATATGCCTTAAATTTGCGCCTAATTTGAGGAGGTGTGAGAGCCATCCCCCCTCCTCCAACATTATCACCATAATCATCTTCTTCTGACTCATCGAAGCAAGAACTCTATTAATTTTATTGAAAAGTTGGGTATAAAATTAAAGAGAAAAAGAAGGAATTTTACATTCTTGTGTGACTAATAATTTTATTTTTCAAAAATAAATTTTAATTAATAGAATTTTATAAAATAACAAAAATAATGTTAATCAGGTTCATTATAACCCAAGAAATTTTAGTGAATAATCGACCTTCATAAATTAATAACCCTGCTTATCTAAGCTAATGGAAGGGTAAATCGGAGGGTACACTAAAAAAATATTTTTTTTAATTTTATTTTCCCTTACACATTGTCCGCTATTTCCATTTCGACTGTTGCTGGCCGATCCATGGTGACTGTGATGCTGATGCCTGTCCAAAATTTCTTCAGGTATCATTATTCTTAGAGTAGGGTCTTGAATTGGTCTAAGAAAATCAAACATTTTCTTAAAAATAAAATTAATTCATGATATTTGCAGAAAACTAAAATAAAATTTACAGAATTTCAGTTGCGGACTAAAATAGATAAAAAATATTTTTAAAATTATATTTATTTAAAATATAAAAATCGTTAAATGTTTGCGATAATGATCATAAAATATATTAGAAAATGTGTGTGAAAAGTGGGTAATAGGAAAATTAATTTAATTTATTTAACGAAAAAACTGTCATCAATGAAACAATTTTGATCGTCGCGCAATGCTAAAAAAAGAAAAAATAAATAAATTTTTTAATAAAAAATGATTAAAAAATATTATTTTAAAAGAATAGTATGCATAAAAGGAAATATAAAATATCATGCGATATTATTTTGAAGAATAAATAGAGCAAAACGTATTTTACTTAGTTTAATTTATTGCATAAACGATAATAAATAGTATTTCCATTTTTTGATCAATTTATTTAATTATAGAAAACCTTCCGGAATGTTATATTTCCGGAGAATTTTATTGAATATATTTTGTTTCCGGAAAGTTGTATTTTCCGGAAAGTTTTCTATTTGAATATTAATTCTTTCCGGAAAGTTTTATTTATTTAATGTATTTCCGGAAAGATTTACTAAATATACCTATATTTAATTTTCCGGAAAGTTTTATTTATTTAATGTATTTCCGGAAAGTTTTACTAAATAAATTTAATTTTCCGGAAAGTTTTATTTAACTATTATTTATTTTATTACAATATAGGAATGCTATTTATTTATTTAAAAATGTTGAAGATGACAGACGAAAGTCTTTGACCTTGGGGGATATTAGTAAAATAAGCACATCGATCTGATCGATATAAAAATATTATTTAAAAATAATAAAAAGCTTAAAAACATTTTTATTTATAAATATTAAATGAATACGACATTTGCAGATTAAGGCTTAATCCGCAAGTGTCGATGCGCAAGTGCCTTTTTTATAAAAAAATTCATAGAAAAATTTTGAAATAAAATTTTATTATTATTTAATATTTTTAAACATCTAAATAATTAACTAAAATTTTTATATTTACAAAAACAATTATAAAATTCCTCATTTATTGCATTAATCCATTAAAGTCTAATATATTTGAGTTTGTTAATGCTTCCCCATTTTCACCAAAAAATAAAAAATCTGAAGAAGTTGGAAAGTCTTCAATTGAATTATTTTGGTTAATTAGATTGTCCGAATCTTTGTTAAAAAATATATCTTGGAATGAAGAATGGCCGTGTGCTGATAAATCGTTGAAATTAACCTGAAATATTAAAAACAAGATATTGAAATTAATATTTATATCTGAATCTAATTGCAGTTAGACCTCATTATAGGATATTATTGTTTTGGAATTGGAAAAAAAAATTTTGATCATTGGAACTTAAATAAGTCTCTTAATGAATTGGAATAAGTCATTTCAAATTACTTCTTAAACAGTTCCTCACACCCAGTTCTTCAATTAATCATTTTGCGGTCAAGTTTAATAATAATTAGCTTGTTATTAATGTTTTTTAGCGAAAGATTAATTAATTTAATTTTCCGGAAAGTTTTATTTAAACAATATTTATTTTACTTTTTTGCGGATTCTTCTTCAGGACAAACTTAATAACAAATTCAAAAAAAACAAATTTTTACTTGTTCTCCATCAAAAAACATATCATTATCATTACTACACCCAACATCAAAATCTAACGGATTTAAAGCTGTTTGATTAGAACAACATTCCATCATTGGACTATTATTAATATTTGTTGATGGCTCAAAATTCATAATTATATCAGTTTGTGTACTCATTTCACATTTTTCTGTTAAACATACACAAGATAATGAAGAGGAAGTAAATGGGGAAGAGGATGAATTAGAAGATGAGGAAGAGCATGGTTGGAGTGGAGGGGAAGGCTGTTCGTAGGCCTATTTGATAAATTGAATAAAATTTTATCTATATAGAGAGATATGATTTATCGGCTCCAAAAAGTCGAACATTTCCAAGGCTATTGATGACTCCGAAGAGAAGCCGAAACTAGTGGCTACTAATGGCCCAAATTTCTGATAATCCAAAAGTTTTAGTTTCTGAGGGCTCTAAAAGTTCCCAAGTTCCATGGTTCTTGTTCCAAAACATTGGAACCAATAAAGATCACTAGATGATTACCGAATAATTGCCATGAGAAGAGGATTCACCTCCCAGCATTGGTGGGCTATAAGAAACAGGTGGAGGACCACCGCTCGTAGTTAAATCAAAAGCATCCTCATCTGCAAGAAAAGCACTCAAAGGCCCTTCTTGATTATAAGAAGCTGTTTTTTCTTCATCCCCGTTATTAAATAATTCATTAAGTAAAGGATCTGTCCAGCCAAAAACTTGACAAAATTGCATATTTTCACTCATTAAACCAGAAAGAGTCTAAATAAAAAAGATTTTTAAAAATAAAATTTCTAAATTAACAGTAATTGTTGGCAACAATAATAATAAATTGCCAAAACGAGAGGCTGCATTTTGTGAAGGATGCAACTCTTTTACTGAATGAAAAAGCATATCTTGTACAGCATTGCGTAAGGCAGAGGTAGCATGTTGAGCTTCCTCCGAGAGGTTTTTAGCATCTTTAATTTATAAAAATATAACTATTTCCGGAAAGTCTAATATATTCTATTTCCGGAAAATTTAATTAAAATGTCCGGAAAGTTGGTAATAATATATTGCCCATAAAAATATTTTTCCGTAAAGTTGAATATATTCTATGAAAATATATTCCGGAAAGTTAAATAAATTAAAACATTTTCCGGTTCTATTACATATGATTATTCTTTATAAAATATATATTTCCGGAAAGTTTTCCGAAAAACATAAAAAAATATTAATTAAATACTCGGATCCAAAATAATGGTTGCTTTCAAGGCCACAACTTCCTCCTCCTTTAAAGCTAGTTTGCGCAACGGTCCAACCAATTCATTCAAGGTTCGATCAATTAAATTATTTGAAAGATGGCTAATTTATTTAAATAAATTTTAAAATTCAAATTTAACAAAATACTTTGATCCATTAAATTCTGCTGGTAATTTTCTAGGCACATAAGAAAAAGAACAAAGGCAGAGAATATCGGGATTTTGAGTTTTTTGAGCTGTCCGGGCAGAAAAATTAAAAATTGTTAGAGGAGCGTAACAATTTTTAACCATCGATATCTTTAAATGTTAAAAAAATATATCAAAGCTTATTAAAATTAATCTTTGCCTTATCCGAAGTATTTATATTAACTGAGTCAATGACCAATTCCATTAACGATTCTACCCAATCAACAGCGGCAATCGCACCTCGATGAGCAATTTTTGAAAGCTCCTCTGGTTTGGCCATTCTTGAGGGTTCATAACACATCTTTTAAGGAAATTTATAATTAATTTTAGAAAAGTATATAATTAGAGACTTCTCTCTATGGGGGCTCTTTCCAATCTAGCACCTCCTAAGGACTTGACTATCTCATAAACATATGAGGGGATAGCATGAAAGATATAAAATTTATTTTAAAAAATACTTGAGTTCTTTTAGCACTAGCTGGTCTATTTTCAAAGAGTTCTCTTAATGAAACGTTCTTTAAAGGATTATCATTATTGTTTTGATGAATATCATCAGTTGGATTAGCTAATTGTGAAGATGAAGGATTAAGAAGTGTATCTCCATTGTTTTCATCTCCTTTGGTTACCTTAAATTTATTATTGTTAATTGTGGATAGAGTTGTTTGGTCACTAGGAGGAGCTTATCCAAAAGAGAGAGGGCTGCTGGATTCAGACGTTCTGATCCGGAAAAGCCCAAATATCCGGTATCCGGGACTTTGCCAGGATCCGGGACTTTCCAGGTGTAATAGTGATAATACTAATAGTGAGTTATTATTATTATATAATAGTGAGTATAATAGTGAGTAAATTAAAATTTTAAACTAAATTTAATTTTACATTTAATTCAATATTCATTAATTGCATTAATAACAGTCTAGATTCCGAAGGTAATTTGCGAGTCCAGTCATTATTTTGGTGGAGTCTCATCTAAAATTATTTAGCATAAGACTATCTATTATTTAATTAATTTACCATATGTCCAATTAATTCTTCCCCAATGGGTCTTTTACGAACGCGAGGTACTCGCTGTTTTCCCGTCAAATCTCTAAAAAATTTATAATTTTTATTCAATTATCGAAATATTTTAAAACCTATCCGGCCGTACAGCTTTTGGATCCATCCCAACTTCAATACACCTATTAAATCGACAACACCGACAACTATTTCTTTGGAATTTATTAACGATGCATTTATTTCCAAATCGGCAAATATAACGATAATTGCCTAGATTAATTAAACTGATTTTATATTTAGTAAATTTAAACCTGTCAGGGTTCGTCTGAAAAAGCCCTAAAATAAATTAATTTATTTTTAATTTATTAGAAAATATTTTGCCTTGCAGCCGTAACATGCTAACACTCCATAGTGTAATTTGGCGTGACCCTGATTTTTAAAAAAATTTTCAGAATTTTTTTTGATTTTTTTTTAAATTTTTTTCTTCATTTTATTTATATAAATCCATCCAAAAAATGAAAAAAATTTTTTAAATTTATTTATTTACATCTCCACAAACAGCACATACAGCCGCACCTTCAACTACCACATTAGATGATATTGTAGAACAAGAAGGGGTAGAATCGTGAAATTGTGGGTGCTGCATAGAAATATTTTGTGAGGATTTTTGAATAAATTTAGGACTGTTTTTGGAAGATTCTGGATGAGAATCACGACGAATTCTGTATACGGGGGTTAGTGTAGGTGTTGAGTATATATTTGTATCTTCATTATTATTAGAGGAGAATATTACAGGCATTCGGGCATATGGAGTTGAAAGCCTTGTAAATTAATTTTTTAATTAAAAAATTTTTTTTTAATTTTAAGAGTATAATAATTAATTTAAAATTCAAATGAGATAAAAAAATTAAAAAAAATTTTTTTGAACGTTCATCTTTTAATAAAATTTAAAAGAGAAAATTGATCGAGAGTTGTTTGCGAATACCATGACAATGTTAAATTGAACGATAAATATTTGAACAACAAAAAAAGGTAAAAAAGAGAGATTGGGAACGTGTAGTAAGTCATGAAATTTTATATTAAATTTATATATTTAATTATTAAATTTTGATAAAATAGTATAAATTACATTAAACTAAGTAAATTGATTATTTAAAGTCATTAAAATTTTTTTTCAAATTTAAAAAAGGAAGTTGTGTTTAAAAAATTGAGAAGACCTATATTTTTAGGAGAATATTTTAATTATTCAAAAATAAATAGGACGACAGGTATATTTTTCTTTCCTAACTAGGTATCAAGAATTAATTTTTAAAATCCGGAAACTGAGGGTTTTAAAAATTAATTGCGGATTTTTAAAAAATTTTAAAATTTTTTTCTCGACTGTCGAAAGCCATGTTTTTCTCACCTTTCAATATTTTTTGATGTTTTTGTAACATTATTATTATTAGAAGGGGAGGAAATAATTTTATCACTCCTTGCGGAAGAAGACAATAAAATAATTAAAGGCTTTTGTGTGTTATTGTTATTAATTAAATATTCTTCTGAATTATTTATAAAATTGCTTGTTTCAATTTCATTTGTAGTTGAATGGACAATAAAATCTGTTTTTTGTAATTGAGGTGTTGTAGTTGTGTAAAAAGAATTATTAGAAGGCAAAGTTTCTTCTATTTGTTCCCAATAATCAAAATCCATTTGCTTAAAAATTTAATTTATTCTAAGTTTGCGAAGAAAGTTTAAGTTTGAATTTTTAAATAAAAGTTGGGAAAAAGTTTAAAACTTAAGAGTATGTAAAAAAAGTTTTAAGTTTGTAAAATAAAGTTCTAAAACTTAAGTTTGAGAAAATAATTTTTAAAAAAGGTTGCGAAATAAATTCAAGTTTGCGAAAAAAAGTTTTAAATTAAAACTTAAGGTATGCAAAAACAAGTTTTAATACATTCCAAGTTTGTAAAATAAAGTTTTAGAATTAAGTTTTTGAGAGCAAGTTTTAAAACAAAGTTTGCAAAATAAAGTTTATTTTTTCAAATCATTTCCTTTTTACCAACTTTAAAACTTTTTCCAACCTTTTCTAAAGATAATTTTGAAAAATAAACTTTCCGGAAAGAAATAAAACTTTATGGAAATCATGAGATAATAAAATACAGAACAAAAATGTGTAGTATGTTAATATATAAGTTAAATAGGAAAAAAGTTTTTATGTGTATTGAAATATTAAAATAAAAAATAAGCTTTTTTTCTCTAACTAAAACTTATTTTCAATGTAATATAGTGCAACAATAAAATGTTGAGAATATTATGGAGAGCGCAAACTTAATCCTTTATTTTATTGCCATGCAGAATTATTTAAAAAAGAGTGTATAATATTGAAAAAAATTTTTTTACAATTGAATGGAAAATTGTATTTAAGAAAAATTGTATTTTTGTATTTTTAATGGTTATGGATTTAAGCAATATTTTGGTATTTTTTTTAAATATAAAAATATTTAGCCTTGACTAACATGTGACCATTGAAGGGGTGATTTTATATTTAATAATTTTATAGACTGTAAATATTTTTATTAAATATATTTGACTGAAAATATGAGAGGAGGGGAGATTTGCATAAATACTAACATTTTGAAATAAAAATAGAATAAAAATTTTAGCCTGCCAATTTTGGGGAATTTTTCTTGTCAATTTTTTAGTATATCAATAATGGTAGAAATTAAGAATAAGGGAGAGACAGTGAAATAATTTAAAAAATTCCGGAATAATTCCGGAAAAAGAATTCGGAAAACAAGTTGGAAAGAAATTATGAGAAAAAAGTTCGAAAATTCCGGAAACATTCCGGAAACTAAAATTAAACATTAAATAATCTGTAAACTTTGTATCCAACTTTGTTTCAAAACTTTGTTTCCAAACTTTAAATAAAACTTATCTAAAAACTTAAAACCTGATTAAAAACTTTAAATTAAACTTTGTTAAAAAAAGTTGCGTAAATTATTTAAAACTTAAGTTTAAGAGTACAAAATATTAATGTAAAAAATTAAGTTTAAGACTGCGCAATCACTCACTTAAAAATTTAAGAAGCTTTTGTGAATTACTAGAAAAATGATGTGGAAGGGAGGGAGGGTTATATAAATAAAGTTAAAAAGAAGAAAAAAGCTTTAAAAAAATATTTCACAGACTTTTTAAAAAAAGATAATTCAACATTTTTAAGTGGAGGAAGAAAGAGAGGAGTAAAAAGAATAAAAAGAAAGTGAAGGAAAGGGAAGGAGAGCTTTGAAAAAAAATTTTTTTAAATATTAAAACAATAATTTTATTTTTATTAATTATTAATTCAATTAAAAAATTAAATAAAAACACAAAACATAAAAAAGCACAATAACCGACTGACAACGAATTTTATTAAAAAGATCCTTTTTAATAAGAAAATAATTTTAAGTTAATTTTTATTTAAAAATACACTTCAAATATTTAAAAACAAATAAATATATAGGTGGATAATAATATTAGTAGGTATGTTTTTCAGGTTTACTTATGTCTGGGGTTTGTGCAAATATTGTTGTTGTTCACTTTTCTAAGGAAATAAATGTTGAAAAGGAAGGTAGGTATTTTGCTAATCAAGTTTTTCACAGAAAATAATTTTAAAATAAATATGTAGTTAATAGGTTTAGACAAGTTAAAATTATGTTTTGGATTAATTAAAAATTAAATTTATTACCTAATAAAATAAAATAAAATTCAAAGTCATTTCCTCCACTAACTTTTAAATTATTTTCACTGCTTTTTTAAGAGAATTATCGACATTTTTTATAGTATAATAGACTTTTCTCGCTTTTGTTAAGTGCCAAAAATGGGTGTTATTATTGAATATATTATTGGCAAAAATTTGAAAAAAAAATAAAAAAAGAAATAAAAATATGAGCAATAAATTTAAGGGGAAGATTTTTTCAAAAATTTTAATTTTCGAAAAAAAAATTCTAAAATTTTTTTAAAATTTTCTTGAACGTTTTTCCCTATTTTCCCTATGTCCTTTAATTTATTTTTTATTTTTTTTTTCAAAAAAAAATTTTTCAGAAAAAATGATAAAAATTCCATTTAAATTTTAATTGGTCTGTCGGTCCTTTCCTTTATCTTCCATCAAAATCCGCAAGTTTAGTCCGCAAAAAATTTATTTTAATAAAATAAACTTGCGGATAAATCCTGCGGACTTTTTGGGAACACAAAGAAAATAACCGGTCTATTATTAATCATATAACGCTTGAGAAAAGAAGAAGAACACAGACATTTTATCTTTTAATCTATAAATAACAATTATGGCCAAAAAATTTTGCGGACAGATTTTCTCTTTTATTGACACTCTGTCTGTTTTTATTTTTTTATTTTAATAATTTTCACTAAAAAAGTAAAAATGATTTAATGAGAACAATTATTTTTGCGTTATTTTGGCGAGGAAATGGATATTAAAAAAGATAGGAAATGCGCGATGTATTTAATAATATGTCCAAATGAATATAATTAAAGGGAGATACTTTTAAATTTGTGTTAAAAATCTATATAGGAGAAATTTAGGAAAAATTTTTGGAAAATTTTAATTAAAAAAATAAAATTATTTATCTAAAGAAGGAGTCCAGTATATCCAGTATAACAACATTTAGAACGTTTACTATGCAGGGGTTCATTTATTAAAGGGGTTCTTCACCTAAATATTAATGTAGGCTTTCACCTATTAAAAGTGAAGGTGGAAGCTATTAAGTAGAGCACTTTACGTGGTGACAAGGGACCTAGCAATAGTTCATCGGATCTGACAAGAAATCGCATTATTCGATGCTTGCTCGTGTCTAAACTTTTTTGCCTCTCTCATACTGCTATAATTAAAAAATAATAATTTTAAAATATCATTTAGTGTCTATTTTATTAATTTTAACGAAAAAAATTGGACAAAAATATTCAAAAAATTAATTCAAATATTTATCAAAAAAATGAATACGTGTCTTTTCAAGTCTATCAAAAATTATTAAAAAGAATTTATACTATGTTAACAATTTTCTTTCTTTAATTAAACAATAAAAGTTAATAGGTTAACTATTAAATTGTTAGTTTTTATCATTAAAAATGTAATTTAAAAAATTGCGACTAAAGCAGAAAAATTTTTTGATTATTAAAAGGGCCAGAGAAATAGTATATGTCTTCCTTTAAGAATATTTTTCGTTTATTAAAAAATTTTTAAAAATTCCTTAATGAATCTATAGACTAGAAACCGGACTGGAAGAGTCCTACGAGAGTCGACAGACTAGAAACCGGTCTAGAAACGTATAGACTAGACTAAAAACTGAAGAATAAACTAAAAACCGGTAGACTAGAAATCATATAGACTAGAAACCGGACTGGAAGACTGGAAGGGTCGTTCAAGAATCGAGTTCGATAATCGAAGAACATCGATCCCAACAACCGAGATTTTTCTTCAAGACTTGTCTCAGTTTTGTCCCCAGTATAAACAAGAAACACAAATTCTAAAAAAAAATTTTTGTTTATTTAAAAATTAAAAAAATAATAAGAATCATAATAGAGACGAGAAACAAATTTAAAAAAAATTTTTTATTTTTGAATATTTTAAAAAAAATTCAATTTCAAGTCAAAACAAAATCCTTCTGAATTCGAGGAATGTAAAAATATTGACTTCCAATTTCATTACTTAAAATAAAATTTTAAATTTTATTTAATTATTTTCTAAATACCTAGAAGGGTAAAAATAATTTCTTTCAGAATTTGTATATTTATTAGACCTATCCCTTCTTTTATGGAGCCAATTAATTAGTGTTGTAGCAAACAATGCTCCGGACAGAATTAGTAATAGTGCTATGGAGAATAAAATTATGAAGGGTTCGAGTATACCATCATTTTGTTCCTCATCATTTTCGTTGTCATTTGTAATTTCTGTTATTTTTTAATTTTTTCTGGGAATTTTTTTTAATAAATTTAAAATTATTCCGGCACTTTTTCCTTTATGTTTCCGCATAGTCCTCAAGCCTTCTCTGCAAGTTTGTTATATTTTCTTAAAAGGCATTCTCTTTCCAAAATTCAAATTTTTAAAAATAATCCTTTTTTTTTAATAATTCTTTTGAGAAAATAAAGACACAAACTTTTGCGGAAAAAACTTGCGGACTGGCAAAAACAAGGAAAAAAACCTTATTGCCTTATATCCTCTCCCCTAATTATGAACCTCATTCCTTTAACGGCATAAAATAAAAGCTGTATTCAATGCCAGCAATTTTGCCTTCCTTCAACCTCCGTATTTCTCTCTATTTATAATAAAAAATTACCAAAAGCTTGCAATGTTGAACTGACATATTCATTATCACTAATAATCCTTGAATCGTCAGAATTCTCATTTTTTAGAGATTCCTCGTCCAAACGATTCTCCTTCAATTCCTCCTTCATTTCCACCTTCTCTCCTTCATCTTCATTTTCTTCCTCTTTTATGGATATGGGAGAATTCTCTTCTTTCATAACCAAAACACGAATTCTTTTATCCACAGTAATTTTATCAGCTTCATTTAAATGCTCCTCTGTATCCCTTCTTTCTAAACGGTGTCTAAGGGTCTCTCCAATATTTAAAAATTCTTTTGAATTAAAATTAGCTTCATTTTCAATTAAAAAATTCGATTCTTCCAAGGTATCTTTCCTTGAACATTTAGCAGTTTTGCATTGAGAACGACAAATGATCACTGAACAAATTCTCAAATTTAAATATTTTTTTATTTTGAAAATTAAATGAAAATATTTTTACATTTCCAATTCACTTCCTCCATCAATTCTAAAAGCAGTCAATGTAGCTTCTAAATGGTCCCCCACACGACGCATATTTCCCATGATTTGGGGGTGTAATGAGCAACCATTTGAATCCAACAAGGGAATTGAGGGACCAGAATATTCTTGAATTTGTTCTGATATATTATCATCAGTTATTGGTGGTAATACACGGGTAGCGTTGCATTCAGATACACGGAAGTTTTCTGCTATATTAATTATTTTAATAAATTTATTTTGTATTTTCCGGAAAGTTTAATATATTTATGTTTTATTATTCCGGAAAGAATATTATACTCAGCAAGTTTTATATTTTCCGGAAAAATATTTAACTAATTCCGGAAAATTAATATAGGTATTTTCCGGAAAGTTTTAAAGTATATTCAAGTTTCACCCATATTTCCGGAAAAAAAGTTTTATATTTTCCGGAAAGTTTAATATAAAGTTTAATATATTCCACCCACGATTTATAGCACTATTACTTTCTACAACTGATAATAGCTTCTCTCCAATAAAAACATTGTTGATAGGTTTTCCATTTTTAAGTATTTTTAGTTTGATTCTAGTATCTCCTCTATTCTCCACAAAATTTGTTTGTTCATCCAAATATTTTTTATTATTTTCTTTTTCCGGTTCTATTTTTGAATAGCTTTCAAATCCACTTAAAAATTATTTTTTCTTCAAATTTATTTTTAAATTAAAAGTTAAAAACTTTGTAACATTCCCTTCCGGAATAGGCAATCCATTTATATAACGACAAGTAATATAAAAAAATAAATCATCCTTTGTGGTTACTTCCGGCGGTATTCCTTCTCCCACACTATTAGACAATACTAATAATATATTTAATTGATCATTCTTTATTCAAAAAAATTTTTTTAATTCTAGGATTAAATATTTACATTTATTTTAGCATTACACCAATTTTTTATCAAATTATTTCCAGGCTTATTCACAAAGAAAAAGAATTCTTTTGCATTTTTAACGTTTAGAAGGCAATTATCGAAACGATCTGCGGCATAAATTTTACCAGAATAACGCTTTAAATATTAATATTAGAATGATATTTTATATTCGGAAAGTTTAATATATATTTCCGGATCAGTTTTATATTTTCCGGAATTTCTTAAGCTTTTTATACAATTCCGGAAAGCCTATACAATTCAGGAAAGTTTGTTTTCATGCAAGTATTATAGTTTCCGGAATTATACAATATATTTCCGGAAAGTTTTATATGTATATTCAAACTATTTTTAAAAAATTCCGGAAGGTTTTGTATTTTCCGGAATTTGTTTAACCTTCAAGTTTTATATACATTCCTCAACTATTATTATACAATTCCGGAAAGTTTAATATATAAATTATTTAATAATATACCTGAGAGTTATTCTTTAATTGGAAAGAAACATTAGCCCCTTGTGAATCACAAAATACATAAACATTAAGTTGATTTAAATAAAGCCGATTATTATTTTTAGAATTTTTAATTTCAGAATTTTTACTACTAGTTGTTTTTATTATTTTTTCTGTTGTTTCTTCTATATCAGAAATTGTTGGTTTTATTGTTAATTTTGAAAAATTAAATTCTTTTGTTATTAAAGTTGGAAAAATTGTTTGTGTAGTTGTGGCAACATTATTATTATTACATTCCTGTATTCCCTTTTCAAAAAAAAATTTTTTAATTAAAAAAATTTTTTGATTAAAATTTTTTTATAAAAATATTTTTTTTACTGAATTTGGTAAAAATGAGCATTTTTGTAATTTTGTAATATTATTATTAATTATTGTAATTATTGTAGTATTAGTCGTCGTCGTTGTAGTTGTTTTTAATATTTCCTTATTTTCTTCAATTTTTTCAATATTCTGTTCAAACTTATTTCCTCCAATTCTTTCCCTTTTACATGCCAATTCATAATAATTAACCCCTTGAATTAACACTGAAAGTGTTTTGTTGTTATTATTTCTGTTAAAAGGCAAAATTTGACAAATTGTTGAAGAATTATTTTCAATTTTAGAATAATAATTAATACTAAGGCAAAATTCATCTAAAATGCAGGCATCAAGACACTCATCCAGTTTGATGTTGGGAATGTCTGAAGGAAAAAGTATTTTTAGTAAAAGTAAAAGTTGATTTGTGGTATTCCTCTAGCATGGGCAATCAAAAATGACAGATGGCATCGACCCCAACCAATAGACAAACCAACTTTAAAGCACCCTGCCTTAAATGGGGCAAAGCTAGTATCTATTTTATCTTATCCTAAGGTTTGACTAAACTCTAGAATTAGTAATATTTTACCTCTAATAACCCCTAACTCTTCAATATTATCCCCTCTCAATTCCATATTCACAACTTTTTCAAAAACATGTTCTTCCTCACAATCCAGAATTGTCAAATTATTTGGAGGGTCTGGAAGGCAAATAGGTTCAAATAAAAAAGAATTATCCAAAAGTAAGGGTTCCTGATCTTCAATTAATTTTTCCATTCCAAAAATACATGACCCTTGGAAATATTGAACAAAAGTACAAATTAACGATTCCAAGCATTTTATTAGGCAATCAGGAAGTGACAGATTTTGGCCTTTTAAAATTTTAAATGAAGGTAGTTCTGCATCCTTAATTAACATAAAAGCTATATGGCGAGCTCCACAACGATTTTTTAATTTTAAAATATTTTCGTAATGGTCTATATCAAGTTTGGAAATTAAAGGGGCAATAAATGGTTGTTTTGAACCAAGTGTTGAATAACTTGAATGATTGAATAAACGACATGTTCTGAAATTTATTAAAAATAAATTTGTAATTAATTAAAAAAAGCAACCCGTTTTTAGTGTCAAAATCCAAAGAATAACATCTAAAATATTTTAAATTTATTATTATTCATTCAACATCATAGTCCCAATTTGAAATTAAAATATAACTTTAACACGAAATGCTACAAGATTAAGTCCTTTATCCGACTATCTTTAGAATCCCTTCATGCAGTCCAGGGATCTAGCCGACTTGATAACGCTTCCCTAATGCTTCCTTAACTTTGGTTATCTCTTAAACCCCTTCGTGCAATCTCGATAACCCAAAATTCCCTAAATTGGGAATTTATTTTTTATTATTAGCCTTAATTATTAGCCTGATATTATTAGCCTTTAAACCCTAGTGACATTCACTATATCTTATTTATTCTCTCAAATCCAAAAAAATAATTATTTTTCCACCTTTTATCCAAAAAGCATTCTTCCAAACAATGTTTTCTGTCTTCCATCATTTCCACAATTTTAATTTCTTTAGTATTTTCAGAAAAAGCATTGTGGGGATAAACCTGAAGATCTTCCTATATTTTTAAATTAAAAATTAAATTTGCCTCAAAAGCAAAAGGTATTAGTTTATCTGTTGCTTCTTCTGCTTGTCTTAAATCCTGAAATTAAAAAATAATAATAAAATATGTGTATTTTATAAGCTGTTGGCCAGGGATGGATTGGGTCCGAAGAAAATCGGATTGGTGTTCCCATGGATTTGGGGACCCGTCCCTCCCTTGCTGTTGACTTCTGCTATATGTATTACCATAATAAATACCTATTATCTAGCCCCAAGAATACTCAATATCTAGCATTATTGTTTCGGTCTGATTCATATATGTATTTAATCTTACCAAATTTCCAACTTTTGTAGCCAAACAAATTTTCTCAAAATAATTCCTCCTAATATTATTTCTTTTGAAATTTTCATTATTTTGAATTAATAAAGGCTTCCTTTCTAATATTTCTGATCTATTTTCATCGAAAAATTCACAAATATTTTCTCCAATTTCTTCTTTTGAATTATTTTTAATTTTATTAACATTATTTTTTAAATAAAATGTAAATCCATGACAAATAAATTTGTTATTAATATCAACAGAATTTAAATTATTTAAACACAAATCTGCACATTCCTTTAAAACTATTAAGTTAATAATTTATTAAATTTGAATGAAGATTAGGAACCAGATTAGTATCCTATATTAAGGATTGGGAGATTCTCTGGAGTATTTCTGAGCCCGATCATTCTCATAGGATACTGACAGCATTATCTGGAATGCACTTTCGGCTTTTGGCTCAGATGAAGGCATTATCCTCCTTCTTCGTCAAAATTGTGAAGATGGAGGATGAAGGAGGCTAGCAGTTAAAGGCTAGCAGTTTAAGATATTCGAGATCCAGATTGGGGAGTTGTCAGAGACTGCATGCCTACGATGCCTACCCGATACGACTGTCCTTACTTTTAAATATTTTACTAGATTCTCGATTAACTTTTAAATTACCTCAATAGAATCCATTCTTTTAACAAAATTTGCTTTAATTTTTACATTAATTTCTTCATTTATGTACAACCTTTGATGACGTAAAAATGTAGTTAGCTCTCCATTTGCGCATTCAAATGCTTTTAAAATTCCATTGAAACAGAAAAATAAGAGTATTTGAAAAATTGCCATGCCTTTACTGTTTGATAGTTTTCTGTAATGATCAATGAAACTTATGCTAAACAAGATCACGAACAAGGCGATTATAAATTTCTGACTAGGATCTCCAAATTTGTCAAAGATCGTGGGGTTTATTAATGAGAAGCTCGTGGATACTTTTAGAGACACTTTTTAGGGGTCCAAAAACAAAAATAAAATTAAATATTGAAGGATCCCTAGCAGATTTTTGAATTTTCCTTAAAAATGTCTTAACTAATCTTCAGGGTCTTTAACAAAAATAATTTTCATAATCAACCAATTTATTTTTAACTAGAAAATTAAAAATAATAAAAACACATTTTCTTTTCTCCCTTTCCAAAGCTAAACACAACAGCTTTTTAAACTATTAAAAGCAGCACTTATATAATATTTAAGCTATTCATATATCCAATAAAAATGTTTCTATTTAAAAAAATTAATGTGTGATCAACAATTTTATTTATTAAGTCCTTTCTTTTGTTTTTTTTATTGTAAAAATTATTTTTATTAAGTAGCACTTGTCTTTAAATTAAAAAAAATAAATTATGAATACACTGTAGAAAGTCTATGTATATGCACCCCTGTCCACACTTAAAAAATTTTTTTCCTTAATCATAAAATTTTTTAAAATATTTAGCCAATACCTAGTTAGCAAAAAACTATTCATTTTTAATTAAAAAAACTTTTTATTAGATACAGATCAAATCGATTTTTATTTTTAACGACTGATTGGAGAGACTGATTAATGGGGATTTCCTTTATTTATTTATAGATATCTTTGTTGCCTTTAATTTAAAATGAAAAAATTACTTTTTAGCACATGTATAGGCAAAGGAATAAATCCTCTTTTGATTTACACGACTTTTTTTTTATTTTAAATTGAAAAATGTTACTTTCTCTGATCGAGATTCTGTCTAGAATAGAAGGATTAAAATAATTTTTCATTTATCCTTAAATCTTTTTTAAATTAAATTTAAATTTGCTCCAAATACCTACCTATTTTTATCAATTATTTAACCCCTTAAGCATGTATTATTTTTGTTAAGATTAATTCTTCCTCAAATTATAGAGGGAAGAACTTTGTAACACATACACTTATTTCTGAATTAATTATTACTATTTTAGTTATCACATACATATAAATTTATTTTTTTATCTCCTATAAATCAACACGAGGATGGACTTTGTTCTTTATTACCCTACACACATGTCTCTGTGTGGTTCCCCGTTAATTTTTGAGGAAGGAATTTTTTTGGGGGAATTTTTCCTTTAAAAGAAACATAAATATATATTATAGATTTTGAGATAAAAATATACTCCGCGTGGTTGGACTTTGATTTATTTTTATTTAATCTTATCTTTATTTTTGAGGTATTTAAAGATAAAAGAATTTTTGATTTTTTCTCATTATTGCGACATGAAACTTGCAACTTTAAATTTCCGTTTGCCACTGCCGTACTTATTTTTACTATAATTTTGAAGGATTATAATTATGTCAAGAATATAGGCTTGACGGCTCAGTTGTGGTTGACCCAAATCTTCGGTTCGGTTTATCAGTTCGGCTTCGGTTATCCGAGGAATCTGCTAAACCGACAACCCTAGTCCAAGAAACATTCAGATAAATTTTTATCAAATACTCTCTAAATAAAGACATCTCCCGAGCCGAACTTTACTTGCGTTATAAGCCGTTCCGATGTTAGGATTGGGGGGCAAATCAAACAGAAGCAGACCACTCGGGACCGAATTGAGGTGTTATTGGAAGGAGAATGACAAGGGATTGGAGGTCGTTCTATAGAGATTTTGTCGTATTTTTAAACTAATACCTATATTTTTTTAAATTTTTCTTTAAAAATTTTTTTAATTCGATTAATCCTCTCCATGCTGGGTAAACTATTTTGCAAAGATCTCTCTAATATTCCTGTTCCTTCTCTCAATAAATATTTATTTTTATTTTTCTTCTAAATAAACCCTTCATTCCTTCCTTTCCCACCCTTTGATTTACTATTTTTCTCCGCCAAATATGCTCAACCTAAACTGTTCTCCATCGATAATATATTAAATGATTAATCGGAGTAAGAAAAACAAAAAAATATTTTTTTAAATAAATTTTCGATCTCTCATACAGCTAAAAATTCAATTTTGTAGGGTTCTCTCTCTAAACGTCATTAACTGTGTTACACTTGTGTGTTCAATGTTTATTTTCTTTTAATTTTTACTATGAAAAATCTGATCTCTCAGTACACTTTTAAAATATTAGAGAAAATATTTTCTATAAAATTCAAAAAATTTTAACAAAAATAATTTTAAAAAACTCCTCGAATGTCATTTCACTTGATACTGCTCACCAGGGATCCTGCCGACAAAACAAATAAATTTCCCGATTTCGGGAATCGGCTCGACGGGATCCCTGCTCCTCACATTCAAAAACCCCTCAACACTCTCACACATAACCCTACCTATTTTAAATCGGCTCATTTCAGTTAGGTCCTTATTGTCCCTCACATAAGTCCTGAAAGGTCACTTCCCTTGATGCTCCTCACATTCAAAATACCCTTTTTAATCCCCTCACACATCACTTCCCTTCTTAAATCGGCTCAGATCCTAATTAAGTTTTAGTCTTAACTATTTGACTCCCCCACACATATCCTTACACATCACCTCCATCCACCACTAAATTAGGTCCCGAAAGGTGTTTGACTTGATAAATTTTGATAAAAAAATTATTTTTGTTAATTAATTTAAATTGTTTGCATTTATTTTTATCATTAAATTTAAAAAATATCAATAAAAAATTAATATATTTTTCTAAAAAATTCTTTTTTTTTAATCATTTCCCCCTATATTTTTATTTATGTGGAGAGTCTCCCCCTATACAAACAATTTTTTGTTTTTCATTATTTTTCCATCTATTCCCCCAATATCAAAAACATCGATAAAAATAATAAAATCATTTTTCTTTTTCCATAAAAGTAAAAAAATAAAAATAAAATTGTACTTTTATTTTAATGAAATTTAAAAAATTTAAAAAATCAGAAAAAAAATTTTTAGAAAAAAAAAATAAAATTAAAAATTAATTTTGAATAAAGCGGGTTTTATTTAACAACAAAAAATGTCACAGACTATCGCCAAAAATTTTTATCAAGTTGGTTTAACTGAAAAAAATTATTGAAGATTTAATATTTTTAAGGTGGTAAAGACAGCACCAAAGGGTCGTTATAAAGGAATTAAACGAAATTATGAAGTTGAGGATTTGTTGAAATTGAGGGGATCTATTGATATTGAGTAAAGAATTATTATTTTTATTTTTGGAAAATATATTATAGTAATTCTGGTTATAGTAACCCTCTCCAAAGCGATATGATAGTTATGGGTATTTTGGGGAGATTACATACAGTCGTGGAAAAAAGTATGGAAGCGCTAGAAAAAGTTTTTTAAATTCTTAAATTTTTATTCAAAAAATACGTTCTATATACCAATCGAAAGCTCTATTCGTATCTCAGTTGACATGTTTCTGCATTTTTCATGAAAATGAAAATTGGCCGAGATAATCCCGATCTACCGGATATACCAAATCCCACTTTTTCGGAAAAATTTTTCGGAACAAATTTAACAAACCCAAATGATAAAGCATATTTTTCTGAGTATTTTCCACAAAACCGCTTAGAAATATCTTTTTCCGGAACAGAGATATGATTTTTTGAAAATCGTATTTTTCGTCAAATTTTGCAAAAAATTCGATTTTTAAGGGAAAAATACGATTTTCAAAAAATCATATCTCTGTTCCGGAAAAAGATATTTCTAAGCGGTTTTGTGCAAAATACTCAGAAAAATATGCTTTATCAAATGGGTAGATCGGGATTATCTCGGCCAATTTTCATTTTCATGAAAAATGCAGAAACATGTCAACTGAGATACGAATAGAGCTTTCGATTGGTATATAGAACGTATTTTTTGAATAAAAATTTAAGAATTTAAAAAACTTTTTCTAGCGCTTCCATACTTTTTTCCACGACTGTATACTCCCCGAAAATCCAGAGAGTACTGCCCTTTAAACAGCGAAGGAGGCCTCCCTGCTTAGAACCCATCCCTAAATAAGAAAGGATTGGATAGTCCTTAACGCCTTCTAAAGCTAGTAAATTTTTATGTACTTTATCAACAAGGATGGGAGAAAGCTTCTCCAGTCTTACACTATAACCAGAATAGAAATCAGAATTTTGTTAAATAAAAAAAATTTAAGTTACACACTAGCAACTAGAGGTGCAAATAAATTATGGCAATTGTTACATACAGAACCCTATATAGCTGCGTTGGGTGCTCTAACTGGCAACCAAGCTGTTCAAATGGTTAGGGCTGGTCTTAAAGCTATTTATTTGTCAGGTTATTTTCAAAATTTCCTTTAAAATAATTTTTATTTAAAAAAAAGGTTGGCAAGTAGCTGCTGATGCAAACACTGCCGGAGATATGTAAGAGAGAAAAAATTATTTTTTGGGAATAATAAAGTTTATAATGGACGGATGGATCAGACTATAAAATACCCGACTGAATAATAGTCCCTTATAATGCGCTGTATCTTAAATAAGGGGAATCGTTCAGCCAGCTCTCCTCACCTAGAGGCTAACCAATAAATTATTTTAAATAAATTTTTTATAGACGACCCTACTAAAAATACCCCTTGGAATTAAAAAATAGTAAGACCTTATGAAACATAAATTAAACTAGGAGCATCACTCTTTCACATAGAGGTTAACTAAAATTCGAAAACTTATTTTAACTTGATGTTTATCTAGCATTGGGGTGTCACACAAGCCTGGCTTTACAGTTATTATTTTTTAGGTATCCCGACCAGTCACTTTATCCTGCCAATTCTGGTAAACCTTTTATTAATTAAAGGTTTCGAGTATATTTATAAAAATATTTTAGGGCCCGAACTTGCCCGAAAAATTAACCGAGCATTGCGACGTGCTGATCTCGTTGAATGTGTTGAGGTCATAACTGAATTCTTTTATTTTTTAATTTAAATTTCTAAAGGCTGAGGATTACAAATCCCAACGTGATTGGTATGTTCCCATAGTTGCTGATGCAGAGGCGGGATTTGGGGGTGCTTTAAATTGTTTTGAACTAATGAAAGTAATTTTGAATTTTATTGGAATTTAGCTGAAAAAATTTTTAAAAATTCTTTAAAGGCCTATATCGAAGCTGGAGCATCCGGTGTACATTTTGAGGACCAATTAGGATCAGAGAAAAAGTGTGGGCATATGGGGGGAAAAGTTTTGATCCCTACAGCCCAACATATTCGCCATCTAAATGCTGCACGTTTGGCAGCCGATGTTTGTGGAGTACCAACAATTATAGTGGCTAGAACTGATGCAGAATCTGCACGTTTAATTACTAGGTATTGTAGTGGAAGAAAAAATTTTTGAGAAATTTTTCTAAAGTGATATCGATGAACGTGACCATCCATTCATTGATAAACACGCTGGAAGAACGGCTGAAGGATTCTACCGTTTACGTGAAGACAATGCCATCCAATCGTGTATTGAACGTGCTAAAAGCTATGCTCCTTATTGCGATTTAATTTGGATGGAAACGTAAAATTGAAGCGATTTTTGATTTTTAAGAAAATTATTTTTAAGTTCACATCCAACTCTGACAGATGCTAGAGAATTTTCTGAGGGTGTAAGGAAGGTAGAAAAATTATTTTTAGAGGAACAAGAGCCTATACAAGGAGGAGAACTAGAAATCTCTCTCCAGACTGACCGAACTAGGAGGGTCTTACAAGAATTGAGATCGGTATCTCGAAAAATCTCTCATTCTCAATAACTGGGATTTTCGTTTGAGATGCCATACAAGAATCTCGGTCCGATCTCTAATCACTCACAATACTCGAGGGAAAAGGATTATTGCCAAAAAATTAAACTTTTAAAGGAATTCCCCGATAAATTATTCGCCTACAATTGCTCTCCCTCATTTAACTGGAGACAGCATTTGAGACCTTCGGACATGGAAAAATTCCAACGTGAACTTGGAGCTATGGGATTTAAATATCAGTGAGAGGAATGATTTCTCTTAATTTAAAGAAATTTAAACTCAAGATTTATAACTCTTGCTGGCTTCCACACCAACAATTTTAGCGTTTTCGATTTGGCTAGAAATTATAAAGAACGCGGTATGGCTGCATATTCGGAATTACAGGAAAAAGAATTTGCTGCAGAAAAGTGACCTTTGAAAAAAATTTATAAAATTTTTTAAAATTAAAAAAAGATTCGGTTACACGGCGGTTAAACATCAACGAGAAGTAGGCACAGGATATTTTGATTATGTTGCTCAAGCTGCTGCAGGAGGTATTTCTTCGACGACTGCACTTAAGGGGAGCACTGAGGAGGCTCAATTTCATACGGCTACTGCTTCTGCCGATGAGGATGAAATTGTGACGGTAATCCTTCAAGATTCTTTTTTACAGAAGTCAGTCCTCACTTTTAAAACACCAAATAATAGACACCCTCTATTTGGTATATCTTCATTATAAGGTTTAAGGGTGTGTCTTATAGTGAGTTCAGACCCCCAATAGTGCATGACCTCGATGATACGTTTATTTAGGATACGTTTTTAATTTGGTTGATTATTGAGCGGCACCCTCTATTAAAGGGACACCCATTATAAGATACAGATTTTTCAGCCGCACGGGTTAGCTTATAATAGTGATTAGGGTTGACCAGGGCTGAGCGTCATGGTGTTTAGCGTGGATGACCCTTGCGGCTGAAAGAGAAAATTTGGCGCACAGCCCTGGGGCTGACTACATTTACTAAATAAATTCTAAAAAATAGATCACCGCCCCTGAAAATGCTGGAGACGAGACTATACTCACTCCCGATGCCCTCCGTTTCCTTCGCGAACTTCACCAAAAATTCGAGCCTCGACGCCATTCTCTCCTAGCTCAACGCAAAATTCTTCAATACAGACTCGATCAAGGAGATTATTTCCCCGATTTCGATTCAACTACAAAAAATATTCGTGACGATTTGGGGTGGAGTGGTGCTGAAATTCCGGAGGATTTGCTTGATCGTCGTGTAGAAATTACAGGGCCAACAGACAGAAAAATGGTTATCAATGCTTTGAATTCTGGAGCTAAAGTATTTATGGCTGATTTTGAAGTGAGAGAAATTTTCTTCTCAAAGGAAAAAATTTTTTTAATAAAAAAAGGATGCAAATTCACCAACTTGGAGGAACCAAATTGAAGGACAAATTAATTTACACGAAGCAATCCGTGGCCGAATCCATTATGTTAACCCTATCACCAAACAAGAATACTCCCTCAAGAAAAATACAGCAGTTTTGAAAGTTCGCCCTCGTGGTTGGCACCTTCCGGAAAAACATGTTCTTATTAATGACAAGCCAATGTCTGCCTCTGTATGTTGTTTGAGGAACTGGGCTTTTATTCTTTTAATTTTAAGCTTTTCGACTTTGGTCTTTATCTTTTCCATAATGCAAAAGCTTTGCAAGAGAAGGGAAGCGGCCCGTATTTTTATTTGCCTAAACTCCAGAATGCACAAGAAGCCCAACTTTGGGCCGATGTTTTTGCCTTTTCTGAGGAAAGACTGGGATTGCCTAAATCTACAATTAAGTGCACTGTCAGTATTTTTTAATTAATAAAGCATGAATTAAAGTTTACAAACTTAATAAATAATAATATTTATATTTCAAGTTTGTAAACTTGAAATAAATAAATAAACTTAAGCAGTATTAGTTAAAACTTGAATTAAAGTTGTAAATTTAATAATATTAAGTATTTCAAGTTTACAAACTTAAATAAATTATTAACCAAGTTTTTATTTTCTAAGTCTGCAAAACTTGAAAACCTAAACAATAATTTAAGTTTATTTTTCCTTTATAGTTAATTAAAAATTGAAGTAAAATTTTAATGCTTAGGCAATATTTCAAGTTTATTTGTATTTTCTGTTATTTTTTGTATTTTTAGTTAAAGCTTGAATTAATTTGTAAACTTTAGTAAGCAAACTAGAACTAATAAACTTAGATCTATTATACAGATGTATTTCAATACTTTCAGGTTTTAATCGAACATTTGTTGGCTACATTTCAGGTGCAAAATCTTTAAAAATATTTTTTAAAAATTAAAATAGATGGACGAAATTGTTCATGCTTTGAAAGATTATGTTGTTGGTATTAATTGTGGCCGTTGGGATTATATCTTCTCATATATTAAAGTTTACCCATTTTTATTTTAATTAATTTAATTCTTTTTTTAAAGGTTTTTCGAAATCATCGAAAATTTTTATTGCCAGATCGTTTCTTAGTTGGTATGAAAATTAAGGAAAAAATCTTAATTAAAAATAAAATTTTCTTTCAAAGGAATGACTTCCGATTTTCTCCGTGCTTATTCCCTCCTTTCAATTAAAGTTGCCCATCAAAGAAAAATTTTTGCAATGGGAGGAATGGCCGCGCAAATTCCTATTAAACATGACCAGACAGCTAATGAGGAAGCATTAAAAGCTGTTAGAAAGGACAAAGAAAGGGAGGCTTCTGATGGTCTTTGAAGAAAAAAATTCTTAGAAAAATATTCAAAAAATATTTTAGGACATGACGGTACCTGGGTCGCTCATCCCGGACTTGTGCCTGTAGCCCAAGCTGTATTTGATGCCCACATGAAGGATGGACATAATCAAATACTTAAACAACTTCCCGATTTTTTCACTGACAATCAACGATTGACTTCGCCTCCGGAAGGAGTAAGAACTGAAGCTGGATTCCGACGAAATATTTCTATTACTTTGGGTAGCTAAAAAATTTTTCAAAAAAATTTTTTTTGGAAATTTCCTTTAGGCTATTTGGATAGCTGGCTACGTGGTACAGGCTGTGTTCCATTATACAATTTAATGGAGGATGCAGCTACAGCTGAAATTAGTCGTGCACAGCTTTGGCAATGGCTTCGTCATGAAGCGCGTTTGGAAGGTAAAAACGGAAAATTTTTTCAGATAAGAAATTTTTTTCAATTTTTAAGATGGCCGTACTGTTGATCCTCAACTTGTTAAAATGACCATAGCATCGTAAAAATTAAAAAAATTTTTGTTTAAACAAAAAATTTTAGGGAGACTGAGCGTCGTTTAGTACGTGCCGGTTCTGTTGTAAATAGAATTCCTGAGGCCTCTGAACTTTTGGAAAAATTTGTTTTGGAGCCTGAATTGAGCGATTTTCTTACTTTGGTAAATAATAAAAATATTTTAAAATTTATATTTAATTTTAGGATGCTTATGATAAGCTTGTCTCGGAGGGAAAATAAATAATTCTTCATGGAAAAAATAATAATAAATATTTTTAATTAATTAATAACTAATTATAATAATGTATTTTTTACTTAAATAAAACATCCTAATTTAAATTATGTAAAAATAAATATTTTTCTAATTAAATGTTTCAAAAATTGGAAAATTTGCCAATAATTGGGCAAAATGGCTCAAAAACATTTTGCCAAACCTTTTGTTTTTATTTATTTTTGAATAAATACACCGTGCTGTTTTTGAAGTAAAGGTCTTTTTTCAATTGTTAATTTGTTAATTATTTGTTTTTAATTTGTTTTTATTAATAAATTCAAACAGCAGTTGTATGTCCTTAATGGTACAGGTATTGCTCGAAACTCGATTCGAAGGAATTTTGAAAAACCGATCCGAAACCCGACCCAACTTTTTTCTCAATCCGGCCCATCCCTAGCAGACCTGGGCGAAACTCCAAATTTTTTTTGGACGAAACGAAACGAAACAAAAATTTTTAAAAATCGTTTCGTTAACAAAACGAAACGAAACAGTGAAAATTTAACGAAACGAAACGAAACAAAACGAAACATTTTAATTTCCAAAAAAATCTCAAAAAACCTAATTATTTTATTAATTATTCAATTTTAAACATGTTAATTGGCCATTAATGACATTTATGCCATCATATAATTATGTGGAACCACAAATTGTGGTCCCATTAGCCATGGGGCAACAATTTTTGATCCCAATTTGTGTTTAGCCATTGCAAATCATTTTAAATGTTCATTTTTCTCTTAATTTCACCTAATTCCCTATATCGCCATCAGGCCCATAGCCAGGATTTTTTGTGGGGATAAAGGGAGGAAAATTTACTGCACCAAATTTTCGGCGCCGCTGAAAATTATGATTTTCAGCGGCGCAGGCAAAAATTTTTAAATTTTAGAAGGCTGTAGACCAAAAAATTCCTTTTTTCTGCGCCGCAGGCGAAAATTTTAAATTTGAAGGCTAATAGGCCAGATTTCTTCTTTTTCAGATAAGGTAAAAAGGGCAAATGCCTCCCAAATGAGCCTGGTACAAACTGAAACAGGGTGGTATGTACACTTGCCTCGATATCTCTTCCCACAAAATCCCTCGATATTACTATTAATACCCCAATTTCTCCGAATAATCTTGTAAATTATGCCTGAAGACTCTTAAAATTCATATTTCGGCGCCGCAGGCAAAAATTTTTTGAATTTCCATCACCAAAGTGGAAAATTTTTCAGTTTTTGAGTGATATTTTGGCTTAAAAAGTACCTAATGTTTCGTTAACGAAACACAGGTGTTTCGTTAACAAAACGAAACGAAACAAATTAAAAAGTGTTTCGTCACGAAACGAGACGAAACAGTAAAAAACATAACGAAACTAACGAAACAACGAAACGAAACGTTTCGCCCACGTCTGATCCCTAGTTGGGATTAGGACATTGGCAATGTTTTGTTTTTAACTCTTCTTTGACTAAAGTGTCAAACTTAATTAAAACAAACACTCGATTTTCTTTTTTAATTTTCTAAATCAATTCTGGTTGTAACTAATCACCGGCTTTATTATTTAATGAATTTCAAATTTACTAATCCCTCATTTACCTTCATAAAAAATTTTAGTCATTAATTACTCCCTTTTTAACAATTTTTTACCTATTTTCTTTAAGCAATGCGCCATTTTATCGTGTCAAGGCCAACTTTTTTCTTTCTCATTTTATAATAAAAAATGGAATAAAGGAAGGAATAAATTGAGTTCATCTCTATTTTATTTATACTCCTAATCCATTTTAAAAAACAAAAAATGTATCCATTCCTGAAGATATACACCCTACATTTTCTATATCAGCACCTTGAAGACCTATTAACTCTGAAGCCTACAACTTTGAAAGGGAATATCGAGAGATTTAGAGGAATTAAGGGAATATCGATGGATTTGAAGGAATATCGATGGACTACTCACCCAAATCTCTATTTCTATTTTTCTTCAATTTTCACACACTTACAATACCGCACCACAGGTTTTGAAATACAGAACTGGGGTGCTTACTTTCAGAGAGGAGGGTATTTATTCCCTTTATGACTTAAATCCCTCAATATTCCATTTCTAAATTTGTAAGTCTTCAAGGTCAATAGTTCTTCGGGCTGTAGTTCTTCATGGATGACCCCTAAATAATATTTTTTATTCAAAAATCTAGACTTCTCTTATCCATCTAAAATTATCAAAATTATCAAAAATTCTTCATTTTATCAAACAAAAAATATTTAAATTTATTTTTTACTCTTTTTTCTCTTTCAATTATTTTTATTTCACTCACTTGCTCGCGCAGATATTTACAAAAATATTCACATTGAATGTCCATTTTTAGATTTTCTCTCCCCCCATTTTATTAAATGCCACTAACCTTCCCTTCATTTTTGTGATGTTCACTGCGTCAATAATTTACAACAGATTTAGGTCACTCTTCAATGCTCGTTTTACTCTTGTATATTTTAATAAATATTTACTATATTTTCATAATTTTTATACCAATTATCTGCGCAAAAATTTTTTTAAAATTTTTTAATTTTTTGAAAAAAAATTTTTTTGGGTTTTTTAAATTATTTTTTGGGTATTTTTTAATTTTTTTCTTTTATTAAAAAAAAATTTTTTTAATTAAAAAATAAAGGAAAAAAAGAATATTCTTCAATTTTTTCTTATTTGTTCTTGTTGCCGGCTTAACGTAGTAAATAAATAAATAATTTTTTCAATATTCTTGAAAATGGATTTTTACTTGGATTTTTTTTATTTATTCTTGTGTTTAATCCAGCAAAAAAAATATTTTTGAATAAAATATTAAATTAAATTAAAATTAAATTAAATTAAATTAAAAATTGTTCTGATTTTTAATTCTGAAAAATTAAATTCTGAATTTTTAAAATAAATTTTTAAATTTTCCCCCAATTCCAAAAAAAAATTATTTTTATAAATTATTTTTGTTCCAATTTTTTCCCTTTCCATAATCCATTTAAAAAAAAATTTTTTTTCAAACCATTTCAATAATTCACTTTTCCTTTTTTTATTGAACATTAGCCCCTGCGCAAGGATTAATCTTATTTTTTAAATAGAATTAATATATAGAACTTTTTTAAATTTTTTTTTGTAAATTTTCACTATTTAAAATATATTTAAAAAATTTATTTTATTTATTTTTAAAGCAAATTTATTTAATTTTATTAATTATTTTAAATTATGATTTTATTATTTATTGTTTATTTATTAATTAATTTTATTCATTGTACAAAGGGTATATTTTAATTTATAATTTTCATTTATAAAATTAAATTCTGATTTTAAAAATTCTGATTTTATTAAAATTAAATTAAAAATTGTTCTGATTTTTTATTCTGAAAAATTAAATTCCGATTTTTAAAAAATAAATTCTGGTTTTTTAAATAAATTCTTATTTCTAAAATAAATTCTTATTTCTAAAATAAATTCTGGTTTCTAAAATAAATTCTTATTTCTAAAATAAATTCTGGTTTCTAAAATAAATTCTGGTTTTTTTGAAAATATATTCTGGTTTTTAAATAATTCTGATATATTAAAAATTAATTTCTGATATTAAAAATTAATTTTTGATTTAAAATAATTGTTCTGATTTGTAATAAAATTGTTCTGATTTAAAAAATTCTGATACAATTAGAAAATTATTCTGATCAATTAATAAATAAATTCTGATTTATAAATAATTTCTGAATTATAAAAACTTGATAATTATGATTTTTTAAATTAAAATTAAATTCTGATTTTAATTTAATAACAGAAACAACACCTTCTTCACTCCCTTCACTTAATTGCCAACCAATTTATGTTAGGTGGCCTAGAGTTAAATTAAATAATCAAATTGATACAAATTTGTCTTCTTCAATTATTGAGAATAATTTATCGTTTTCTGATTGTCAAAATTTTTGCAATTTTGAATTAAATCCTTTCAACAAAAATAAATATTTACAGGTAGTTTTTTACTTGAAAAAATTTTCGAAAATTCTTTAAAAATTTTTTGAAATTTCTAAAAAAATTTTTCATTTTTTCAAAATAAAAAAATTTTCTTAGTGTTCTGCCATTAATTACTTTGTTGGTTTAACTAATCATTCAAATACTTGTCAGCTTTTTAGTAGTGAATATGTTCAACATACCGATGGTTATATGGAGGCGGATGATAGGTACTTATATTAAAAATATAATTTCCGGAATAATTGAAAAGACGTCCTTCTTGTGGACACTTTTTTAAATTTTTTTTTCTCTTTTTTTTGTGCATTTTTGTACGTTACAAACAATTAGGGTTGAGAAAGATTGAGTCGGGCATCGAATTTTGGGCTAAAAAAGACGGCCGGATCGGTCCGACTCGAAAACCCCAACCCTACAAACAATAGAATGATTGTATGATTAAAGTTAAAAAATAAAATCCTCAAAAAATATGACGCGCACTTCTTTAAAATTGCTCACTTTTCCTAGTTTTTAAACACTTTTTCAACTTTTTTTTATATTTTAGATACACATTTTATTGGAAATTTTGTCTAGAAAGTTTGTATTTTTTAAAATCCTTCCCAAAAATTTCAATTTAAGCTTCAAAACGCTGTACCGGCGAGTATGCCTTTACATTCTTTTCAGACCGTTATATGTTGTCTAGCGATGTTACTCAAATTAAATTTACTTCAAGTTTGGAAGAATGTTTGGCGTTATGTTTAAATAGCGCGGAAACTTCAAAATCAAATGTTTGTAAAAGTGTGTCTTTTAACAGGACAGATGGGGGTTTTTTAAATAATCTTAATAAAATTACTACATATCCCCTCTAAAAGGTTGCCATTTATCTTCACAAAATCAACATAGCAAACCAACCTCAATTCGTATTAATAATAGTTTGCTTTAAAAAATTTTTTAAATTATTCTCTCTCAAATTTTAAGATCCAAACTATAGAATTGATTATTACGAAAATAATTGTTACAACAGTAAGTTTAAAAAAAATTTATTTTTTTAAATATGTGCCATTGGATATTGTCGCTCCTTTTCATTCACAAAAATGGCATATTTTCTGTTTCCCCAGAAAATGTGGGGAAGTATTTCTTAAATTTATGCTAATAAAGATGGGTGTCGGAGCGGTCCTGATTCAGGGTCTAGGGGTTCTAGAGCCTATTCCACTCTCTTCCAAAGCTCTAGCCTGCTTAAAATATAAATTCCTGATTTTGGAAATAGGTGTTATTGACACAAAATAATTTTGGAATTCCCGATTTTTAGGAATCGGGTCGGCTAGACCCCCGATTTATACTGTACAAAATTAAAAAAAAATTTTTTCAGATAGTTTTACGTTTACTTCAAATTGTGAGCCTACCGGCATTCGAGTATATTCTTCTTATTTTCTCTAAAATTTATTTTCCCAATTCAGATAACCGTAGATTCCCTCATTCCCTATACCGGCGCCCTTTATGGCCTCTATGATTTTTTCTCTTGCCGTGTAGAACCTAAGGAACAACAACATTTTGAATTGTTTTTTCCCTATCCTAATTACGCCAAAAATTGTTCTGACAGTATGAGAAGACTGGTCTTTAAAATTATTTTGAAATTATAAAAATAATTTTTATAGGAGAATGATATATTCCTTGAAGTTGTTTTATCAACAGATGGGGTAGAACCTTTATATTTTATAACAGCAGATGATTTGACTTATCAAGCCCGTTGTCCAGCACCGACTAAACAAAAACAAATTAGTCAAGAAAGGTTCTTAAATGATATATTGGGGGCAATAAAAGCACTGGGGCACTTATTAAGAGTTTTGCGGACAAATTATTTTTGCTGACATTTTCTTGCGGACATTTTTTCACAAAAATATATTTTTCTGTTTATCTTCCATACTTTTCCCATAATTTATTATGATGAAATAACTTACCGGATTGTCTCTAATAGAAGCCCATGCCCTATTAGAAGCCCACTCAATGAGGGGTATTGAAAAATAGAAGCCCAGGGCTGTATATCGCACTAAATTTCAATACCAGTCAAACTTAAAATATGCCGGCGAATTTAAAATTTGCCTGAAATTTTATGTAATTTGCCGCCGACTTATAAAAAACTCTGAAAAAAGTGCCTAGTCCAAATTTTACATTTTTCAAAAATTTAATTTTAAAGTTATTCAACAACAACACAACTTACAACCAACCAAACAACAACCTCTCCTACCGAAAATTTAATAAAAAATAATTATATTAGGGGAAATTCAATTAATGCAATTTTGGAAGAATTGGCTAATTCAGCAACAACAACAACAATAAATAATAGTGAAGAAGAAGAAAATAAAAAGGATAAAAAATTGGTAGAGTCTTCAAGTAGTGAAGAAGAAATTCAAAAAAATAATGAAGTTTCTTCTACAACTTTTGAGACGACAAAAATTAATTTAAAAGAAAATAATAAACAGAAAAATGAATTTACTAAAGATACATTTTCTTTACCGTTATATTCAATTCTTCAAAATGAATTTTCTGAAACTACTACAAAAAGTGAGCTTCTAGGCAAATTTAAAATATGCCGGAAATAATTAAAATTTGCCTAAAATAAAGATTTGCCATCGACCTTTTAAAAATTCGAAAGCGAAGAGTGTTGCCATTGGCCTGAAACAAAATCATAAATTTTTTCTGACTGTGAGAAATGGTCGGTCCTAAAAATGGGAATTTTCCTTGCATATGTATAAATGAATTTAGAAAATATTTTTAGGCTAATTTTTGGTGCCTAGGCACTCATTTATTTTCTTCGGCTGCATTTTTAAAACAAAATTTAAATTAGATTTTACTTTGGGTTGAACACTAATTTTTTGTCTTCTGAAAATCTTAAAGAAAAATCACTGAATCACCTTTACTAATCAAGGGAGTAATAAAAAAATTATTTTTGTCTCTCAATTAAAAAAAAAACAAAATTTATATTTATTTTCAAGTTAATAATGATACCTCCTCAACTCTACTATTACAACAAACTTTCCAACCGACAACAACACCTCAACAATTACCTTCTGAAATAGAAATTGAAACAACAATGATTACTTTTCTCCCAAAAACTACCTCAACATTACCCTTAGAAAATAAAAATGGATCCTCATCAACAATAAAACGTAGAAGACCCCCAACAATTGGAATGGAAAGTTTTTTTGAGGAGGAGGAGAAATTAAATGAGACTTCTTCAACAACAATTTTGCCTCTTCAATTAACAGAACAACAACCACAATTAAGTACTTCAACTCCCCAAATTAATAATAAAACAACAACTAAACGTTCTATTAATTATGAAAATATTAATAATTTGGAGGCTCAAAATAGGGAATTTAGGTACTTTTTTAGCATGGTTCTTATGGTATATATTTTCCAAATGCAATTTTTTGTCCGCAAGTCGTAATATTTTTATTAAAAAATTCGAAGGAAGAAGGATATTTTAGAGACACCTCTTACACCTAGGGAAGTCGAAAATCCTGGAAAATTCTGACAGCAAAACTTTTTTGGAGTAGTATCTGCCAGACTAATCTCCCTCTCTTAATAAAGTTTTGTAAAACCTTGAGTTTATAATTGAAATTAAAAATATTCTTTTTTTACATCGGAGGATGGGTAAAATCTAGAGAATTAAGGGCTCCTTACCTAAAAAACAAAAAATCAAGTTCAAGTCCCTGACACGCATGCTTTATAATTTTTACCAAAAACCCCTCTTTTTTAATTAAATGTCCGATTGCAGACAAAAAAACTTACGAACTTTTAAACCTAAATTTATCTTTTTAAGTTTTTCTACTCATTTGGCCTTCCCTCCTGACAAAATTTTTATAAGTACCAGAAATAATTATTTAAATAATAAAAATGATGAACAAAAAATAAACACAACAACAAATATTTTAATTAATTCAACAATAAATCCTCAATTATCCACAATTAAAATACCAATAACTACCACTATAAATAATGAAGCAAAGGAAGAGGTTTATTCAAAAATGGAAGTAATTAAAGAGAAGGAGGAAGAGATAAATAAAAATAAGGAGAGAGAAGAAGAAAAGAGAAGAAAAGAAAATAAATCAGAAGAAAATAAATCAGAAGAAAATAAAAAATCAGAAATAAAAAAATCAGAATTTAAAGAAGAAACAGAAGCAACCCCAATAACTACTACAATTTCTGAAGCAAAAAAAGCAGAAGAATTAAAAATAAAAGAGAATAAATCAGAATTAAAATCAGAATTACCCCAGCCAAAAAAAGAAAATAATTTAACGACAACCCCAATAACTGTTTTAATTAAAGAATCGAATAAAGAAACGTTAATTAATGAAACTACTTTGCCTCCACCTCCTTCTAGTACTTCTATTGCTTCTTCTACTTCCCCAAAATTGCAAGTTTTGGAAAAATCTGAAGGAAATGGAGAAGGGGGAGGGGGATTGCCTCCGTATGTCTTTATTTTTTTAATAATATGATAATTAGGAGAAATTTTCAACAAATTAGGGATCGAACCTGGTTGTCCCTTGATGAGCTTTAAATGTTATGAGATCTCTTCCCCGAAATTTTACTAAAACGTTGAGATTAGTGTTGACTTTCGATTTTCGAGTTTTTCTTTGTTTCGAAACAACTATGGTGATGTTAACACTTTGTTTTTAGTTACATCCAATTAATTAAATTTTACAAAAATTTTTTAAAGTTTTACTTTTGTGGACAAACCTAACTCAGAAATTTTCTTTTTTTTATTTTCCAAAAATTATTTTTTCAATTTTTTGTTAGTTCTGGTGATGTTCACCCACCCTCAACATCCTTTGGTGGTAATAAACCGCCAGGTACTCAGGTTGGAAATATAGAGGAGAGAAGAGTATCTCAAAGAGAAAAAGTTATTTTTGAAGTATTTCATAATGGACAACCTGTAAATTTTTTTGAAAATTTTTCTCAAAAAATTTTTTTTAATTTAAAGGCTGATGCTGTTGTTGTTGGTAGTAGAATAACTTTGGCTTTTACACCTTATTTTGCTATTCCACGTAAAAAAAATATTTTTTAATAGAGTCAGGCCTCCTTATAGCATACCTTTCTAGGATTAGAAAAATTTTATCTAATAATTAGGTGTTGCTTAAATAGAAGGTTAGACTGGTCCTCCTTCCCCACAGGGCAACTCAACTTTATAGTACTTAGCTTAAACATAGAGTGAGTTCTGACAAAAATACCTCTCTAATAGCATTCCCGGGCATTTTTTAATCATCCTCAAAACATTTTATTAGAGAGGGGCATTCAACTGTAGAGGAGAGGCTCGTCCAATTAGAGATTTTACGATAATGTATAATTAAAAAATTTTATTTTATTTTTAAAGCTTCCCATATGTCTATTTCTGGTTGTCAAGTTGAGCCAATCGGATCACTTTATGATTGGGAAAAGGAGCCTTTGGCTATTGTTAAAGTACTGAATTTAAATTGAATTTTATTCAAAAAAAATAATTTTTGAAAGGATGGTTGTCAGGCTGATCATGTTGGGCTTGTTTGTCCTCCACAAAAGACAGACTATGGTATTCGGGTTACTGTAGAGGCCTTTCGTTATCAGGTGAATTCGATGAATTATTAGATTGTTGTCAAAGATCCTTTATGTTTTCAGACGACAACTCAAGTTCAATATACTTGTTTAATTAGAGTTTGCCCTTTTGCACCATGTCCACAAGTAATTCTAAATTAAAATACTCTTTTACTTATTCCCCTCTATATAGACAACCTGTCCATCAGTAGAAGGTTGTCCAGGGGATGATATCGTTTCTAGAACACTCGGATCCTTTGGAGGCCGTAAACGTTCTAAACGTTTTAACGAAAATGGGAAGAAAGGGAAAAATATTTCTCGTCGAGATACAGTCCATTGGTTGGCTGGAAGTCAACGCCAAAGAGACCAACCATTTAAAATGTCTAGTGGTAAGGAGAGAAATTAAATTTTTTTTGAAAAATCTAAAAATTTAAAAAGCTCTTCAACAACAACTAATTTTACTTGGTGGAGATTCTTTGGTTAGGAGAAGGTTAATTGTTGTCAATTCAGATGATGAATTGAGGTATTATACACGGACTGGGGAAATATTAATTCGGTCTGGGTTTTATAACTAATTCTATAATTTTTAATTGTATGTATGTATACTCAGAGACTGGACTTGATAGACTATCGAAAAGATATCTCGATAACTAAGGTTTTAAACGAGGTTCTATCCTAATCTGGACAAATGTGTCAGTGGACATTCGGTCAGTTCACCAATGGAGAGAGGTATCTATATCACTCAATATCCCTCTTAATCCTCTAACATCCCTCCCTCCTAATCCTCGATATCTCTCTCAATTAATACTTGATATCACAAATACCTTTATATCCTCTTAACCCTCCCGAACTGCTCATTAACCTCCAAATCCCGTGATATCTCTTTTAATCCCACCCCTATATCTTTGTTAATCCAACAAACTCCCTTCTTAATTACTCCTAATTAGTCTGATTATCCACAGATACATTGTCCGGAAGCCTCCCAGTCTGATCTCTCTTTTATATTTTAAAAATATTTTTTCTAACTAAAATTTATACAATTTCTACTTTAAAATAAAAAATTCAATTTAAAAACGTTAAATGGGGGAAAACTATGGTTGTTGGCTATCAGTTTTAAACCTCGAAAAATTTTTTTGAAAATGAGTGATTTAATAAAATCCTGCAGAAGAAAACCGGAATTTATTAAAAATCGGTCTTTTAAAATTTGGTTTTAGCCGAAAACCCAAATGTATCGATGGTTAATAATTGAAAGCCAACAACCCCTCTAAGGGAAATAATAGAAAAAATTAAAAAAATTTTTTTTAGTTAAATAAAAATAAATATTTAAATAAAAATATAGGTTGTGCTTATGAAGTGTCACGCAAAAATGTTGTGGACATGTTTTTTAACTAATTTTTCAAAAAATATTTTTTTTAGATTGGGGTTTTTTTCCAAAAAATCATAACATAAACACAACCTTTACATAAATTATCTACTACTAAAATAAATTGAAAAATAAATTAAAAAAAAATTTTTAGAAAAATAAATTTTAAATAATTACTAGAAAATAATTTTTTTGTAAATTTTTTAAATAATCACTCGATTGATAAAAATCATAAAAAAGTTTTTATAACTAATATAGTTTTCCAATGATATTTAAAAACGGTCAGGGTTGAAAATGATCAGAGATATTTATAAGTACTAGAGTTCGAACTTTTCTCTTTGCTGGTTTCCGGGCTACCGGGCCCGGAAAACCCCTGTCCAGGGCACTGCCCAGGACTATTATCTTCCTACTCTATAACTAGAAAGTCCAAGTAATTTTTTTAAGAAACAAAAATTAATTACTAATTGACCATTTTTAACCCTAACCATTTTTAAATAAAAAATTTACTTAACTTACGGTTATGTTTTTCTTTTCTCTTAAAAATTTTCTCAATCCATTTTCGGCTCATCTTGCTTATTCTCATCATTCTCTTCAACAGCTAAATTTAAATCAGGAATTAATTTTTCACGCTCATTCGAACCAGTTGAAGAGGCGTCTGTCGGTATTTCTGCATTTGGAACCTTTAAAATTAAAAATTAGTCGATAAGTTGTCGGCTTAAGTCAATAGGCTAATACTTTTAAAGTGCGTCCTAAAAGGCCGTTCATTAGTGTCCATTTGTACCCGAAGGGTTATATAAACGTCTACTGTAGATAGGAACGAGTTAATATGTGGAAATGAGGGATAGAGGTGTCTGTTCTTGGAAAACCAACAGAAAATCCTTGGTTCTTCAGCTCAGTTCCGAACCGACAATCCTTATGAGATTAAAACAGGGTATACGGAAATCAGCAATGCCCTAAGGATAAATGATGACTTGATAATGAAGTTTATTATAAAGAGAGTTTTGTATTTTTTACATTGGATGGAGGCAAAACTTGTGTTGGAATTTCCTGATTATTCGCCAATTCAGGGTTAGTAACAGACAATGCTGGGGACAATTCTTTTTCAGTATTTTCCTCTGTCAATTTATTCTGTTCTCGTAAAATTTTCTCCCTAATTTCTAAACTTCTATGTTTTTGAAATGGTTTGTTGGATGCTTGCTTCAAATATTCAAAAATAAATTTTATTTTTTATTTAAATCCACCTTAGGTTTAGGAGGAAGCTTTTCAAGTTTTAAAGGAAAAGTTGTATGATAGTCATCCATTGTTGGCGCTTGAGGAGTTGCACGTAGATGGTAGCCTCCCACAATTCTTCCCTTTGCCTAAAAAAGGGAGTTAATTTTTATTTTAGAAAGAGTCTCTCTCTACAAACTTGTTCAGTTTCAGTTTGTTGCTCAGAGGTAGTCGACTTCTGTTTATAATTATTTTTAATTAAAGGTCTCATTATGCCTTTTAAGGAAGGGTTTATAATTCGTTTGGTTCCTGTAAGTAGGGGGAAAAGAGAGATACTATTTGGAGAGATCCCATATGTTCAGCTACAAGAGGTTGTTTGACTGTATTTGGGTTTCTCCCTGATTTGTGGGGGAGGAGGAGGTAGCGAGAATTTTCAAAAAAAAAGTCAAATTCCTCAACTTTCGAGGAACTACCCCTACTTATTACTAACTTGTTCAGTTTCAGTTTGCTGCTCTGAAGTAGACGGCATCTATTTATACAAGTTAAAAATTAATTTTTAAAAATTAATTTATATTATAATTACCTCGATACGGCGAGGAATATAATTTTTACGCTTATCTTGACTAACAACTTTTTTTGGCACAGGAATATCTTAAATTTAAGAATAAGGTTCTTGGAGCTGACGTATTAAGGGAAGGGAGACGTTAAAGAAGAAACGTTGTAACAAGGGAGAGCACCGGATGGTTCAGCGAACGCTGAACGTATGACGATCCATCCCATAGGCCCTGGGTTAGAGAAAGGAAATTCCGCCAGAGAAGGCGATGATTAAGCTACCCCGCAGGTGAGAGAAAAAGCGGGAAGAGGGCAGATAAGAAGACTAGGGACAGTCTTCCCTGGGGATGGAGGTGTAAAGCATATAGCTATTAATTTCCTAAGGCTATGCAGTAGGCGGCGTGGTGTAATGGCTAACACATCAGTCCGGTCTACTGAAGATGCTGGTTCGCTCCCAGCCGCCGAATAACCTTTTGCATTAGCTAAAGGAGAGAAATAGCTATAGCCCAGCTGCTTTACTACAGGATTACCTCCTTGGACTTCTTTATAACGACACCTCAAGGCCGGCACACTTTTCCCCATAATTCATCAACATATCAAGGGAGATGTATTTGGAGGGGTGCCGTAATCTTCAATAGGATTACCTCTTTCTTTGTCACTAAATTCTTTGTCTTCTTTACTAATTGCCGATTTAACAAAATCTCTAATTTTAAATTCTTTATCAGAATTCCCCACAGTACTTTTTCCCATAATTTTCCCAATTTTTTTAGTTTTTGCTTTTTTAGCCTCTTCATTTTCATCAACAGAATTTTTAACATTTTCCAATTCATCTTCATCATCAGTTAAAGTTAAATCCACATATACAGGCTTTTTCCCCTTTTTATCGTCATCTTTCAAAATTTGCCCGACAGATCGTTGACTTCTCCTTTGTGTACGTTCTTCTTTTCTTCGATTATCGCCAGAATTTCCTGAAGAACTGTCAGAAGTATTCCCATCCGCGGAAGCTTTTGAGTTTGAACTTGGCGAGGTTGAACTTGAATTTCCCCCATCACTGCTATTTCCACTTGTCGATCGACCAGATGATTTATCAGAAGATTTGTCACTTTCTGATTTGTCAGAATTACTTGTTTTGGAAGCAGTTTCATTACTACCACCATCTTTTCCGCTTGGAGAACTTCCTTTTTCATCATCAGAAGGGGTATCTTTAAAGTTTATTTCAATTACTTTCAGACTTCACTATAACACCCAAATTAGATAGCCCTACGAGAGACGCTTTTTTAAAATTGTTTGGCTACTGGATGGAAGGGAGAGTTTGTTTAAGCATTACCCTCAATTTAAGGCACAGCTCATTATAAGGTACCGATCTTTCAGCTTTGAGGTGGTATCTTTTTGAGGTCCTCCCGTTAAATTTTCACTACCTGATTCACTTTCTTTTTGACTATTTTCATCCTCACTTGAAGATATACTAACTACATCATCATCTTGTTTTTTTGCTTTGACTTTTTTCTTATCTTGATTTTTATTACTTTTAGATTGTGTAGATGTTTTTGAAGGCATATCATCACCTAGTGTTATAGTTTCACGCGAGGTTCTTTTATCTTTAATATTTATTTTATTAAAGCTTCGATTTTTATTAAAATGTCCGCAAAAAAAGTCCGCAAAAATGTCCGCAAAAAATGTCCGCATAAACCCTTGCTTTATGTTCGATTATTATAAATTTAAAAATAAATGAAATACGTTTTCGGCTGCCAGAACCTTCAAAATTAGTAGCACTATGATCCGCCACTACTATATTTATATTTTATTATTTTTAAAATTTAATAAAATTATTTTTACCAGGCGGGGGCGGCATAAATGGTTGATGAGGAGGAGGAACTTAAAAAATTTTTTGTTTTATATTTAAAATATTTTTACATTGTGGGTACATTGAATATGGTGGGGGGTACGGATTGAACGGATTATCTAAAAATCAAAAAATTATTTCTTATTTCTTTTTAATTTACAGTAAGGTGGGTTTGGCATAAATTGTTGTTGAGAAGGATCTTGTTGAGGTGCATTTGGTAGAGCAGCTTTAAATAAAAAATATTTGGTTTTCGCCTGAAGATTAAATTTTTTGGTTAGAAAATGATGAAAGATTGTTATCGAGAGATTTGAGGATATGGAGGGATTAAGGTGATAATGAGGCTTAGGGATATGGATAGGTGCGTTGAGGATAAGGAATGAATTGAGGATATGGGGGGATTTGTGAGATTAAGAAAGAATTTGGACGATATGGAGAAAATGAGGCATTAAGTGATAAGTAAGGATCATGAAGGATTAAGGAAGATACCGGAGGACTTGGAGGGATATCTGGATTAAAAACCCCCGATATATTTTTAACCACTAAATCAGGGGGGGATTTGTTGGAGGACTAATCGTAAGCATATTTAAATTTTTAACCCAAACAATGAACTTGTCCCACAGGTTTTAGGATTTTCAAGAGCGAAGTTTTGAATATTTTTGAAGTGTGTGCTACGACCATTCCGCATGCCCGACAGACTTTTTACCGACAACTGTTTTTACCAATACCCTTTCACCGATTTTCCTAGTGTGTCGGGGAATATCAAACAGAAAACTTCTTTAAATAATTCTCACCTTGTTGATGGGGAGGTAATTGCTGGTGGGGCATTAAACCTTGCTGGGTAGGCATGAAACTTTGCATATGGTGCATGTAAGGAGGATAATACATTGCTAAAATTTCGATTAGAATACATTTTTTAATTAATAATTTTTACGTTGCGAGGGGTGATGCATTAAATAATGTTGAGGTTGCGGATATGCTTTAAAAAAAATTTTTTAATATACAGTTGAACCCTACTATAAGATATCCCCAAATTTTAATTTTGATTAGTCTACTGATGTGAATGGGGGAAGTGCTTATTAGTGATGTTCTAGACTCTCGGTTCCCGTATCGGGAAATTCCCGAGTTTTTAGCTCTCGTTCTCGACTCGGGGTTTTTTTACTATTGCCTATGTTACTAGTGCCTATGTGATACACTCAATTTAAGATGCCTCTCATTATAAGGCATTATTTTACAAAAAGTGGGTATCGTATAGGGTGTTACGACAATTGCGGATACGACAATTCCGGGCTGACAATTCCGGTCTATACTTGCGGACGACGATTGCGGATAAAAAAATTTTTTTATTTTATATCCGCTGTTGTCGTTCTGCCATCTTATAGTGAGGGTTTTTAGCTATAAATTTAAAGATTTACGAGGAGGATTATTTTGTGTTTGCAAAGGATTTGGTGGATTTGTTGTCCCAATTTTTTGTTTTTTACTCTTTCTATCACCGCTAGAAGTCTTTCTTTTATCACTATTTGAAGATTCTCCTCCTTTTTTACTACTACTCCCCCCTCCACTATTCTTCCTCTTCTTGTCTTTTGATGATTCTTTCTTCTCTTTTTTTACTTCACCAGGTTCTACTTTTATTTTAATTGGTGGATTAACTCCTTTATCTTTCTTTTTAGAATCTTTGGAAGAAGGTTCTGCCCCCTTTTCTTTTTTAACTTTTATCAAATCTTCCTTCGATGTTTTGTCCTTTGAAGATTTTGATTTTTGTTGATCTTTAGTTTTCTTCTTTTCTTCCTCTTTTTTCTTCCCTTTTTCTTCCTCTTTTCTCTTTTCTTCCTCTTTCTTCTTTTCCGCTTTCTTCTTTTCCGCTTCCTTCCGTTCCTTTTCTTTCCTCTCCTTTTCTTCTTTCTCCTTCCTTTCCTTTTGCTTTCTTATCTCCTTTTCTTTCTTCTTTTCCTCTTCTTTTTTCTTCTGATCATCTAAAAAATATTTTTCAATGGAAGAAAATATTTAAAATTATTTTTTTGATAAAATTATAACCTCCCCCCTTGAAGAATTTTTAGAGCGACATTTGCGTACCGACAAATGCGGACATCCACCTTATACCTACATATATCCTTTATTTCAGTACTAGTAGATGAGTACTATACTACCACAATATTACTGTATATACAGACAAAAGTACCCATTGGAAAGTTGCTCCAAATATAATAGGGCCAAGCTTTATTCGCAAGTGTCCTTTTTCGCAAATGTCGCCAGGCCATAAAATTATAATTTTATCAATTTACCTCTTGAAGATTTTTTTCTTTTTTCTTTACTAGTTTCTCCTTCAGTATTTTTTCTTTTAGAAGAATTTTCCCGTTTTTTCTTTTCCTTTGGTTTATCTTTTTCTGTTCTATTTGGGCTTTCCTTCTACATATTTTAAAAATATTTTTTAACTATTATTTTGTTAATTATGCCCAGCTACCAACAGACTGCTTCCCCTCCCCTCCCCCAGACTTAATAGTTCCAAAATTGCCCCAAATTCGAGAAATTTTGAAAAATACAAAGTAAAATTTAGCAAATTCATGGGATCCTTATTCTACATTAAAGACAGTTAATCTCTCTAATATATCACTCCTCGGAACTAAAATGAGCCGACTTGTATAGGAGAGGGTGTATCAGCGAGGTTTGACTGGATATATTTTTTAAATTTTTCTATCAATTTTTATAACCACCTCTTGTTTTACTTCAATTTGAGGTTCATTTTGTTCATTTCCTTTATCATTATTTTTTTCACTTTCCTTTTCTTTATCATTATTTTGTTCATTCCCTCCTCTTAAAATTTCCTCCAATGTTTTTTCGGCCAAATTTGGATCGATTCCTTGTATAGTTTTATTTGCTGTTTCCAGAAAATCTTTGTCTTTTGAAGTTGTTTGTGGTTCTGTTACTATAACGGTTGTTGTTGTTGTTCTCTTCTTTTTCGTCAAATTTGCAAGCCAATCTCGACTGGTTTCTGCTCCACTTGAATTTGCTTTATCCTTGTCTTGAGCATTTTGTTGTCCACCTTTAAGTATTGAATTAGTTATAGTCAACCCTTTTAGGGTTAAAGAAATTTTATCTTATGTATAATGATGGGTATCTCAAATAAGGGGTATTGCTTAGGCATCTCCCCTATTTAATAGATTTCTAGATTTTCTATACGGACAATTCACCATAAGTGAATACGGTGAATTGTCAATATTATGAATTGCCCTAAATTTACTTGAAGAGGATGTTTGTGGTTGTCCAGATGCCTGAAAAGTAAATTGTTCAGGAGGTGTTGGTTCCTTTTCTAATTGAGATATTACTGAAGCATCAGTCTCTTTATTAGAAGTCTCCGTTCTAAAAGCAAAAGAAGGATGGTGGTTTAAAGTTCTTGGGCCTGGGGATTGTGGTGTTAAGTGTTCGTTTTCTGGGGTTGGTGAAGGAAATCGTGGTGATGAAGGTTCTGCTGCTTCATTCAAGTCGAATTGATCGTTTTTTTCTTTAAATTAATTATTTTTTCATTACATTTTTTGTGCCCTAACAATAGAGGAATATTCCCTAAAACTTTCTTGCATGCCGACATTTGCACGAAACTAGAATCTATCGAACTTATGAAAACTTGCTCTTAAGATTAATTTTTTCCTCCCTTCCATAATTCATGCAAAAACCGAAACTTTAATAGGAAACAGTGTATGTTCGCACATGTTTGTATACAAATGTCGCCCTGTTTTAATAATTCACCAATATGTTTTCTCACTCCCTTCAAGAATCCTTGAGGGATTTTGAGAGATTCCTAATATTTTATATCTGCTAAAAATTCCTTTCCCGTTCAAAAAAATATTTAACTCCCTTCTTACTTACCATATTCACTTGAGAACGGAACATTAATTGGTTTGCTTGTACCTTCTTAAATTTAATTTTTAATTTTTAAAAATTTTTCAAACAAAATTACCCGCTCCATGAGTTTGTCTTTTTGAGGCTTCTATAGCTTTCTGCATTTGTCTCTCCTCCAAGTCTGAGGCTTCCTCTACAGCAGAATATAATTCATCTACTATTTTTACCCCTTTTCCTTTCCTTTTTTTAGCATTCTCTTCTTCATCTTCTTCATCCTCGTTATCTTCTTCATCATCATCATATGAGTATTTTTTTGTCTCTGAAATATTTACTAATAGATAACTGTCAGATTTAATTATAACATGCCATGGGAAATGAGAGGTATTTGAGGTATAATGTACCTTAAAGGGAGGGTATCGCTTAGACATGTCCCCCACCCAGTCCCAAGACAACTAGCCATAGGCCACCTTTTCAAAAACCCTAAAGTAAAAGCCTTTTTAATTTGGCCGGCTAAATTCAATTTAGCCGGCCAATTTGAATTTGGACTGAAAAATCTTTTAAACGTTTTCTCGTCCGAGTGCTTCTCCGAGTGTTTTCTTTTTCCTTGTCCTCCTCTTGCTTGTCCTCATCTTCATCTTCCTCTCCTTCAAATTCCTCTTCTTCATCTTCATCCTCCTCATCTTCAAATTCTACTTCTTCGTCAGATTCTTCCTTTTTTGCAGGTCTTCTTCCTCTCTTTTTTGGAGCCTGTTTTGCTTTTGCTACTTTTGTTTTTGTCTTCTTTTCTGTTTTTACTCCTTTAGCTTTTTTACCTGGTTTTTCTCCAGGTTTTTTAGCTGGTTTTTTCTTTTCATATTCTTCTGCCAAAGCGATTTTTTTACTTCGATCATCTTAATTTTTAAAGAAAATTTTTTTTGTTTTTAATTCCAAAAATTTAATTGGAGGGTAATGCTTACAAGAGATCCTGCCATCCAGATTCCAGAAATCGGCGATGGGATCACTGCCGGTGGGATAGTTCACCAAATGGACAATTCACCAAAAAGTGGATTGTCTATACTGTGAATTGTCCATCTAATATTGGGGGTATCCTACTATATAGAGGTTTAACTTGATTAAAAAGGGGACCTTTAAATAATATATCACAAATTTTAAATTGTAATTCCAAAATTGACTGGTTTAATGCATCCTCTTTAGCATCGTAGTCTTCTTTACTTAATTTTCCCTTAATTTTTTCAAGTTCCTTTTTTTCCAAATTAACATCTCTAGCTTCCAAATAAATTCTTTGAAAATAACTTTCATCCAAATTTCTCAAAATTAATTCTCTTCTTTTAATTACTTGTTCAATTTCTTTCTCAGTTTCCGCAATTTCAAATTTTATATTATTTTTGTTTTCTTCGCTCGGATCTTTGTCTATCGACTCTGTCGGTTTTATTTTGCTTGTTTCTATTTGTTTCAATTCCGTTAATAATATATTCACAAAAGTCCCATTTTCTGTTTCTTTTATGTCCGTAGAATTACGAGATATTTCCTTTAGAATTTTTGAAAATTAAAAAATTTTTCTAAAAAGACGTGGGGAGAGAAGGCTTGTCGACTCGTTTCCGAGTCCTTTTAAAGAAAGGACAGGAACGAGCTTTTTGGCCGCACAAATCATTCGTGCTTTTACCGGGCTTGGTCAGCTTATTTACCTGTTGAGGAAGGTCACCTCCTATTATATGTTCACTTCCTTTTAGCTGTTCTATAACCAACGGATTTTTCGGCAATTTTAAATGCAAACTCATTTTCAAGTCTTCCAATACTTGAGAAAATTTCTTTTGGACTTTCCCTTCTTCATCCCCTTCTTCTTTAATTTTAAATTCACAAATGTCCGCATTATCTGTTTAAAAAATTTTATTTTTTAAATGTTTTTTTAATATTTTTTTATTGCTACATGTGATTAACACTGTTGTTTTCTTATACTGAGTGAGGGATCTCGCTTATACTGAGTGAGGGACCTCGCTTATTCCCTCTCTCTCTCTCTCCTTACTTAATAAAAAATCACGCGCGATTTTCTCTCCTCTTTTGAATGTCGTAAGACGCAAAGCGATTCTTATGTAAGAATAGGCAGTCCTCCCCCTCATTAGCTAACCAAAAATTAAAAAAAAAACACTTTGTGTTTTCCCTCCTGTCCAAACTTAAGAGTCCATTATGAGACCATAACTCGGATTGCAATTGAGTCCCAAGCTTAAATTTGGTGTCAATCGACTCCATTCGAAGAGCTCTTTCAAATGACATATTAAATGTCCGAATCGGTGTATACACGGAATTTTGCCCGTCTTTAAAAAAACCCTCAACACCAGTCTCTTAAAAACCCCTAATATTGGGAGTGTCTTATAAAGAGGTTTAACAATTTACTTTGTTTTTTGTATTCCCCTTCAATTTCTTTTTCTGTTTCAATTTCTCGAAGAACACATTCAAACGGTTTTTCATTTTTAACTCCACCGTTTATATAGCTATAAGGGGATTCTTCTTTCCAATCATCCTCAATCTTTACTTCATATACTCTCGAATAACAAAAATTTAAAAGAAGAAAAATGCCGAGAATTAATAAATAATTACTCGGCATTTTTTTGCCTCCGGATGGATATATTCTTTTTTTGTTTAAAAAAATTTTTTATCTAAAATTAATTTTTATTTAATTGTATTTTTAATTTTTTAAAATTATGCTGGCAAAATGGCGTCGACCTTTTTTGTCCGCAAGACAAAAATTATTTCCACGCTGTCCAACACCTTTTTATAAGCAACTCTCTCTAAAAGCAACTCTCTCTATAAGATAAGTAGATACCCCTCAATATTGGATACCCCTCCATTTTATAGACGTTTGTTAATCTGTTGGCTGTGTGGTGGGAGGGGAGGGGAGCTGTCTAAGCAATACCCCCCATTTAAGAAACACTCATTATAAGATACTTTTCAACCTCGAGGTTGAAAAAATCTTATATAGAGAGGTTTGACTGTATATTTTTTTAAAAACATTTTTAAGAGAGAAAAAAAAATAGTTTGACTTGCGGATAAATATTAGCGGACTTTTGGGAATATAATTTAAAAATAAAAAAATAAAAGAATGAATGATTGTGAGGATTTAATCAAGGGATTTTAAATAAACAAGAGCTCCTCCCTTTCTTTAAAAAATATTTTTTTCTTTTTCCCTCCCCTTTTTTTATATTTCAAAATTTTAAATTCTCCCCTCCCGTCGGGTTGGGGTAGTTTTGGCGCGAGGCTAAAAACTGGCACTTAAACAAAACCTAAATTTATGAAAATTTCCTCAACTTTCTTCAACATCCTTGACTACCCCCTCCAAAAATTTCAGAATTTTTCATCAGATATTTTCAAAGTTATAGTCGATAAACTTCGAAAAATTGGGCATTTTTCGGAAAATCGACATCATTTTTGGCCATAATTTCTGAAATTCTGGCCTAAAAATTCTGAAATTTTTGGAGAACATAGATGAACATATTAGGGTTGTTATTCTAAAATTTTATCCCTCCAGACCGTCCACGCCTAAACATCCCATTCCCTCCACTCATCCCATTGATTACTCCACGTGAATTTTTTTACTTGCTTTACCTCTCTGCCTATTTTATGCCCTTTTTAATAAAAAAATATTTTTTTTAATTTTTGCCTTCTTGCTTTTCCCCTCCCTTGTATTCACGTGAAATTGATTTAAAAGATTTTTTTCAATTTTCCTTTCATCTTTTAAAATTTGCCCTTTTTGTTTATTAAAAAAATATATTTTTATAGACTTGCCCTTTTAATTTTCCTTTAATTTTTGCCGAATTGTGTTTTTATTTTTAATTTCAAAATAAAATTTTTCTTTGAAGTGAAAGGGCATTTTATTTATTTTTATTAAAAAAGGGCATTTTATTATGAAAGAAAATATTTTTTTTATTTTAATTATTAATAATGATTGGATTTTTGGGTTCTTGTTGACTTTTTTATAGGGACCACTGAAGTAGAAGATTACCCAATTCTTTAATGGGTTGTATATAGAGATCGGTCCGTACGGGACTTTTACGGGATCCCGTCTCCCGGGGTCTGAGCGACAAACGGGATTACCGGGATTTACGGGATTAATCCCGCGGGATCCCTCCCCTTCAACATTTCTAAACTCAATCCAGTTCCGGGATCCCGGCCTCTGGTTGTATATAAAAAATGTCAAAATGGGGGGACAATAAGTCTCTGCAGACATAAGATTTTCAAAAAAATTGGGCTAATCATAACCATTTTAGAGAACAAAGGTTAATAAACTAAAAACCCGATCTCTTTAATTTAATTTAAAATGTCTTCAATTTCAATATTAACCGAAGAAGAAAAAAAATTATTAATTGAACAAGCTTTAAATGCTCAACTTAATTCAGTTAAAAAATATTTAATTTAAAAAATAATTATTTTCTTTTTAGTATTGCCCTTATAGTAATTTTGCTGTGGGTGCTGCTATACTTAATTCTGATGGGGAAATTTTTAAAGGAGGTAATTGACTAAACTACAATAAAAAAAATAATTTTGTAAAGTTAATGTTGAAAATGCTTCTTATGGGGGCACAATATGTGCAGAACGAAGTGCAATATGCTCTGCCATTAGTGCCATTGGGTCTAAGAAATTTTGTCCAAAAGGCCTTTGTGTTACAAGTAAAAATTTTTAAAAAACTATTTCAAATTTAAATGACTACACCAAATAACACAATATTTTAAAGCGAATCTACCATACCCAGCTGCTCCGTGTGGCATTTGTCGTCAAGTTTTGGGTGAATTTGGGGATTATCCAGTTATTTTTTAAATTAAATTTTTTAAAATATTTTTATTTATTTTAGATTTTGCTTTATTCGACAAAAACTAAGGATTTAAATATTACAAGTATTAGTGAACTTCTTCCTATGGGGTTTTCAAAGAAGGATATTGACAAGCATGAACAAATGAATAAAGAATGATTTTTTAAATTTTTTAAATTATTAAGGGCATGCGGGCATATCAGGAAGGGGTTCGGAACTTACGGCCCTTTGATCTTGGAACTTACGGCTTTGTCCACGGGGGCATTTTATAATAACGTTTTTTGTCTCTAAATTTTTTTACTTTCTTTCCCATTCAAAAATCTTTCTTTTCTTAAAATAAAACACACACAAATATGTTCAAACACCCTCAAACTATGCTCTACAATTGGTCGTGTGTCGTCATTGGGTCAACAGAAACCAAAACGCCGATCGTCGTTTATAGTGTTTGTGAAGGGGAATACCACCCCCACACTAAATAAATAATTAGTTAACAATCGCGCATATTCGCTGTATTTTTCTTTTTTTTCTTTTAGTCTGCGGACAAAAAATATGCGGACAGTTTTTTTGGTAAATAAAAGTACACGAACAGAAAAAAAGAAATTGAAAAGAGGCTCCTCCATTTTATTTTTAATTTTGTCCGCAATAAAAAATCCGCAAAAAATTTATCCGCAATTTTTTATTTATTCTCCCCTTCTCGCAACAAAGATTAATGTTTAAAGAAAAACACGGGGGTAATTCCACACCTTTTTTTCTCATGTTAAAACTCCGCCTTTTTTTCTCACATAATTATTTTTATAAAAGGAGCCAAGCAATTTTTATTTAAAAATTAAAGTTCCTTCATAAATCTTCCCCTTCTACAAAAAAAAGTCTAAAATGATTAGCATTATTCACCCACCCACAGAAATTCCAGAATTTGTTTCAGTAAACGGAAGACGAAATTTTAGACTGTCAGCAATATCTAATACCGTAACAATTGATAATAATGGAGTAACGACGGCAAAAAATAATTTAAAAAATAAATATTCAAAGACTTTTAAAACTACAAAATAAAGCTAAGGAAGAGAAGCTTTCTACCAGCCATAACTAAAAAACTTAACATTTTCTCAACAAACAACATTTAAAGGAAAAATGTTTGTTAATATGCTTAGAAGCTGTTGAAACATTTAAAAAAAGGATGTTGGCAATGGCCTCCAAAAATGAGAAAAATGGATTGAATTTGATTAAAGTTTATTGTTAAAGAAAAAAATTTTAAAATGGAAAAATTCTTTTATATTCATTTTTTAAATTATATATAAAATTTATTTTTTAAATATCTTTATTTTAATTTAAAGAAACAGAATTTATTGAAGAGATAGGGGGTTAAGGGGAAAGGAGTTCTTTTTTCCCCCTCATGTTTAGGTTTGTCATTTATTGGAGAATCCTAGGATATTCAGAACCGAACATAAGACCAAAACAGTTTCCGACAATCTTTCTAAAAAAATTCACAAGACTTTTGGGAATATAAAAAAATAAGAAAATGGCAGTTATTTTAGATTATTTTAAATAAAAAATAATATTTACCTAGAATGTATTATTTTAAATCAAAATTGTTGAAAAATCTTTGTAAAAATGGCAATTTATTTTTCGTACAATTCTTCCCACCATTTTCACAAATTAACTTTAATAATTCATCGGCAAGTGCTCGCTTTTGTGACATTGGCGAAAGAGGTGGAAAATTACGAAGATTTCGACGATGCCTGATTAGAATAGAAATAATGTGCTCTTAATTACAGACCCTCATTAAAGCCCCCTTGGAGTTGGAAAAAACCTTAACTTATAATGAGGTATCTCTTAAATAGAGAGTACGTTATAATGAGATGTCTCTTAAAAAGAGGGTACCTTATAATGAGGTCTCTTAAATAGAGAGTACCTTATAATGAGATGTCTCTTAAATAGAGAGTACTGTCTCTTAAAAAGAGGGTACTTTATAATGAGATGTCTCTTAAATAGAAGGTATCGCCTCCAATAGGTCACCCAACGCGTAAGAGGTGTCTTATTAGAGAGGTCCAATATCAAATTGTTTTTAAAGATTAAACTACCTTTGTTCTCCATCCTCTCCAACATCAGACAAATCACCATCATCACCAACAATTCCATCAAGATTTAATAAATGGAAATTTTGAGGTACTGGAGAAGGATGCTAAAGAATATTGAAAAAAATTTTAAAAATTCACAAAAATTTTTCCGTACCCAAAAATGAGAAGGTGAAGAATCTCTTGGAGTATTACCACCACCATTATTATATTTTAAAGCTTTTGAACGTCTTCTAATACATAAAAGTACACGTAAATGTGAATGTAATGAATTGGGTAAATGAGAAAAATAAATTGAATCAGCAAAAGTTTGTAAATCCAAAAAAGGTTGTTGATGATTGATGTTGTTGTGAGATGATAAAATACAATTTTGATGAGATGATTTTGAAGTAGAACAAGTTAAATGAAGATTCTATATTTGAAGAAAAAATTTTTTTATTTTTGCGGACAAAACAAATGAAACAAGTATTGGGATATTTGTTTTTCCCAATTGATTAAAAACTCTTTTTATCTCTCTTATAGAATTATTAGTTGGTACATCCAAAATTAGTTGGTATACCCTCAGACATCTATTCTCATAATTCGCAAAAACAAATCTAATCCAAAATTAACGAGGGAAAGTAAATTTTTTTCAAAAAAATTCAATTTTTGTCTAAACTTAGGGTTGTCAGTTCTTGGAAAATCTTCGGATAACCGGAACCAAAAAATCATTAGTCAATCATACTAAAGCTTACAAAATTTTTTGGCGCAGACGAGAATTCGAAGCAGACTTTTTTAATAATCTCCCCCCCCCCCCACCCCCTCCCCAAAAAAATTATTCCTAGACAACAGATTGAACACACCCCCATATTAATTTAAAAAAACTTCAAACCGATTTATTATTATTATCAACTTTAGTAGTTGTTGTTTGTGCAATCCAACGTTCAACAATTAAAGAAGCCAAAGCATTTAAAGCTAATTGTCGAAGTGAAGGAGGTGAGATACGATAAACAAGAAGAGTATGAACAAAAGGAGATTCTCTTGAAGGGGCCTAGAAAAAATTTTTAAAAAATTCAAAAAACAAAAGAAAACCTCATTCATTCCACCATAAATAAGTATAGCTTCTTCCCCCATTAATACAGAACAATGCCAAAGTCTTGAAGGAAGTCGATGTTCTAATGGAGGAATTTGTCTCCAAAAATGTTTTTTCTCGTCTGTATTTTGTTGATTTATATAAGATTTTAATTGTTTTTGTTGTTGAATTTTTTGATTATATAATTCATTTATATCCAATTCCCAAAGATCGCAAAGTGATTGACCTCGAGAACAAAGGCCTCCATAACATAAAATCTGTTTAAAAAAAGTTGTTTCTAAAACTCTAATAAGGAGTGTAGAGGACAGTGATGGGTCGAGTTTCTCGAAATCGGGACTTTTTTCGATTCGAAATTTAATCAGAAAGATTTTGTAAATTCCGATATGGAAAGAATTTTGGAAATCAGACCCGAACCTGGCCAGACTTTACTTTCGTTGTGGAGTTGATTTTATGCCCCCCTCTCCTAAAATGACCTCCTTTAAGAAAAAATAATTTTTTTTCTAACCTTTCTTTGCCTGTTAAGTAAAGTCATTGAACACCACGATCGACCTATAGGTAACCAATCGGAAAGTCCATCAACAAATGCATCTCTAAAGAAGGAAATGAATTTAAAATTTTTTTAAATGTTTACAATTGTGTCCAAACAAAACTTCCCAAATCGAGACAATACAAATCGTTTAAACGAGATTGATTATGCCGCCCTCCAAAAATGAAAACCTACAAAAAATATTTTTAACAATTGAGAGAATCAAAATAAAAACCTGATTTATTTCTTCAGCATGTGCACAAGCAGCAGCAGCCCTAGCTGAAGGACGTGTTCCACCTTGCTCTTTTTCAACCCAGCATTCTTTGATTAAATCATAATAAATTAATTGATTGTTCCTTTAATTTAAAAAAAATTTTTTTAGAAAATTAAAAGAGGTTTTAGAATACCAACAAGTCCCCATATCATCATCACAAAAATATTGAGGTTGGAAAAAATATTGTTGATTGCTGCCATGTCCAAGACGATACCAACTCATTCCATAGCCACCAAAAATGAAAAATCTAAAAAAGAAATGAGTTAAAGACTGAGAAATTCTGACTTTTCTAAATTATTTTCAAGACTTGCTCTTTATTAATTTTCTTTGGGGAAATAAAATTAATCGAAAAAATGGAAGGAAAAAGCCAGCAAAAGCAAAAACTTCGCAAAATTGTCTTTACTAGTGCTGTCGGTTTCAAACAAAATTCTTCGGTTAACCGAAACCAAACGCAAAACACAACCCCGAAATTAACAGAAACCGAAAATCTTCGGTTTTTCGGTTCGACTTGAAGCCAACAACCCTAGTCTTTACTAATGATTTTATGTAAAAACAAACTTGTCATCAACAATCCACGAAGATGTTTTGTCTCTCGGTGTTGGCATTTTTCCATTTTGAGGTATACTTTTTGGTGCTAAAACGCCTGTTCGAAGATCGATTGCTTAAAAAAATTAATTTAAAAAAAAGTATTTTTAAAACCCAAAACCTAGCAATGTTGATGTATTCGTTAAACGTCGATGAATTTCATCAAAAAGACATCCTCCAAATATATACAAAATATCTTTATGAACACCAGCCGTTGCTCCAGAATTTGGACGTAATTGTAAATTTGTTTCACATTGAATTTTGATCCTTTAAATAAAAAAAAAATTGAATTATTCCCTTTTATGCTCTTAAAAGTCTGAAAGCAGGTTTTATCTGCTGGTTATACATTTTAAGCATATTTTAGTAGACAGAAAACTAGAAAATAAATGGTTGTTCACGACGAGTACCAAACCAGAAAACAGAGAAACCAAAAATAGGAAAGGAAAATCAGGGGAAAAGACCCCAGACATAACCGAAAGCCGTGGGTTCCTGTGAATTTAAAACAAGAAGGACATGTGAACAAACATCTATAAAAGGTTCAAAAGACGTATAAAAGTCCACAACCCTTTCCTAAACAAAACGAGTTTAGAAAAATACTAGTTTTCAAAAAATTAAAAATATCCAAACCAAATATTATTTTTCTCTCCACAGAGTATATAAGGAAGAATATATAGCCAATTAGTTTCCTGTATTTTAAAAAATTTTAAAACAAAAAATAAAAAAAAACCCTATAATTAATTTCTCTTTCATCAAAGCAGTAACCACCCCAACAAATTAAACATCCTCTATAAGAAACACAAATATGTCCAGCAACGGCAGTTAATGAATCTGTTGTTTCCACCTTTTTTTTTAATTTTTCAAGAATTATTTTTAAATTAAAAAAATAAACCTCCAAGTTTAAAGGAACAGTTGATGATGAATTTGAAAGTAATGAACGAATATTATTCATTTAAAAAAAATTCCAAAGAATTTAAAAAAGAAATTCGAATAAAAAATTTAAAAAAAAATATTTAAAATAAATAAAATAATTATTAAAATTAATTTTAGAAAATTCAAATTAAAAAAAATAAATATTTATAAATATTCTAATAATTCTAAAATAAATATGAATAAATAATTCCTATCATTTCATTAAATTTTAAAAACAAAAAAATATTAAATGGCAATTGTAAGGCACGATTTAAATGATTTTTAAATAAATAAAGGTAGATTTCTTTTAATAAAAATTTTTCTGAGTTTATATCCATAACTAGGGCCGACGGTTTCTGTGAACCCGTGAAATCTTGGGATCCTGTAATTGATAACCGAACTGAAAATATTCAGAAACCCAATTTTTTAGTCTCGGATACATGGAACTGTCAACCCGATGCACAACAAAAAGTGGCATAATTGTGCGTAAAATCTCCCCCCCCCCTTTTTGGTGTTTATAAAAAATAACGACTTGTCAAGTTCCATACCAGATACCAAAAATAGAGCCACAGATTTTTATTAAAAGAAATCGTTAAATAATTAAACCTTCCAAAAGTTATATCCTTTGTCCAAATAATATATTTATTTAAAATCAACAAAACTAATTGAAGAAGATAAAGGCTTTGAATTATGTTGAAGTTTAGATCTTTTAGACTTTGGTGGAGAACTATTATTATTATTTGATTTTGTACTGTCCAAAATAGCGTTGTCAGCAGCAAATGAACGTTCAACTTTCTTAAAAAAAATTTTTTTAATCAAAATTTAGAGGTTTTTATGCTCCTAAAAAGTCTAGGATTAAAAAATTTTCAAAAAAACCTTCCCCTTACATTTAAAAGTTTTGTAACCAAAGTGCGTGGACCATCCCGTTGTGTCAATGCATTTTGTGGCAATACTTCACTTCCACTACCAGATGCTTGATTGACTATATCTTGTTTACCTTTAGCATAACGCTCATGTAAATTCTCTGCTTCCTTTAGGAAAAAAATTTTTTGAAAATTTTAAAAAAAAACCTTAAAAAAAGGACTGTCAATTAATGCTCGAAGATGAGGAAAATTATCCATATTCATAAGCTTTCGCTGTTCAAATTCAAAATTGTCCGGATCAAAACGCAAACGAAAATGTCTGTGTAACAAAGGATTGAACTGTTAAAAAGAAGAAAAATTTTAATTAAAAAAACAACCCCTTGGGATTTAAATTTGCTTTAATTTGGAGGTATCGTTAAAACAGTTCAATTACCCCGTGGTTAGCCAAATTCAAAAAACGTACTTAAATTAAATTTCTTGACTGAAAACACAGAGGAACTCTTGATAATTACCCCTTAAACTGAAAAATAAACTCGCATCTAATAACAAGGTGTCCTTTAAATTGAAGTTTTCACTAAAAAATTCTTTACCCAGTGGGCAGTGCCCAGACAAAATTTAAAAACATATCTTAAATTGGGGTGTCAAATTTTGAGCAATATCTTAGAGGTCCCAATGCATAAAATTCTTCTTACCGTTCCATCACAAGGATAAATAGCAAAAGCATTTAAATTTGATAAACGAAATAAACAAAAAAGAGCATCAAATTGTTCATCAGGTAACAAAACAGTTTCCATATATTCGTTCAAATCATCCATCTGGGGAACAGTTACGTGGATTGGAACAACAAATTGTGAGGGTTGGACAAAATAAAGACTAAAAAGAAAAAATTTTAGGTCAAAAAATCCTCCAAAACAAACCTGTAAGCAATAAAAATTCCAAAAATTCTTTCAGCATCACTTCTCTTTTCTGGTGCAATAAACATTTGTTTCCATTTATTTTCATTAATTTCTCCTTCAAAATAATTTGGAATTTGTTTATCGGGTAGAGGATTAAACATGTAACTCGAAATGTAGTGAAAGAGATTCTCAGAAAACTAAAAAATTAAAAAAAAAATTTTGAAAAAAGACCTTCCCCTCTTTTTTTCTTCACTAAAAATGTAGATAATTGTCCGATTTTTTCCTTCATTAATTCCACTCTTGTGGCAAATACGACAAGACAATACAGAAAATTAATTTAGGTACGAAAAAATTGAGTGGAATCGAGAAAGGAAAATTCTGACCATTATGTACATTCCAAATGGAGAAAAAAGGGGGCAGCTTACAAAAAGCCTCAAAATATCGGTACTTATTTAGTTTCCCCCCCCCCCCAGTCAGTTTTTTCGAAAATTATTTAAAAATGGTCAGTCTGAACAACAATTGTAGAACCCATCGAGCTGTGATGAATGACACCAAAATCAACAAAATCCGACTTGATTTGACCGAAATACAGACCCCTAAAAATTGAACAACCATGGGGGTGATTTTTTGAAATAAAAAAAGTTTACCCAAATGATAGCTCATTCGAAAGAGCTCGTCGAGCTGAGTCGAATGAGACCAAAATCAACGAAATCGGACAAGATTTGACAAAGTTACGACATTATTTAGACCTGCCGGAGTCGATGACTTATGTCATAACTTTGTCAAATCAAGTCGGATTTCGTTGATTTTGGTCTCATTCGACTCAGCTCGACGAGCTCTTTCAAATGAGCTATCAATTGTATAGATTTTCGTCTTTATTATTTTGTGCCCCTGTGCTTTAGGGGTCTGTATTTCGGTCAAATCAAGTCGGATTTTGTTGATTTTGGTGTCATTCGACACAGCTCGATGGGTTCTACAATTGTTGTTCAGACTGACCATTTTTACATAATTTTCGAAAAAACTGACTGGGGGGGGGGAAACTAAATTAGTACCAAAATATCCCCTCAAAACAAACCTCAACTAAATCAGAATTAGTAAATCTTCCAAGAAAAATAGTAGCAAAATCCATAGCTTGAAAAAGTTTGGAAAATCTGGCCAGACTCAAATCTGTATTATTTGAACAAAACTGTCTCGCCAAATTATCAACATCAGTTTTCAATGCCGACATTATAGAACGTTCAGCAGCTCGGTGAATAGCCGTCTTCTTTCCATATTTCCCTCTAGTCTTTCTTCCAACTTTTTGTTCTTCTTCCTCCCCTTCTCCTTCCTCTCCACATTCTTCATCTTCTTCATTATTTTCTTCTTCTTCTTCATCCTTTTCTCTTTCAATATCTTCAATTTCGTGAGAATCCATTAAAATGTTAGTTTCGTAATTCTCAACAATATCAAAATCATCGTCATAAATATCTTGTTTTATACTTGTTGAAGGAATTTGTGAAGTAGAGGAAGACATTTTGTGAATAAAAATTTAACTAAAAAGCTGAAAAATAAATTAAAATTTATGGGAGAAATTTTAGAATAAAAAAACTTGTAAGCAAATTTTAAACGGAACGCGACCATTGAGTCCCGCCGTTTGAGTCCCGCCGATTGAGTCCCGCCGGTTGAGTCCCGCCGGTTGAGTCCCTGGCCGGTTGAGTCCCTGCCGATTGAGTCCCGCCGGTTGAGTCCCCACCCAAAAGGGGACGTTTGAGTCCCCGTATTTCTTTCTAGGATTTACAAAAGTATTTATGATTCCCAGTACGCATCTATTGCGGATATGTTACCACTTTGGGGTACATTGTACAGGAATATGAGGGATTATAGATTATATCCCCCAACTAGGACTTGTTAAATAAAGGCACCAAGTTTACGTATGATTCCCAGGATGGAAGTATTACAGGTATGTTACCAATTTGGGGGTAGTACCAGGTAGTTTGGTAGGTACCTATAACCCATCATTATATTCATATATAATGTACCCCAAAGTGATACCATACCCGCAATAATTCCGTCTTGAAAATCCGTCTATATATACAATTTAATCACTCCAAATCGCTTGAAATCCCTCCATATTTATCATTATCACTCAAAATCTCCCCAAATACTCTTATATCAATTCAAAACTCCATATATCCCACTTAATCCATCAAGATCCTAGAAAGAAATAAGGGGACTCAAACGTCCCCTTTTGGGTGGGGACTCAACCGGCGGGACTCAATCGGCAGGGACTCAACCGGCGGGACTCACAGCATCTTAAAATAGGCAGAGGCTGTTACTCGCCTTTCAATGCTGTTTCAGCACTATGGTTTCAGTGCCAGGATTTCAGTGCCAGGGTTTCAGTGTGGCTCTATTTAAGTGAATATGAATTGTATGCAATTATTAAAATGGAATGTTAATCATTTTATTTAACATTTAAAAGCATTTTAAATTAAAATTAATTTTTTCAAAATAGGTTTTTCCCTTTATTTTTCATTTTCTAAATTTACTTATAAAACCATATGTAACTTTTTTTAAACATATGAAAAAACGATAAATTTGGTTTTAAAACAAAGATAAGACTTTGTTTAACGATTTAGTTAAGATAAAATTTTTTTTTCAAAGTTTTTTTTCGAGATAAAACTTCTCGAAGTTGCAACCTCCAAATCTTTAGAAAATAGCACGCGAAAGAAATAGTGGGGAAAAGAAAAAGATACTGTATTTTTATTTTTTCAGTGCCACTGAAACGGCTTAAAGTAACAGGTTAAGATGCTGTGCGGGACTCAATTAGAGCTAGGAACGGGTCCGGGACCCGGACCCGTTTCCCGGTTTCCGGGTCCCTTTTCCCGGTTTTTTTGAAGCAACCGGGTTGAAACCGGGAACGGGTTTTCCCGGTTTCCCGGACCCGGTTCCCGCCCGGTCCATTTTTCAAAACCCGTTACCCGGACCCGGTCCCGGATTTTTTTTCACCGGAAAACCGGGAAAAATATTTAGTGTATTTGCGTACTTTGATATTAAATTTTTGAAGGAAAAGGGAAAGGAATATTTACATATAATTTCTCCATTTTGCTTTTGTCGGTCGATGGTTGAGTGGTTAAGTTGACTGACTTCACTCATCTAGTTATTTTGATAGGGATGGGGTTCGAGTCCATGTATGGAAATGGGGCTGAGAAAATTTTCTTTTCAAAAATAAATAATTTTAAACTTTGATTTTAAATTTGAAAATTTTTTTACTGTTTTAATCTTGAAAAAATCTTAGAAATTTCAATTAAATCATGAATTTTCCAAAATTTTCACTGTGGCGCAGAAAATTTAAGAGTTCTGGCTTCATTACCATCTAAACTTCGAAAAATTTTTTCGCCGGCAGCTCTGACAATTGAATTCTTTTCTGCTAAGGCCTATCAAAATTCTCAAAATTTTCGCCTACGGCGCAAAAAATGGCGCGAAGAATTTTTAGTTCAATAAGATTAAAAAGAATTAAAAGGGATATCTAAGGATTCTGAAGGAATTAAAAGGAACTAACATTCTGAAGGAACTAACACATAACAACCACTCGGCCAACATATAAGGGCTTTAGAAAGAATTTAAACATATGTAGTACATATTTCTTTGAATTTTTTCATTAATCCCAAGTACGAAAGAACAAAAGGCAGCAGTCGATGAACGTATTTTTCAGAAAAGGGAATTCGATCTTGAGTTAAATAATCGTGAATGGCATTCACTTACATTAATAGAGGTTATTTAGAATAAGTATAGGAGAATAGATGAAAAATACAGCCCTATGTGGAAAAATAGACCCCTATTTCAACAAATTAAAAATTTCCCGGTTTCCCGGCCGGGACCCGGTCATTTTTGACCGGGTTGAAACCGGGAACGGGTTTTCCCGGTTTCCCGGACCCGGTTCCCGCCCGGTCCATTTTTCAGAACCCGTTTCCCGGACCCGGTCCCGGTTTTTTCAAAATTCCTAGCTCTAGACTCAATCGGCGGGACTCAAACGGCGGGACTCAATGGTCCCCTACCGAATTTTAAATTTTCTTTTTTCTTGGCAAAATGTTTAAAATAAAAAATATAAGAGGAAAAGAAAAAGAAATTGAAGTAACAGAATGGTAAGACAACAAAAAGGAAAGTAATAAAATAGTAAAATTATAAATTGGTCATAAGGGCAAAATAGACAAAAAGGTAAAAGAAAGCTCACCGAAGTCAAACAAAAATCTTCAACATACCTTAGAGTACCATTTTGTCGTGTACCATTTTTTCGTCTTTTACTTAGTACCATTTAGTCGTTTTTTGCTTGTACCATTTTGTCGGGTCACGGTTTTTATTGAATTTTCGTTTGGATTTTTAAAGATTTTTTTCGATTTTCTTAATTTTTTTATTTTAGTATTCTTTAAAAAATGTACAACAACGTTGGTTTGTCAACAGCTCGTGGTTCCGGTACAAATGCTTATGTTCAATCAAATGTTGCAAATCTTAGCTTTTCACGGGTATTTTTTTAGTTATTTTTTCTTCAAAATTTTTTTTCTTATTAGAATAAAATCGTTTACAATGCTGAAGAAGACATTGCTCGTGCGGAAGCAGAAGTAAATAAAGCACCAAACTTGGAGTTGTTGGATCATGAATATAAACGGTTAATTGAAATTAAATGTGTGGAATTTGAAGATTTGATGGAAGGAAAGGTTTGAAGTTTTTAAGAGAGAAGGAATTCATTTTTCAATTTTTAGGGTTTCAGTGAAGAAGAAATCAATTCAAAAGTTAGCGAATACCGCAAACTTTTATTTAATGAATTTGAAAGTGGCCGTTTAAATATGGATGCAGAATTGGATTTGCGTAATTCACATTCTCGTGCAAAAGTTGCAAAACAAGGACGAAGCAATATGCGGTGGGCATTAGGTATTGATGCTTCTTTTGTTGATGGATCTTCAATGGAGAAGTAAGGAATGAAAAAGAAATTATTAATTGTTTAATGGACACATTTGGTTGGGAGACAGAAATATCGGGATTTTTCAATGTCCTAACAGCTACTCTAATGTTTTCAGGACCTACGGCCACTGGGTCTTGGGGATAGTACATTGATCTATTAAAGAAAAAAGTTTCTATGTTTTAGGCCCAATTTAAGTACCCAAAAAGTTATTTTTGTCACAGCAATCCTTACATGTCCGTCTCGATATTTCTTCGTACCGTTTGGTCAACCTTTATTTTTTGTTGAATAAAAATTTATATAAAAAATTTTTTAGACTTAAAAAAGCAAGTACAACAATACTCAAAGAGGCTAATATTACTCAAGATAAAGCTGCACTTGAAAAGGAGATGGAAAAATCTATGATGGAAAAACTCTTGGAAAAAATCAAGAAAAAGCGTGAACAAAAGAAGGAAATTAAAAAGATGAAGCGAGCAATGCGTAAAAAGAAAGATGAGAGCGACGATTCTTCTTCATCTGATTCAGATTCCTCAGGTTTTTTTTTGAATGTTTTTTCTGGTACCTATTTATTCTTTTTATTTTTTAGACTCGTCTTCCACAGATTCTTCCTCCTCGGATGACTCATCAGACAATTCTTCACTATCAGACTCTTCATCAACTTCAATTTCTTCCTCTTCCTCATCTGACGAAAAACACAAAAAGAGAAAAGGAGGAAAGAAAAGTCGAGAGAAGAAATTAAAAAAGCCAAAAAGTGAAGATGATGAAGAAGAGCAACAAATTCATTCTTCAAAGAAGGGCGATAAAAGAAGCAAAAACCACGGCAAAATTCAACAAACTGAACTTTTAGTGCCAAAAGAAGAACCACAAGAAGAATCAAATTTTACTGAAAATCGCCGAAAAGATTATAAAAAACGTGGAGAAAGAGGAGAAGAATATAAAACTCGGCATGAAGATAAAAGTCGGGACAAAAATCTTTCGGTAAAATTTAACAGAATGTTAGTAAAAAATTTGAAAAATTTTTCAGCGCAGCACCGCAGCTGATTTCTTTGAGGATGAAGATCAAAATAACAATAATAATCTTCCCGCGCAGTATCGACACTCAACAAATGACCGTGAAAGAAACCGAAGAAGTGGAGATGACAAAGAATATAGACGAAAAAGAAGACATGAACATGAGGATAGGGATGACGATAATCGAGATCGTTATAGGCGACGTTCGCGATCTCCAGAATATAGAAGAGAAAGAAAAGATAGACGTGATAGAGGTGAGTAAATTATTAAAAAATTATTTTGAAGTTTGTTTCCAAGTTAAAAAACCCCTAAAAATTTGTAAAAGAAAAAAATATAAATGTACAACTTTTTTATATTTTTTGACTGATAAAAAATATTCTGAATCTGATTTAACAATGTTTGTATAACAATATAAGGTTTTCTAATGCACATTTCCAATATAAGAAGGTGGAAATTTAGAAAAGTAAAAAAATTAAAAATAAGTTGGAGAGATTGGACATGGGCGAGACCAAAAGACGAAACTAAAATCTTCAGCGAAACGAATAACACGGAACAAATTAACGAACGTTTCACCCGCAACCTCCAAATCTTTAGAAAATAGCACGCGAAAGAAATAGTGGGGAAAAGAAAAAGATACTGTATTTTTATTTTTTCAGTGCCACTGAAACGGCTTAAAGTAACAGGTTAAGATGCTGTGCGGGACTCAATTAGAGCTAGGAACGGGTCCGGGACCCGGACCCGTTTCCCGGTTTCCGGGTCCCTTTTCCCGGTTTTTTTGAAGCAACCGGGTTGAAACCGGGAACGGGTTTTCCCGGTTTCCCGGACCCGGTTCCCGCCCGGTCCATTTTTCAAAACCCGTTACCCGGACCCGGTCCCGGATTTTTTTTCACCGGAAAACCGGGAAAAATATTTAGTGTATTTGCGTACTTTGATATTAAATTTTTGAAGGAAAAGGGAAAGGAATATTTACAGTAGTCGACAAAAAGATAGGGACAAACGCAAGTGAAATGGAAATCACCTATTTTCTCACCTAAAAATCGATTTCAGGAAAAATTTTTTGTTTGATTAAATACGCCATTCAATCCTCTATTTAATAAGTAGAAAATTTGCCTGATTAATATTTTATGAAATCCAACCCATATTGAAAAACAAAAGGTATGCTATTTTAAGCGCGACAAAAAGATAGGGACAAGTCTTGTAACTAAGTTTTCATAAAAGCAAAAAATCTGAAAAAATTTGTATAAGCATATTGATTGATACTAAGTTGAAATAAAAAAGAACTAGGTCCATATCTCATTTGGTTGTCAAGATCCCGATACCCCAAAAATCAACGTAAAACAGGGGTAAGCAACTTCAAAATTTTTTTCAACGCCTTATTGATTGTTTTATTTTTTTCATTTTAGGCTCAATCGATAGCCCATGAAATTTGCTATAAACTAGCCAAATTTCATTTTTCAAAAAAATTTCACTCCAGAGTTAAAGGACGACGATTCTCCAAAACGCTGTTTATGAAGGAATTTATGGGGCGCTTGTTGTTTTTTGTGACATTAGCCTCTACAGCTAACGAAATATTTTTTTCTGAGAAATGAAATTCGGCTTGTTTATAGCAAATTTCAAGAGCTATCGAATAGGCTCAAAATAAAAATTCCAAAAAATCCATAAGGGGTCGAAAATATTTTCTGAAGATGCTTACCCCTGTTTTACGTTGATTTTTGGGGTATCGAGATCTCGACATTGAAATGAGATATTGGCCTAGTTCTTTTTTATTTTATCTTAGTATCGATAAGTATGTTTGCACGAATTTTTGTAGATTTATTGGTTGGGTGACTAATAAGTTACAAGACTTGTCCCTATCTTTTTGTCGGGCTAAAATTTGCAGTACTTTTTTATTTCAATTATTTCAGTATATCAAAAAATAATAATACGCCAGATCTTATACTCATTAAATAGAGGATTGAATGGCGTATTTAATCAAACAAAAAATTTTTCCTGAAATCGATTTTTAGGTGAGAAAATAGGTGATTTCCATTTCACTTGCGTTTGTCCCTATCTTTTTGTCGACTACTGTATAATTTCTCCATTTTGCTTTTGTCGGTCGATGGTTGAGTGGTTAAGTTGACTGACTTCACTCATCTAGTTATTTTGATAGGGATGGGGTTCGAGTCCATGTATGGAAATGGGGCTGAGAAAATTTTCTTTTCAAAAATAAATAATTTTAAACTTTGATTTTAAATTTGAAAATTTTTTTACTGTTTTAATCTTGAAAAAATCTTAGAAATTTCAATTAAATCATGAATTTTCCAAAATTTTCACTGTGGCGCAGAAAATTTAAGAGTTCTGGCTTCATTACCATCTAAACTTCGAAAAATTTTTTCGCCGGCAGCTCTGACAATTGAATTCTTTTCTGCTAAGGCCTATCAAAATTCTCAAAATTTTCGCCTACGGCGCAAAAAATGGCGCGAAGAATTTTTAGTTCAATAAGATTAAAAAGAATTAAAAGGGATATCTAAGGATTCTGAAGGAATTAAAAGGAACTAACATTCTGAAGGAACTAACACATAACAACCACTCGGCCAACATATAAGGGCTTTAGAAAGAATTTAAACATATGTAGTACATATTTCTTTGAATTTTTTCATTAATCCCAAGTACGAAAGAACAAAAGGCAGCAGTCGATGAACGTATTTTTCAGAAAAGGGAATTCGATCTTGAGTTAAATAATCGTGAATGGCATTCACTTACATTAATAGAGGTTATTTAGAATAAGTATAGGAGAATAGATGAAAAATACAGCCCTATGTGGAAAAATAGACCCCTATTTCAACAAATTAAAAATTTCCCGGTTTCCCGGCCGGGACCCGGTCATTTTTGACCGGGTTGAAACCGGGAACGGGTTTTCCCGGTTTCCCGGACCCGGTTCCCGCCCGGTCCATTTTTCAGAACCCGTTTCCCGGACCCGGTCCCGGTTTTTTCAAAATTCCTAGCTCTAGACTCAATCGGCGGGACTCAAACGGCGGGACTCAATGGTCCCCTACCGAATTTTAAATTTTCTTTTTTCTTGGCAAAATGTTTAAAATAAAAAATATAAGAGGAAAAGAAAAAGAAATTGAAGTAACAGAATGGTAAGACAACAAAAAGGAAAGTAATAAAATAGTAAAATTATAAATTGGTCATAAGGGCAAAATAGACAAAAAGGTAAAAGAAAGCTCACCGAAGTCAAACAAAAATCTTCAACATACCTTAGAGTACCATTTTGTCGTGTACCATTTTTTCGTCTTTTACTTAGTACCATTTAGTCGTTTTTTGCTTGTACCATTTTGTCGGGTCACGGTTTTTATTGAATTTTCGTTTGGATTTTTAAAGATTTTTTTCGATTTTCTTAATTTTTTTATTTTAGTATTCTTTAAAAAATGTACAACAACGTTGGTTTGTCAACAGCTCGTGGTTCCGGTACAAATGCTTATGTTCAATCAAATGTTGCAAATCTTAGCTTTTCACGGGTATTTTTTTAGTTATTTTTTCTTCAAAATTTTTTTTCTTATTAGAATAAAATCGTTTACAATGCTGAAGAAGACATTGCTCGTGCGGAAGCAGAAGTAAATAAAGCACCAAACTTGGAGTTGTTGGATCATGAATATAAACGGTTAATTGAAATTAAATGTGTGGAATTTGAAGATTTGATGGAAGGAAAGGTTTGAAGTTTTTAAGAGAGAAGGAATTCATTTTTCAATTTTTAGGGTTTCAGTGAAGAAGAAATCAATTCAAAAGTTAGCGAATACCGCAAACTTTTATTTAATGAATTTGAAAGTGGCCGTTTAAATATGGATGCAGAATTGGATTTGCGTAATTCACATTCTCGTGCAAAAGTTGCAAAACAAGGACGAAGCAATATGCGGTGGGCATTAGGTATTGATGCTTCTTTTGTTGATGGATCTTCAATGGAGAAGTAAGGAATGAAAAAGAAATTATTAATTGTTTAATGGACACATTTGGTTGGGAGACAGAAATATCGGGATTTTTCAATGTCCTAACAGCTACTCTAATGTTTTCAGGACCTACGGCCACTGGGTCTTGGGGATAGTACATTGATCTATTAAAGAAAAAAGTTTCTATGTTTTAGGCCCAATTTAAGTACCCAAAAAGTTATTTTTGTCACAGCAATCCTTACATGTCCGTCTCGATATTTCTTCGTACCGTTTGGTCAACCTTTATTTTTTGTTGAATAAAAATTTATATAAAAAATTTTTTAGACTTAAAAAAGCAAGTACAACAATACTCAAAGAGGCTAATATTACTCAAGATAAAGCTGCACTTGAAAAGGAGATGGAAAAATCTATGATGGAAAAACTCTTGGAAAAAATCAAGAAAAAGCGTGAACAAAAGAAGGAAATTAAAAAGATGAAGCGAGCAATGCGTAAAAAGAAAGATGAGAGCGACGATTCTTCTTCATCTGATTCAGATTCCTCAGGTTTTTTTTTGAATGTTTTTTCTGGTACCTATTTATTCTTTTTATTTTTTAGACTCGTCTTCCACAGATTCTTCCTCCTCGGATGACTCATCAGACAATTCTTCACTATCAGACTCTTCATCAACTTCAATTTCTTCCTCTTCCTCATCTGACGAAAAACACAAAAAGAGAAAAGGAGGAAAGAAAAGTCGAGAGAAGAAATTAAAAAAGCCAAAAAGTGAAGATGATGAAGAAGAGCAACAAATTCATTCTTCAAAGAAGGGCGATAAAAGAAGCAAAAACCACGGCAAAATTCAACAAACTGAACTTTTAGTGCCAAAAGAAGAACCACAAGAAGAATCAAATTTTACTGAAAATCGCCGAAAAGATTATAAAAAACGTGGAGAAAGAGGAGAAGAATATAAAACTCGGCATGAAGATAAAAGTCGGGACAAAAATCTTTCGGTAAAATTTAACAGAATGTTAGTAAAAAATTTGAAAAATTTTTCAGCGCAGCACCGCAGCTGATTTCTTTGAGGATGAAGATCAAAATAACAATAATAATCTTCCCGCGCAGTATCGACACTCAACAAATGACCGTGAAAGAAACCGAAGAAGTGGAGATGACAAAGAATATAGACGAAAAAGAAGACATGAACATGAGGATAGGGATGACGATAATCGAGATCGTTATAGGCGACGTTCGCGATCTCCAGAATATAGAAGAGAAAGAAAAGATAGACGTGATAGAGGTGAGTAAATTATTAAAAAATTATTTTGAAGTTTGTTTCCAAGTTAAAAACCCTCTAAAAATTTGTAAAAGAAAAAAATATAAATGTACAACTTTTTTATATTTTTTGACTGATAAAAAATATTCTGAATCTGATTTAACAATGTTTGTATAACAATATAAGGTTTTCTAATGCACATTTCCAATATAAGAAGGTGGAAATTTAGAAAAGTAAAAAAATTAAAAATAAGTTGGAGAGATTGGACATGGGCGAGACCAAAAGACGAAACTAAAATCTTCAGCGAAACGAATAACACGGAACAAATTAACGAACGTTTCACCCGCGTATGACCTAGGCTAGATTCTTTCATCTGGTCCAAATTTCCAATCTCTAATAAATAACATGTTTTTTTCAATAAGAGAAAAATTCTTGCCACCAATGTTTAAAAAATACACGTTTAACAAACCCTTATTTTTGTTTTTATACAACTTTAAAATTGAGCATATATTGTTGGTCAATTCCCAAATATGTATCAGAAATTACAAGTAATAGTAATTGGTAAATACCACTGAAAATTAAAAAATAATTTAGAAATTAAAAACATTTTTACGGTTCATTTGGAGTTAAAATTCTCAGTCTTGCAATTTTTTGTTCTTCAATTAAAGAAGGAATTCTTTCGTGTCCCCAAAGACGATTTGTTGTTGCATCTCCTAAAAGAAGTATCCAACCTGCCATTCTTTTCTTTGGAAATTTTGGGCAAAAAGCGTTTGAATTTGACTTGAAAAATTTTTTCTTAAATTATTTTAAATTTTTTGAAAAACCAAATAAGGCCCACAAAGCCTGAGTGAAACAAAAATTTTATAATTTGTTGACGCAGAAAACTCCAAATTTTTTCCATTCATTCCCACATTTATAATTAATTTTTCTTCAAATTTTTGACGTTGCTTTTTTTGTTGAGGTAAAAGATAAATTTGCTCTAAAGAAAGTATTGGCCATTGTAAAAGTGCTTTGAGAAGCTAAAAAGAATTTTTTTAATTAAAAAAATTTTTTTTAAAAAACCTCATCAGCTTCTTTTTCGCTTAAAATACTTTTAGAACACAATTCAGTTATAATTCGCTTCTCTTCTTTTTTGTTTAGCTTCTGTCCATTATTTAATTGATAAATTCCAAGACGTTCTTTAATTTGTGGAATGGAACATAATGGACTTGAAATTAAAAAATTTTTAAATTCGAAGAAAAGAAATTTTTTTAGCCAAACCCAATTCCGTCAATTGAATGGGCACTTAAATGAGGTAAACAAAGAAGAGGATGATCTGTATACCAACGTGCTTGAAAAATTTGTTGTTGTAAAATTAATACATTTAATGTTGTATTTAATAAATGCATTTCTATACAAAAATCAAACATTGCCTTTAAAAGAAAATTTTATTATAGACAGACACCAAGGTACACGCTCAGGGTTTAAAACCTGCATTCTTTAATGGGTGTATCTTGCAGGTAGGGGATATCGTTTATTCAATCCCCCTTACCCATTAGCTTCCCTCGTATTGTATCTTAAATTGAGTGAAAGTGTATTCTCTAGAGGAGCATACTGAAATGCCAACACCCAAAGGCCATTGAAATGCCAAAATGTGGAAACGATCTTTGGGCAGTCCTCAAACCAACTTTAGGAAACAAAAGTATCTTAGGTAGGGGATTGTTCAACTTTCGCTTTGTTTAACGAGACCCCATTTATAAAAATTAACAAAAAAAAACCTGTAAAATACGAATACAAGATTCAATAATAGAACGTTGATCAGTAATATAATCTACTGGAAGGTGCATACGGGAAAAGTGTGCTTGATACAATAAATGAGTCTTTACATGAGATGACTCCCAATTGGAAACCTCAAGTTTAATTGGAAGAAATACTTGAATCTCCCTTTAAAAAAATTTTTTTTGATCCAAAAATCTAAAGAAAACCTATTAATTTGGTCTTCATTATGTCTCACAGGAATTTCTTCATATTCTGGACACTCCTAAAAAACATTCAAAAATTAGATTTCTCTTCAAATTTTTATAAAAAACCGTTAAACAAAGCAAAAGTTGTTCAACACTCATTCCTTGGCATATTCGGTCTTTAAAATGGCGAATTGTTCGATGCTCCAAATAATAACGACTAGCAATACGTCCAAAAGGGGTAGAATGGATATAACCATCATTCTCCTTTAAAAAAATTTTTTTTAATTTTTTAAAACAAAATTAACCAAATCAGGAAGAATGCAATAAGAAGCACATAATTCCACTAAACAAGAATCTACTGTTGTGCTCAAAAATGTTGTCAATTCTTTATTATTTAATTGTTCAATGCCGTAATAGCTTAAAAAAGGTTAACAATATTGTTTAAAAAATATTCGGGTCTGGTTGAACATTTACTATAAGAATATTTTTACCACATAAACCTCCTCACAATATCAAACATATTTGAGTCGAATGCTCACCTAAACTAGACCAAAATTTTTTTCATCAAAGATATTGCTCTCCCAATATTCATCCTCACGTCCTAAACTAATACAAAGTTTTCTCTCGAAAACAGATTTTTCCTTCCAAATTTTTCTTCAAATGCATTGGTCTCGAAACATGTCTAAAGAATAATTAAAAATAACCAACGCTGGATTAGCAAATAATCGTCTATAAAGATAAGTTCCAGCCAAATATTCAACAATCTGTTGACGATTAACTATTGAACCTGAACATATTTCAGCATTTACATGATTAGGTAGAACAGGGAGTAAACTTGAAACGAAAAAAAATTTTTTTAATTTAAAAATTTCTTTTAAAAAATTACTTTGATTCAACAGGAAACGGTTCATATAAAAAACGTTTGTAAAAATTCTTTTTTACATCTTGTACAAAAACAACAGCGACCGCTGATGTGTCGTATTGTGGACGACCTGCACGTCCAATCATTTGAAGAACATCTGTGTAAATCAAAAATATTTTAAAAATTAAAAAGAAAACCTGTGACTGGGAAGTCAATATATTTATGTGTTTTTCCATCATAATATTCTGTCCCTTTAACAATTACTAAATGAGCTGGAACATTTATTCCCCAAGCGAGTGTAGCTGTAGCGACTTAAGAATATAAAATTTTATTGAATTTAAATACTCATTGGGAATGGGACGAATTACCCAATCCAAGCAATTTCCAAAACCCGACCCAAGCAAGGACTTTTTCACTCTAATCGCCTTAGAAGACTCGAGCCAAAATCAGAATTTTTTCCCAATCTGAGACTTAATCCGAAGAACATTTTGAAATCCCCGAACCGACTCACCCAATATTTGAATTTTTCGTTCAACAAAAAGCCTTTCAACAAGAGCTCTTTCAGAATGTTGTAATCCAGCATCTACAAAAGCATAAAAAATTCAAAAATATTTCAAATTATTTACGATGCATTCCAATTCCATAATTTAAAGTTAATGCCAAATTATCGTCACGAACATCTTTTAATAAAGCTTCCAATTCTAATTGTTCCATTTTTAACCATTGTTGCTGTTTCGAATCTGGTTCACGTTGCAAAAGTGAAAGTAAAGCCATTGAGGTTAATCTTGTTTGTCGACGGCTAGCAACAAAAATGAGAACAGGTTTTGAAGGAGAAAATTGTTTAATATACTAAAAATGAAATTTTTCTAATGAAAAAATGTTTTTAAATTTTATACTTGAAATGCCGGTTTATTCATCAACCCCATGCGAGGACAATAATGTTGACCAGGAAATCCTTGAATGTGTACTTGAATTGGTACAGGACGTACACTTGGTCTAAAATTGAATAATGCAGAGTCTGGAACCCCAATCCAATTTGCCACATCCCCAGCATTTGCTAAAGCTGTAGAAAGACCAATTATTCGAATTGGCAATTTGGCAAGTTCACGTCGTCGAGCAAGCGTTTTTATTCTTTAAAAAATTTAGGAGGAATTTAGAATTATTATAAAATTAAATAAATTGCCGAGTCACAATTGCTTCAAGTACTGCACCTCTTTCAACACCCAATAAATGAATTTCATCAATAATTAAAAGTTCGACTTCTTGAACATACCGACGAGTTTCAGCACAACTAAATATTATTAAAAAGTTTTAATAATTAAACAAAAAATCCTAACCGTGTAATACCGTCCCATTTCTCTGGAGTAGTTACCAGAATTGAGGCAAGGTTGAGTTCTTCAACGTCAGGAGTATTATCACCAGAAACTTCAACAATTCTGATTAAAAAAATAAAAAAAATTAAAATAAAATTGTCGTGAACATCTAATAAACAATGGAAAAAGAAACCTATAAAGAACAATGGCAAAGAAGACTAGGCCTCAGTTTGGGGAGAAATAGCCCTCGGAACAGCAAGTCCCTTAATTTTTCATGAAATAAAATCTTACGGAAATCCAAGTTTTTTGTTAAATTTTTGTTCCCAATCCAATACACGTTCACGAACAAGAGCTTTAAGAGGAGCAATATAAACACACTTAAAAATATAAAATTTTTAAATAAAATATTTTTTAAACCTTTTTAAGAGGCCTCAAATTGAAAAGTCTGAAGATTGCCAATTCTGCACACAAAGTTTTTCCAGAAGATGTTGGGGCACCAATTAATGAATTTTCATCAGTTGCATAAAGTGTATGGAAAACTTGTGTTTGTACAGGATTAAAAAATTGAAAAGAATAAAGTTGTTGATATTCAACATTTTTTAATGCGGATAAAGGTAGTGGCTCAAGATCCAATAAATCTATTGAAAAAAATTTTTTAAATAAAAAAAATGTTCTAAACAAAAATTTATACCAGTGTGTGGTTTAATTGATGTAGGCATAACTGTTGTTGCTAAAGTTAAAGGCACAACAGTATCTTCAACAATATAACGATCACTAGCCACTCTTAATAAATATTGATGTTTAACTTGATCCTCATTTACAGGAATTGTAAAAATTAAACGCTGTGGATCGCCACTTAAAGCCTTTAAATAAGAAAAAATTAATTAGTTGATTGTTAGTCGGTTTTACTATAGGATACATTCTTGTAGCTTAAATGTTTCCTAATTAAGGGGTATCTAACAAAGGGTGTACCATTTCGCCTTTTATCTTCCACCGAATTTTCGCCTCATTTTCGTGTTTCGCCTTTCGATTTTAAATCTTAAATTAACTTTCGACTTTTCGCCATGCCTTCATCTTTTGCTATTTAAAATCTGTTTCAACACACCCAAAGAATCTAATTTTGAGGGAATCTTACATTTATGACTCGACTATGTTTTAAAATAAATTTTCAAAAAATATAAACCATCTTTTTAAGAAGAATAAAAATTTCATGATGAAGGATAATATTAGCATCCGCATCTTCTACAATCACCCAAAAACGTTGTGCACCACCTAAACGATCACACCAAGTAAAGCTTGGATATAAAAGTGCTTCTATTTGAATTATTGTACTAAAAATAAAAATTTTTTAAAATTAAAAAATAAAATTTCAAACCAAGTTATTGGCCTAATATTAGCTTCAACATCAATAAAAGGAAGCATTCTAATTGCCTCATAAATAACTTTTCCATCACTAGAACATAAATAACCCAAATCTTTAGCATCCATGTCATATAAAGAAAATAAATTCATTCTCCGACTTTCAATTTTTTGAACAACGTTAAAACTGAGAAGATCGACATCAGCTAAATGTCTACAAAAAAGAAAAGCTTTGTTTAATTAAAGATTTAATGGGATCAACCAAGGAGGTCAACTCGCTAGTGGTCAATTGATCCTTGAGGTCACCCCTAATATTTGAGTGTATGAAAAAAGATTTGTGCATAAAGGTCATATCGATGTGTTTGGGATTAATTTTGATTTGTTGGGGGATTAAATGACAGAAGATGGAAATTCTGTCATATCATGAGTAGCTTTTATCCGCCCAAATATTAACAGTCTCCAAGGTCAGTTGACCTTTTGGGTAAAGCCAAATAAAAACCTTAATGGAGAATTAAAAGGCCACAATCTTTGTTCAATACATTTAGCCATAGTTAAACAAGCTTCTGTTGTTTGTGCCCAACCACGTCTTAAAGCAATTTCAAAAATTGCCCGAGCGATTCTTCCAGCATTTTGTGAAATATAATAAAGTTCTGATGAAAGAGCAAAATCTTTGACAAAAGCACGAGAAATATAACTCTAAAATTTTTTTGAAAAGATGTCATAAAGACAAAATAAAAACCTGAAGAAGACAATTAACTTTCCCTGCAGTTGTTGCTAATCCACTACGTATTTTTAAATTTGCTCCAAATGAAGCTAATTCATCTAATTCAGTCATTTCTGAATCACGATTCTAAAAAACGAAGAGAATTTTTTTATCTGAAAAATTTTTCTATACTTTTATTTGTGCAAATTCTGAACAAGAAGAAATTAATGCAATAATCATTTCATCTGTCATCATTTCTGTTAAACTTATTGGGCCGTTATGATCATTTATTAATTCAATTGTTTCAAATCCAATATAATAATTCTTTAAAAAATAAATTTCAAAAAAAATTTTTAATTAAAAAAAAACCGATGCTATTCTTCCCAAATCAGTTGCAGAAACAAAATTATTACTAAAATTAATATTTTATCATTTGAAAAATTTTGTAATGACGTAATGCTAAAAAGGCAAATGTCCAAACTCTCCCAAATCCCAGCTTTATTTCCACAGTTTGGGATTGTGATGGCTTTTGGGGGTTTGACATTTCAGCCTTATAACGCACACCAAACAAATTTTATTTTTTTTTTAATTTACATTGGATCATAACGTATCATTCTATTTGCATCCAAACGTCTTGCAGCACTATGACAAAAATCGGATAAATAGGCATTTAATTGGGAATCTTTTCTCAATTCTTTCCAATCAACTCCATACTTAAAAATTAATTTAATAAAAACCAGAAATTTTTTTTAAAAAACCTGTAACGGATTTTTCCGTAAACGAATATAAAAATAAGTAAAATGAATCCATTCAATAGCTTCAGAAATATTTGAAATTGCACCAGAAGCTATTTCAGCATTTAAATTGTTTAGAATACGAGATTGAAATTGTGATTCTATTGGTGTTTGTCGATGAAACATTTCAATATAATGAGCCAATTTTTGAACATTTGTAATAATAACACCATGACCTGTGTAAAATATTTTTATATTATATTGCTTTAAGCACAAATTAAAAATTTTTTTTAACTTGCAAAAAAATATATGACTTGGTAATAAATACACTCCATCAAGGAGTTGGGGATGGAAGCACAGTCAGTCGTGCTTTGAATCGGATACCTCCAAAAATGGTTGTTCTCTGTGAATTTTTCCAAAGAGATTTGTGAAGGGTTCAAATTCCAATTCTCCCAATATTAAATCAAAAACTATTATTGTTTTACCCATATCCTCATATTGTGGTCGTCCCGCTCTTCCAAAAATTTGTTGTACATCCAAAATACCAATGTCAGTAAAAATACCCTTTTGCGGGTCGAATATTTCTGTTCCCTTGAAAAAAATAAAATTTATATGTTAAAACCCAATAATCTCTTACTCGTATAATAACTGCATAAGCAGGTAAATTAACTCCCCAAGCGAGCTTTAAATAGAAAATTTAAATTAATTTAAAAAATATCCTTGAATTAAAACCGTTGCTGTACACATCATTACACGAATTGCACCTTCCGTAAACATTTTTTCCATCAAATGGCGATCGTGACGTGCTGAAAAAGAATCATAATTTATAATGCAGTGTCCGTCAAAACAGATTTTTCTGTATTTGCAACTAAAGCCGGACCTGATCCAGCCAGATTTTTCTTGATTGATCCGGTCAGGAAAAATCCGCAAATCACGAAAAAAGTGACTTGTGAATCGGATTTTGGAAAAATCTGGATGTATCCGGTTGGGTCCGGCGCCTGTCACTAATAATAAATTGATATAATTTACTTAATCCCGCATGGTGAATACCAAGACCCGATTGAAAAAGAAATTGTAACTCTCTGCTTTGAGCATTGTTCATCTATTGAAATAAAAAAATTAGATTTAAGAAATCTTTTACCGCTTTTTTAGCTTTCAAATAAGAACTAGTAACCTCCCCTCCTTTCTCAACAAGAAATAATTCTCTTTGATTCTAGAAAAAAATATTTTCTTCAAATAAAATTTAAAAAATAAACAAACAGAATTAGCAGCTTTATCAATAAATGTTCTAGCCAATTGTCCAGTAGCATTTCTTGAATGGACAAAAATTAAAACTTGGTGTTTATCATAAAGAAATTTGACACATTTTTGATAACAAACTTCATCCATCATTTCTTTTTGAGTCATCAATTTATTTTGAGAAATTTTTGTTGGTGGTTTTTCTCCTTTACGAATAGCTTTTTCCCTTTCCCGTTGTAAAACAATGGCTTGACGTTCAGAGTCTCGAACACCGAGAAAACTGAAAAAACGAAAAATTATTTTCTTTATAAATTAAAAATAAACGTTTGAGCAAGCGGAACAGGACGAAAACGTCCATCAAAATGAAAAAGTCCTTGAGTTGGATCAACACGTAAAAATGTTGCTACATCATTATAATTTGGTAAAGTTGCAGAGAGTCCAACAATTCGAATATTTTGATGATAAACTTCAATCTTAAGAAGTTATTTTTTCTTAAAATCAAAAAATTGTTTTACTCTTCTAAGTGTTCTTGCAATAATTGCTTCAATTACAGGTCCACGATCATCATGTAACAAATGAACTTCGTCAATAATTAAAAGACGAACTAATTGGCTAAGTTCTTCATCATCGCTTTTGCGTGTTATAACATCCCATTTTTCTGGTGTTAAAACAAGTACCTAGAAACTGTCTATTAGAGAGCGGTAAAAACACTTTTCGGGCCCAGAAAACGGATTTTGGATTTCATAGTAGTACCGGCAAAAACAAATCAGACCGGATTATTCTCAAATGATTCGACCCGAAAAAATCCAGAGACTAAAATATCAGGATGTTGTACCAAATAAATACGGTCCGGTGCCGCTCATTAGGGTTTATAATCAGTTTAGAAAAAGAGGATAAAAAATATTTTTTACAAACCTGTGTTTCTTGAATTTCTTTTCTACTTAATTGGGAATCTCCAGTTAATTCACGTGTTTTCAATCCAAGGCGGCCCAAACGTTTAGAAAAATTAGAGGTCATTTCTGTTGCTAATGCTTTCATTGGTGCCAAATAAATTACCTTAAACAAAAATTTAAAAATCTTTTAAAGGATTAAAAATACTTTAAACGCATTCTTATTTATTTTTCCATTTTTTGTTCGATTATCACGAATTGTTCTCAAAATTGTCAGTAATGCAATATTTGTTTTTCCAGCACCCGTTGGAGCACAAATCAATAAATTATTCAAAGTATTATAAGCTTGATCAAAAACTTGAGATTGGATGACATTTAAAGATTTAATTCCATCAAAGGCTGTTTGTGCGAACTTTAAATTTAAAAATTTTTCTAGCTCAAAAATTAAAAAAAAACCTCATCAAGTTCATCAATTTTTAAACGAGGGAAATTGGCCAAAAATTTTTTATTATTATCAATTGGTGGAGGAATATGTATTTCTTCACATAATGTCGAACTTTTTGAAGTACTTCCTTCAGGTAAAGCCATTTTACATCCATGGACAGGCAAATTAACAAATTTTGTTTGACATTCGAAATAATTATTTTGTTTTGAATTTTGTTGTTGTTCATTAAGAAATTGTGACAAAATTGCCTCTTCTTCTTCCTTCTCTTTTTCGTCAATTTCAAAAAATTTATTTTCCCATTTGATCATTTCAGGTTTGTAAAAAAATCTTTTAAAAAAATTATTTTTTGAAAAATATTAAAAATTAAAGTAACCTCAATTGAGAATTTGTATTTAAAGAATTTGAAGAAGTTGAAGGTCCAGCATCATCTTGGTACGACTAAAAATATTTAAAATTAAATTTTAATTTAAAAAATTTGTAAAATAATCTCAATACTAAACGCCGAAATACCAAAACCGACAAATACAAACTGCCGGAAAATACAATAAACGGAGCGTTAAGAATCCACATTTTGGCACTTTTAGTAAGTTCGGTATTTACGACATAATCCCATTTATTAAACTAGTAAAAATTTTACTGTGACACTCGATGGAAGAGCAAAAAGAGTTTCATGAATGTTGTCTGCTAATTTTTTGACATTTTTCTTACAATTAGTTGAAGCGTCCATTTATTTTTTTAAATTTAAAACTAAAAATGTAAAACTAAATTCTCAAAAAAATTAAAACTGATTATTTAAAAAAGTATATCTTTGTGAAATTATTTAAACGATAAAACAAATTAAAACATTTCAAAAAATACATAACACTTTTATTCATTAATATAATCTAATTATACAAACTTCAAATTTGGTAGAATAAAATATCAGAGCTTACATTTATTAATTAATGATAATTTTAAAGAATAGAAAAATAAAATAGCAAAGAAAAGAGTCCCAAAAAAGAGTTTACCAAAGAAGATAGATTACAATCAAAAAACTCAAAAAAATCCCAAAATAATTTTCCCAAAAAACAGAAAAAACTGTCCAAACTTTAAAAACTTCCAAAAACCTTAATTTAAGCAAAAGTAATATTTGTAATATAAATATTTCTGATTTCAGCATTATTGTCATCTTCTGGTTCTACCAATTGATATTCAACATTCTCAGAACATTTCTTAGCAACATAATTTCCGCAAACAAGTTTAAATGAACTTCGATTTAGAAAGCGTCCAAGAATTTGTATACCGTGGTGGCCAAAAGAAGTTATGCCGCGACCAAGGTCATTACAATAATGAATTTTTCCTTCAACACAATATTCTTCAATAGGGAAATCACCACCAATACTGGCAACGATGATTTCAAAACGTGGAGCAAGGTTAGGATTCTTTAAAAATAATTAAAAAATTTAATTTTAATTTTGAGATTCGATTTCTGAACAAATTTATTCAAAAACATTTCACAATTCTGACTTTCTAAATAACTGAAAACCCCCCATGTTTCCGACAGAAAAAATCATCAGGTTCCAGCTCATTTTTCGAAGAAATTCTTCGGTAAGATTACTTACTTACATAAACCCGAAATAATAAAATGCACTTCCCCAAAAAAATCCCCCAAAAAAAAATCCCAGCATTTCCCCAAAAATATTCCAGAAACTTATTTTAAAAAAGTCAAGACAATCAATCAATTTAATTGTATTAATTTTAAAATTTTCTAACCTTTATTACTTCCTCTTTAAGTGTACTTAACAACATTTTAATATTTCCAACAAAATCTGACGGCTCCTTCTGGTCATTAAAAAATCCATCAATAACAAGTTTACGTTTCGATGTAAGGTTTAAAAGCCAATTAGCCAAAGCAATATTATCGAATCCTTGAAAAGCACTTCGAATTCGTAAACTTGAACAGCGAGCAACAAATGGACACGAAAAAAATTGATTAGAAAGGAATGCATCTTTGCACTCGACAGAAATGTGTAAACATCTGTAAAAAAATCTACCTTAAACTGATTTAAGACAATGCCGCATGGAAAGTTCCCAAAGTTCATACAATTTTCAGGAATTTTTTAGTCAGCAATTTCTGAGAGTTCATGGTACGCAAAAAATTATTTTAGGAACATGTCCTAAACCAGAGCTTATTTTCCAAAAAAAACCTTGTCGGCAATTTCAAAAATAATGCATCCAACGAAATCCAAGCAGAATTCAAATATTTATTAAATTTCCCAAAAGAACTAATTTCCAATTCATAAGCTTCAATTGATGGACGAATACGCTCAAGAAATTTGAGAAACTCCGTGATTTGGCCGTCATTTCTGATATTATCAAATTTAACATTTGCAGGAGGAAGTCCTTTTGGAATAGGACGCTTAAATTTTTGATTAATTTTTAAAATGTATTAAAAATCCTACCGGAGTTTTAAAAGTACGATATTGATTAGCCTCCACTTTTAGCAGCGGTGCATTCGAAATAATGCAATTGGTGACGTGTGTCCCATCCTAAAAATATTTCTAAATTAATTTTAAAAAAATTAGAAAAACCTTTATAGTCAGCGATACTTCTCGAGGATAAAGTTGATCGATCAGTTTAGTAGAAAGTTGCGAAAATAAATAATTCGTTGGGCGAATATTATAACATAAATTTTTGTAAGAGACAAATTTAAAGATATCTTCAATCGTCTCATTTGGTAATAATGTAATCAAAGGTTGCATTGTCCTTCTAAAAAATTATAAAAAAATACAATGAACGAAATCCTTTCTTCCTTCCCAATTTCCCTTTTTGTCTTTTGCCAACAAACAGTCAAAAGGATTAATTTTTAGTTTTGGAAGGGAGAAACGACGGAATGTCTGACCATTTTATATTTAAGAAAAAATAGGAGAGGAAAAAGCTGCTCGCCAACGACACTCTAAAGTTGGCGAAAAATAATAAAAAGTGAAGAGGCTTACTTTGTCGAAGACGCTTTGCCGCACATTTTCACTAATACCATTTTGGAGAAACAAAAAAAAAAAGATTAAGTTGTATTTTAGTCTTTAATTGAATGACACTTTAAAAATTAATAATCATGATTAGAAAGCTGTAACAAGATAAATATTGAAAAATTTTAATCATTCACCATAACAAAAAAATTTTTTGAAAATTTTATTACCCTATACAAAACAATAAAAAACACAAAAAATCACATACTTAACAATAATATAGTACAATAATAGACGATAAACAATTTAATTTAATAATGTTATATAATATTCTCTATTGGATATTTACTAGTTTAGAGAGCCATAGTCGTCTCCGTAACAGTGACATTCAAGATACCAAAATCAAAAACCAAAGGCGCAAAAGTCTGAGCAAATACTTGGCATAGAATGAATGAACCAATTTTCAGAACCAATCCACCCAAAATCTTTAAAAAATTTTCATTTTAATTTAAATTTTTCAAAAAAAATTCACAAACCATATCAGAAACATGCAATATTTTTGCAGAGAAGACAACAGCGTTTGGTGGAGTGCCCGAAGGAAACATAAATGAGAAGGATGATGCAAAAGTAACCTAAGAAAATATTATATAAATTTAAAAAATATTTAAAAACATACCGGCAATACTTGTATGTATTGTGGACGACCTGCACGTCCAATCATTTGAAGAACATCTGTGTAAATCAAAAATATTTTAAAAATTAAAAAGAAAACCTGTGACTGGGAAGTCAATATATTTATGTGTTTTTCCATCATAATATTCTGTCCCTTTAACAATTACTAAATGAGCTGGAACATTTATTCCCCAAGCGAGTGTAGCTGTAGCGACTTAAGAATATAAAATTTTATTGAATTTAAATACTCATTGGGAATGGGACGAATTACCCAATCCAAGCAATTTCCAAAACCCGACCCAAGCAAGGACTTTTTCACTCTAATCGCCTTAGAAGACTCGAGCCAAAATCAGAATTTTTTCCCAATCTGAGACTTAATCCGAAGAACATTTTGAAATCCCCGAACCGACTCACCCAATATTTGAATTTTTCGTTCAACAAAAAGCCTTTCAACAAGAGCTCTTTCAGAATGTTGTAATCCAGCATCTACAAAAGCATAAAAAATTCAAAAATATTTCAAATTATTTACGATGCATTCCAATTCCATAATTTAAAGTTAATGCCAAATTATCGTCACGAACATCTTTTAATAAAGCTTCCAATTCTAATTGTTCCATTTTTAACCATTGTTGCTGTTTCGAATCTGGTTCACGTTGCAAAAGTGAAAGTAAAGCCATTGAGGTTAATCTTGTTTGTCGACGGCTAGCAACAAAAATGAGAACAGGTTTTGAAGGAGAAAATTGTTTAATATACTAAAAATGAAATTTTTCTAATGAAAAAATGTTTTTAAATTTTATACTTGAAATGCCGGTTTATTCATCAACCCCATGCGAGGACAATAATGTTGACCAGGAAATCCTTGAATGTGTACTTGAATTGGTACAGGACGTACACTTGGTCTAAAATTGAATAATGCAGAGTCTGGAACCCCAATCCAATTTGCCACATCCCCAGCATTTGCTAAAGCTGTAGAAAGACCAATTATTCGAATTGGCAATTTGGCAAGTTCACGTCGTCGAGCAAGCGTTTTTATTCTTTAAAAAATTTAGGAGGAATTTAGAATTATTATAAAATTAAATAAATTGCCGAGTCACAATTGCTTCAAGTACTGCACCTCTTTCAACACCCAATAAATGAATTTCATCAATAATTAAAAGTTCGACTTCTTGAACATACCGACGAGTTTCAGCACAACTAAATATTATTAAAAAGTTTTAATAATTAAACAAAAAATCCTAACCGTGTAATACCGTCCCATTTCTCTGGAGTAGTTACCAGAATTGAGGCAAGGTTGAGTTCTTCAACGTCAGGAGTATTATCACCAGAAACTTCAACAATTCTGATTAAAAAAATAAAAAAAATTAAAATAAAATTGTCGTGAACATCTAATAAACAATGGAAAAAGAAACCTATAAAGAACAATGGCAAAGAAGACTAGGCCTCAGTTTGGGGAGAAATAGCCCTCGGAACAGCAAGTCCCTTAATTTTTCATGAAATAAAATCTTACGGAAATCCAAGTTTTTTGTTAAATTTTTGTTCCCAATCCAATACACGTTCACGAACAAGAGCTTTAAGAGGAGCAATATAAACACACTTAAAAATATAAAATTTTTAAATAAAATATTTTTTAAACCTTTTTAAGAGGCCTCAAATTGAAAAGTCTGAAGATTGCCAATTCTGCACACAAAGTTTTTCCAGAAGATGTTGGGGCACCAATTAATGAATTTTCATCAGTTGCATAAAGTGTATGGAAAACTTGTGTTTGTACAGGATTAAAAAATTGAAAAGAATAAAGTTGTTGATATTCAACATTTTTTAATGCGGATAAAGGTAGTGGCTCAAGATCCAATAAATCTATTGAAAAAAATTTTTTAAATAAAAAAAATGTTCTAAACAAAAATTTATACCAGTGTGTGGTTTAATTGATGTAGGCATAACTGTTGTTGCTAAAGTTAAAGGCACAACAGTATCTTCAACAATATAACGATCACTAGCCACTCTTAATAAATATTGATGTTTAACTTGATCCTCATTTACAGGAATTGTAAAAATTAAACGCTGTGGATCGCCACTTAAAGCCTTTAAATAAGAAAAAATTAATTAGTTGATTGTTAGTCGGTTTTACTATAGGATACATTCTTGTAGCTTAAATGTTTCCTAATTAAGGGGTATCTAACAAAGGGTGTACCATTTCGCCTTTTATCTTCCACCGAATTTTCGCCTCATTTTCGTGTTTCGCCTTTCGATTTTAAATCTTAAATTAACTTTCGACTTTTCGCCATGCCTTCATCTTTTGCTATTTAAAATCTGTTTCAACACACCCAAAGAATCTAATTTTGAGGGAATCTTACATTTATGACTCGACTATGTTTTAAAATAAATTTTCAAAAAATATAAACCATCTTTTTAAGAAGAATAAAAATTTCATGATGAAGGATAATATTAGCATCCGCATCTTCTACAATCACCCAAAAACGTTGTGCACCACCTAAACGATCACACCAAGTAAAGCTTGGATATAAAAGTGCTTCTATTTGAATTATTGTACTAAAAATAAAAATTTTTTAAAATTAAAAAATAAAATTTCAAACCAAGTTATTGGCCTAATATTAGCTTCAACATCAATAAAAGGAAGCATTCTAATTGCCTCATAAATAACTTTTCCATCACTAGAACATAAATAACCCAAATCTTTAGCATCCATGTCATATAAAGAAAATAAATTCATTCTCCGACTTTCAATTTTTTGAACAACGTTAAAACTGAGAAGATCGACATCAGCTAAATGTCTACAAAAAAGAAAAGCTTTGTTTAATTAAAGATTTAATGGGATCAACCAAGGAGGTCAACTCGCTAGTGGTCAATTGATCCTTGAGGTCACCCCTAATATTTGAGTGTATGAAAAAAGATTTGTGCATAAAGGTCATATCGATGTGTTTGGGATTAATTTTGATTTGTTGGGGGATTAAATGACAGAAGATGGAAATTCTGTCATATCATGAGTAGCTTTTATCCGCCCAAATATTAACAGTCTCCAAGGTCAGTTGACCTTTTGGGTAAAGCCAAATAAAAACCTTAATGGAGAATTAAAAGGCCACAATCTTTGTTCAATACATTTAGCCATAGTTAAACAAGCTTCTGTTGTTTGTGCCCAACCACGTCTTAAAGCAATTTCAAAAATTGCCCGAGCGATTCTTCCAGCATTTTGTGAAATATAATAAAGTTCTGATGAAAGAGCAAAATCTTTGACAAAAGCACGAGAAATATAACTCTAAAATTTTTTTGAAAAGATGTCATAAAGACAAAATAAAAACCTGAAGAAGACAATTAACTTTCCCTGCAGTTGTTGCTAATCCACTACGTATTTTTAAATTTGCTCCAAATGAAGCTAATTCATCTAATTCAGTCATTTCTGAATCACGATTCTAAAAAACGAAGAGAATTTTTTTATCTGAAAAATTTTTCTATACTTTTATTTGTGCAAATTCTGAACAAGAAGAAATTAATGCAATAATCATTTCATCTGTCATCATTTCTGTTAAACTTATTGGGCCGTTATGATCATTTATTAATTCAATTGTTTCAAATCCAATATAATAATTCTTTAAAAAATAAATTTCAAAAAAAATTTTTAATTAAAAAAAAACCGATGCTATTCTTCCCAAATCAGTTGCAGAAACAAAATTATTACTAAAATTAATATTTTATCATTTGAAAAATTTTGTAATGACGTAATGCTAAAAAGGCAAATGTCCAAACTCTCCCAAATCCCAGCTTTATTTCCACAGTTTGGGATTGTGATGGCTTTTGGGGGTTTGACATTTCAGCCTTATAACGCACACCAAACAAATTTTATTTTTTTTTTAATTTACATTGGATCATAACGTATCATTCTATTTGCATCCAAACGTCTTGCAGCACTATGACAAAAATCGGATAAATAGGCATTTAATTGGGAATCTTTTCTCAATTCTTTCCAATCAACTCCATACTTAAAAATTAATTTAATAAAAACCAGAAATTTTTTTTAAAAAACCTGTAACGGATTTTTCCGTAAACGAATATAAAAATAAGTAAAATGAATCCATTCAATAGCTTCAGAAATATTTGAAATTGCACCAGAAGCTATTTCAGCATTTAAATTGTTTAGAATACGAGATTGAAATTGTGATTCTATTGGTGTTTGTCGATGAAACATTTCAATATAATGAGCCAATTTTTGAACATTTGTAATAATAACACCATGACCTGTGTAAAATATTTTTATATTATATTGCTTTAAGCACAAATTAAAAATTTTTTTTAACTTGCAAAAAAATATATGACTTGGTAATAAATACACTCCATCAAGGAGTTGGGGATGGAAGCACAGTCAGTCGTGCTTTGAATCGGATACCTCCAAAAATGGTTGTTCTCTGTGAATTTTTCCAAAGAGATTTGTGAAGGGTTCAAATTCCAATTCTCCCAATATTAAATCAAAAACTATTATTGTTTTACCCATATCCTCATATTGTGGTCGTCCCGCTCTTCCAAAAATTTGTTGTACATCCAAAATACCAATGTCAGTAAAAATACCCTTTTGCGGGTCGAATATTTCTGTTCCCTTGAAAAAAATAAAATTTATATGTTAAAACCCAATAATCTCTTACTCGTATAATAACTGCATAAGCAGGTAAATTAACTCCCCAAGCGAGCTTTAAATAGAAAATTTAAATTAATTTAAAAAATATCCTTGAATTAAAACCGTTGCTGTACACATCATTACACGAATTGCACCTTCCGTAAACATTTTTTCCATCAAATGGCGATCGTGACGTGCTGAAAAAGAATCATAATTTATAATGCAGTGTCCGTCAAAACAGATTTTTCTGTATTTGCAACTAAAGCCGGACCTGATCCAGCCAGATTTTTCTTGATTGATCCGGTCAGGAAAAATCCGCAAATCACGAAAAAAGTGACTTGTGAATCGGATTTTGGAAAAATCTGGATGTATCCGGTTGGGTCCGGCGCCTGTCACTAATAATAAATTGATATAATTTACTTAATCCCGCATGGTGAATACCAAGACCCGATTGAAAAAGAAATTGTAACTCTCTGCTTTGAGCATTGTTCATCTATTGAAATAAAAAAATTAGATTTAAGAAATCTTTTACCGCTTTTTTAGCTTTCAAATAAGAACTAGTAACCTCCCCTCCTTTCTCAACAAGAAATAATTCTCTTTGATTCTAGAAAAAAATATTTTCTTCAAATAAAATTTAAAAAATAAACAAACAGAATTAGCAGCTTTATCAATAAATGTTCTAGCCAATTGTCCAGTAGCATTTCTTGAATGGACAAAAATTAAAACTTGGTGTTTATCATAAAGAAATTTGACACATTTTTGATAACAAACTTCATCCATCATTTCTTTTTGAGTCATCAATTTATTTTGAGAAATTTTTGTTGGTGGTTTTTCTCCTTTACGAATAGCTTTTTCCCTTTCCCGTTGTAAAACAATGGCTTGACGTTCAGAGTCTCGAACACCGAGAAAACTGAAAAAACGAAAAATTATTTTCTTTATAAATTAAAAATAAACGTTTGAGCAAGCGGAACAGGACGAAAACGTCCATCAAAATGAAAAAGTCCTTGAGTTGGATCAACACGTAAAAATGTTGCTACATCATTATAATTTGGTAAAGTTGCAGAGAGTCCAACAATTCGAATATTTTGATGATAAACTTCAATCTTAAGAAGTTATTTTTTCTTAAAATCAAAAAATTGTTTTACTCTTCTAAGTGTTCTTGCAATAATTGCTTCAATTACAGGTCCACGATCATCATGTAACAAATGAACTTCGTCAATAATTAAAAGACGAACTAATTGGCTAAGTTCTTCATCATCGCTTTTGCGTGTTATAACATCCCATTTTTCTGGTGTTAAAACAAGTACCTAGAAACTGTCTATTAGAGAGCGGTAAAAACACTTTTCGGGCCCAGAAAACGGATTTTGGATTTCATAGTAGTACCGGCAAAAACAAATCAGACCGGATTATTCTCAAATGATTCGACCCGAAAAAATCCAGAGACTAAAATATCAGGATGTTGTACCAAATAAATACGGTCCGGTGCCGCTCATTAGGGTTTATAATCAGTTTAGAAAAAGAGGATAAAAAATATTTTTTACAAACCTGTGTTTCTTGAATTTCTTTTCTACTTAATTGGGAATCTCCAGTTAATTCACGTGTTTTCAATCCAAGGCGGCCCAAACGTTTAGAAAAATTAGAGGTCATTTCTGTTGCTAATGCTTTCATTGGTGCCAAATAAATTACCTTAAACAAAAATTTAAAAATCTTTTAAAGGATTAAAAATACTTTAAACGCATTCTTATTTATTTTTCCATTTTTTGTTCGATTATCACGAATTGTTCTCAAAATTGTCAGTAATGCAATATTTGTTTTTCCAGCACCCGTTGGAGCACAAATCAATAAATTATTCAAAGTATTATAAGCTTGATCAAAAACTTGAGATTGGATGACATTTAAAGATTTAATTCCATCAAAGGCTGTTTGTGCGAACTTTAAATTTAAAAATTTTTCTAGCTCAAAAATTAAAAAAAAACCTCATCAAGTTCATCAATTTTTAAACGAGGGAAATTGGCCAAAAATTTTTTATTATTATCAATTGGTGGAGGAATATGTATTTCTTCACATAATGTCGAACTTTTTGAAGTACTTCCTTCAGGTAAAGCCATTTTACATCCATGGACAGGCAAATTAACAAATTTTGTTTGACATTCGAAATAATTATTTTGTTTTGAATTTTGTTGTTGTTCATTAAGAAATTGTGACAAAATTGCCTCTTCTTCTTCCTTCTCTTTTTCGTCAATTTCAAAAAATTTATTTTCCCATTTGATCATTTCAGGTTTGTAAAAAAATCTTTTAAAAAAATTATTTTTTGAAAAATATTAAAAATTAAAGTAACCTCAATTGAGAATTTGTATTTAAAGAATTTGAAGAAGTTGAAGGTCCAGCATCATCTTGGTACGACTAAAAATATTTAAAATTAAATTTTAATTTAAAAAATTTGTAAAATAATCTCAATACTAAACGCCGAAATACCAAAACCGACAAATACAAACTGCCGGAAAATACAATAAACGGAGCGTTAAGAATCCACATTTTGGCACTTTTAGTAAGTTCGGTATTTACGACATAATCCCATTTATTAAACTAGTAAAAATTTTACTGTGACACTCGATGGAAGAGCAAAAAGAGTTTCATGAATGTTGTCTGCTAATTTTTTGACATTTTTCTTACAATTAGTTGAAGCGTCCATTTATTTTTTTAAATTTAAAACTAAAAATGTAAAACTAAATTCTCAAAAAAATTAAAACTGATTATTTAAAAAAGTATATCTTTGTGAAATTATTTAAACGATAAAACAAATTAAAACATTTCAAAAAATACATAACACTTTTATTCATTAATATAATCTAATTATACAAACTTCAAATTTGGTAGAATAAAATATCAGAGCTTACATTTATTAATTAATGATAATTTTAAAGAATAGAAAAATAAAATAGCAAAGAAAAGAGTCCCAAAAAAGAGTTTACCAAAGAAGATAGATTACAATCAAAAAACTCAAAAAAATCCCAAAATAATTTTCCCAAAAAACAGAAAAAACTGTCCAAACTTTAAAAACTTCCAAAAACCTTAATTTAAGCAAAAGTAATATTTGTAATATAAATATTTCTGATTTCAGCATTATTGTCATCTTCTGGTTCTACCAATTGATATTCAACATTCTCAGAACATTTCTTAGCAACATAATTTCCGCAAACAAGTTTAAATGAACTTCGATTTAGAAAGCGTCCAAGAATTTGTATACCGTGGTGGCCAAAAGAAGTTATGCCGCGACCAAGGTCATTACAATAATGAATTTTTCCTTCAACACAATATTCTTCAATAGGGAAATCACCACCAATACTGGCAACGATGATTTCAAAACGTGGAGCAAGGTTAGGATTCTTTAAAAATAATTAAAAAATTTAATTTTAATTTTGAGATTCGATTTCTGAACAAATTTATTCAAAAACATTTCACAATTCTGACTTTCTAAATAACTGAAAACCCCCCATGTTTCCGACAGAAAAAATCATCAGGTTCCAGCTCATTTTTCGAAGAAATTCTTCGGTAAGATTACTTACTTACATAAACCCGAAATAATAAAATGCACTTCCCCAAAAAAATCCCCCAAAAAAAAATCCCAGCATTTCCCCAAAAATATTCCAGAAACTTATTTTAAAAAAGTCAAGACAATCAATCAATTTAATTGTATTAATTTTAAAATTTTCTAACCTTTATTACTTCCTCTTTAAGTGTACTTAACAACATTTTAATATTTCCAACAAAATCTGACGGCTCCTTCTGGTCATTAAAAAATCCATCAATAACAAGTTTACGTTTCGATGTAAGGTTTAAAAGCCAATTAGCCAAAGCAATATTATCGAATCCTTGAAAAGCACTTCGAATTCGTAAACTTGAACAGCGAGCAACAAATGGACACGAAAAAAATTGATTAGAAAGGAATGCATCTTTGCACTCGACAGAAATGTGTAAACATCTGTAAAAAAATCTACCTTAAACTGATTTAAGACAATGCCGCATGGAAAGTTCCCAAAGTTCATACAATTTTCAGGAATTTTTTAGTCAGCAATTTCTGAGAGTTCATGGTACGCAAAAAATTATTTTAGGAACATGTCCTAAACCAGAGCTTATTTTCCAAAAAAACCTTGTCGGCAATTTCAAAAATAATGCATCCAACGAAATCCAAGCAGAATTCAAATATTTATTAAATTTCCCAAAAGAACTAATTTCCAATTCATAAGCTTCAATTGATGGACGAATACGCTCAAGAAATTTGAGAAACTCCGTGATTTGGCCGTCATTTCTGATATTATCAAATTTAACATTTGCAGGAGGAAGTCCTTTTGGAATAGGACGCTTAAATTTTTGATTAATTTTTAAAATGTATTAAAAATCCTACCGGAGTTTTAAAAGTACGATATTGATTAGCCTCCACTTTTAGCAGCGGTGCATTCGAAATAATGCAATTGGTGACGTGTGTCCCATCCTAAAAATATTTCTAAATTAATTTTAAAAAAATTAGAAAAACCTTTATAGTCAGCGATACTTCTCGAGGATAAAGTTGATCGATCAGTTTAGTAGAAAGTTGCGAAAATAAATAATTCGTTGGGCGAATATTATAACATAAATTTTTGTAAGAGACAAATTTAAAGATATCTTCAATCGTCTCATTTGGTAATAATGTAATCAAAGGTTGCATTGTCCTTCTAAAAAATTATAAAAAAATACAATGAACGAAATCCTTTCTTCCTTCCCAATTTCCCTTTTTGTCTTTTGCCAACAAACAGTCAAAAGGATTAATTTTTAGTTTTGGAAGGGAGAAACGACGGAATGTCTGACCATTTTATATTTAAGAAAAAATAGGAGAGGAAAAAGCTGCTCGCCAACGACACTCTAAAGTTGGCGAAAAATAATAAAAAGTGAAGAGGCTTACTTTGTCGAAGACGCTTTGCCGCACATTTTCACTAATACCATTTTGGAGAAACAAAAAAAAAAAGATTAAGTTGTATTTTAGTCTTTAATTGAATGACACTTTAAAAATTAATAATCATGATTAGAAAGCTGTAACAAGATAAATATTGAAAAATTTTAATCATTCACCATAACAAAAAAATTTTTTGAAAATTTTATTACCCTATACAAAACAATAAAAAACACAAAAAATCACATACTTAACAATAATATAGTACAATAATAGACGATAAACAATTTAATTTAATAATGTTATATAATATTCTCTATTGGATATTTACTAGTTTAGAGAGCCATAGTCGTCTCCGTAACAGTGACATTCAAGATACCAAAATCAAAAACCAAAGGCGCAAAAGTCTGAGCAAATACTTGGCATAGAATGAATGAACCAATTTTCAGAACCAATCCACCCAAAATCTTTAAAAAATTTTCATTTTAATTTAAATTTTTCAAAAAAAATTCACAAACCATATCAGAAACATGCAATATTTTTGCAGAGAAGACAACAGCGTTTGGTGGAGTGCCCGAAGGAAACATAAATGAGAAGGATGATGCAAAAGTAACCTAAGAAAATATTATATAAATTTAAAAAATATTTAAAAACATACCGGCAATACATAGGTAAGTGGATTAATATCTTGAGCAATCGCAATAGAAGCAACCACAGGGCTAAAAAATAAAATATTTTTTAGGGTAAATTTAAAAATAATTTTGATACATAAAGACAGCTGCTGTAGCTGTATTGCTAGCGAATTCTAAAAAAAATGAAGTAAAGGGATAAAGGCAAAAAATTAAAGATGTGCCGGTCACTTTTCCGAATTTTTGCCTTTTTTGGAGTTTTGTCCTCCGCTTTTTAAATTAACTTTCACATCTTCGCCTTAAAGAAGGAAAGACAACCCCGAAAAAAGTCGAAAATTCGGCAAAAGTGACCGACACATTACTGCTAGTTATAATCCATACCAGTCAACAGGCAAACAATTCCACTCGAAAATGCGATGAAGGCCCAAGGAGGCATCCATTGCATTGCTGACAGTTTGATAGCAATCCTTAAAAATATTTAAATAAACTTAGAAAAAATAAAATTTAAAAAGAAACCAATCAGAAAGACCACTTTTCTTTACTCCATTAGCCATAGCAAATCCACCTCCCAACAGAAAGAGGGTTGACCAAGAAAATTTTTCCCTCATTAACTTCCAAGTTATTATAGTACGAATAGGCTCATCTTTGTTTTCTAAAAGTTTGTCCACGGTTGCCGATGAAAATGGATTTTCTGCAGGCAAAACAAAAAGCAACATGGAAATTAGCATTGATGCCGTTCCATCAGTCACATAACTTTAAAAAAGAAATTGAAAAAATAAAAAAAATTTTAATACCTTGCAGTGAACAGTTTAGTCCAAGCAGGGCGAGATAACCACTAAAAAATAAAATTTAACCAAAAAAATTTTCGAACCAAAGCAATTAGCGACAGAAAGGATATTAACACAACCAATTCTTCATATCGCATAGGCCCCTTTAAAACGAAGCGATAACTTTTTTTAATTAAAAAAAAGCATACCAATTCCTTATATTTTTTAACAATCATATCATTAACAACTTGATTGTTTTTCTTGTTGTTATTGCGGAAATAAAAAAAATATTTTTTTTTAAATATTTTAAATATTACCAGAATCCAATGAACAAAAATTGAAGCCAAATCCAACAAATTAATAGAAGAATAATAAGCTAAAATTTATACAAAAATATTTATTATTTAAATGTTAGATAAGAAAAATTCCGCCATATCAACCACACTCCTATCAAAAAAATCTCCTTTGGGTTTTCGATTTTAAGGGTAGTATCTCGGCCCAGAGTTGTTCCGACCGAGTCATTCTACTCAACTTTTGGTGTCATTCTACTCATCTTGGCGAGCTCTTTTTTTGTTTGTGGGAATCGTAGTATGGGTGATATGACGGAATTTTAATGTTTCGGGCTTATGTCCAATTTTTCCCTCGTCTCAAAATTACCTGTGGAATAGAATAACACATATAAGAAAAGAAGGCCACAGGATTTTTATCGCCATAAAGACTAAAATTAAACAAAATTTTAAAACTTAATTTCAAATAAAAACCTCTGGAAATGGCTATTCATGGAAATAATCGAACTAGTACCAATCAGGGTGCCTTTAAATTGTTAAAATTTAAAAAAATTTTAAATCATTAAGATTTACCAGCGCCACCAATTGCAGAAGCATAAGCAATTGAAAGTAAAAGACCTTTGTAGATACGCCGCTGTTGCTTATTATCCGAAAGAACCAACATCTGAGAGACTGTATCAACAGAATCTTTTGACGAATTTAATGATTCAGTCCTTTTAAAAATAAAAATAATTTTAAAAAAATTAGAGAAAATAAACTCTAAACGTTCACACATATCCAATTCTTTAATAAGCGCAAGCACCAAGGGCAGCTTCAATAAAGAAATAATTAAATTGACTAAATTGACAAAAAACAAACCATCATGCTGAAATTGACAAAAATTAATTTTAACAAAATTCAAAAAAAATTACGTAGTAGTTGAAGTATTTGACATCCACAAAGAAATAAAAGCTGTTGCAACTTGCAATCCAAGCATTAAAAAGCGAGGATTAGCGCCGGTAAAACAAAGTGTTCGCAGAGCAACACGCTCGTGTAAACGAGAAGATTCTACCGCAACAGCCATAACCTTAAAAGGGATTTTTAAATTAAAAACCGAAAAAGTCACCATAGAACCAAAGAACATCATATTAGAATCATTCAAATATGCCGAAGAGACAGCCTCAGCCGGTTCAATATCTAGCAGTGGATAGGCAATAGTTGGGATTAATGCAGTCACAGGCAGAGGAAGTGTTTCGGTTACCCAGAAAAATCCTAAAATTTTCTGAAATTTCTGAAAATAATTGCTGCTAGATTACCCATAACGAAGATGACATAAGCACAAGAAGCCGGCTAAAAAATAAAAAATTACCACTCATTTATAAATATACAGGCTGTACTTTAGTATAGGTCCACCGAGATCGGAACTCATAATATATACCATTCGATTCGTCTCGCCGAGCTGAGTTCAAATATGCAAGAATTTTCTGCGGGACGCGAAAACTCGCAAAGATACAGGCGCTTGAAAATCGAAAAACCATAGGGGGGACCAAGCTCGATTTTGGGGTGAAAAATTCGAATATGCAAATTATACCTCATTCGAAAGAGCTCGTCGAGCTGAGTCGAATGACACCAAAATCAACAAAATCCGACATGATTTGACAAAGTTATGACCGTTTGTTTTAGCTCCTTACCTATGGCATCTGTGGAGATTTTTGCTGCTACGGAGGCCCCAAATACGTCCAGAGCAAGGGAGATAGGAATAGGGTTATGTTACGAGCCCAGACCCATCGCCCGTAGACTCCCCGCGAGGCGCGTGCCGCAAAACTCCGCGCGAAGCGCGGAGTTTTGCACAAGCGCCTCGCCGACGCTCCATAGGTTTAGGTATTTTGTTTTTTGCGTCGTAACTTTTTCTAATCTTTTTCAATCACGGTGATTTTGGTGTCATTCGACTCAGCTCGTCGAGCTCTTTCGAATGAGTTATTATTTGTATAAAAAATTTTTTATTCCAAAAATCGCCCCTTTGGATCTTCGGTTTTTAGGGGCCTATATCTCGGTCCTATCAAGTCGGATTTTGTTGACTTTGGTGTCATTCGACTCAGCTCGACGAGCTCTTTCGAATGAGGTATAATTTGCATATTCGAATTTTTCACCCCAAAATCGAGCTTGGTCCCCCCTATGGTTTTTCGATTTTCAAGCGCCTGTATCTTTGCGAGTTTTCTCGTCCCGCAGAAAATTCTTGCATATTTGAACTCAGCTCGGCGAGACGAATCGAATGGTATATATTATGAGTTCCGATCTCGGTGGACCTATACTAAAGCGACCCCAATATACATTAACTCACCGGCGTTCCAATAATCAACGGAATTGGACTGAATACAATCGGAAGCAGAAAAAACATGAAGAAACGTCTCATCGATCTCAGACGAACCATTTCCTTGATTTTGGGCGTTAACGTGTCCATGTTCTGAATCTGACCAAACTCCGAAGGGGAATCCGGCTCCATTTTAGACATTACAATATTTATATTATTAGATTAGACCCTAAAAATTAATCTGATTAATAAATAAAAAATTAATGAAAAATCAGTAATAAGAAAACAAATAGAAATTAACAGCGAAATTTTTTAAAACTTAGTTAGTTGCCCTTTTATAGTAACTTTTGCACTTTGGGAATATTGAGTCACCCTGGTTGAGTCCCTAAGCCATATCAAAAGTTTTTGGTTGCAATTATTTCGAATAAACCTTATATCATTCGAAAGCCCTCGATATGAGGATTATTTTAGCCAACATCATTGATTTTATCAGATAATCCTACAAAAAGTTCATCTCAATTGGCACGTTCCGCCGTACTCAGTTGACCCAAAAATATCATAATGCCAAACAATCTTTATATTATTTTTTTAATTTGAAAATTATCAGCAAATCCTCTTTATTATCTCGCTTATCTCTCCAATCTTATTTTTATCAACTACATTCGAACATTTAAACTTTCAACAGATCCAAAAACAGTTAAAGTGGCGCCGGTCCAACTTTGAACGCATTACGTATTTAGCGTCAGTTATTTTTATTTTTCTTATCATTTTTGAATGTTTCCTCTATCAAATTTTTATGTTTCCCTGTCTATCATGTGTGGTACACTGATAAAATTATTTAATTAATTTCCAGAATAAATTAATTTTTCTTGACACAAATTATTGACTTAAATTTAGAATAATATTTTTATTATCTCTCTTTCCCTTTAAAAAAGATAAATATTTTGCTGAAACATCATTTTCTCACGATCCGTACATTTTTATGTTTGCAGCATATTCCTACGAATTATTAAGAAAGGTTTGCCAAAAAGGAATGCATTTTTTATCAGTAAAATTAATTTTATTTCTGTATCTGAAATGTTTCTAATTAACATACTATTAGTGTGTGTATTTCCTTAATAAATAATTTATTTTTACTTTTTCCTTCACCAAAAAAATTATTTTTATAAAAAATAATGATAGGAAATTAAAAAAACATGACTGAGATTCTTGATTTATGTCGAGGATCTTCACTAGGTTCATAACTAGGGTTGCCGTTTTCGAGTCGGACCGGTACGAGGCTTTTTCGGGCCTAACTTTATCGCCGTACGAGACTTTTTCTGGCCAAACATCTTAGACCCGACTCGATCTTTTGGTCCGATTCGGGCCATTTTGGCAACTCTATTCTTAACCTTCAGTCAAAGACAAAAACAAGGAACTCTAAGAAATCCTTAATCTCGATTATGGGTCCAGGGAAAATCAATGTCTGGTTTTTCCTGGGGCCGATCTCTAATGAAAAATTATTTAATAATTTTTCAGGATTCTTCCAATCAACTAAATCAATTAAAAATGTCCAAAATTGATCAAGCACCTATAGAAATTAATTTACCAACTTCGAAAATATTGTCAACTAAAATTAAAATTTTCATTCGTTTGCGATCTCTTAGATATTTTTTTACTTTTCTGCTAGTTCCTATTGTTTTGGCACCAATTCCATTGATTATTGGCACACCGGTATTTTTTAAATTAAATTATATTTCTAATTTAAAATTATTTTAGCCAGCTTCTTGTGCTTATGTAATTCTTGTAATGGGTAAAATAAAATTTTTGAAATTTAAAAAATTATTTTAAAGCTTTCTTTTGGTTAACTGAGACAATTCCTTTGCCTGTTACTTCTTTAATTCCAATATTTGCTTATCCATTACTTTCTGTTGAATCGGCGGAGCAAGTTTCTTCAGTTTATCTAAGCGATTCAAATATGATTTTCTTTGGGTCAATGGTCAGATTTTCTTTCATTTTTGGATTTTTACTCTTAGAAATTCTTTAAAAATTTAAAAAAGTTCCCTTTTTAGGTTATGGCTGTTGCGGTAGAATCTTCTCGTTTACACGAGCGTGTTGCTCTGCGAACACTGTGTTTTACCGGTGCTAATCCTCGCTTTTTAATGCTTGGATTGCAAATTGCAACAGCTTTTATTTCTTTGTGGATGTCAAATACTTCAACTACTACGTAATTTTTTTGAATAAAATTCTCTTTTAATTTTTCTCAATTTCAGTATGATGGTTTGTTTTTTGTTGATTTAGTCGATTTAATTATTTCTTTATTGAAGCTGCCCCTGGTGCTTGCGCTTATTAAAGAATTGGATATGTGTGAACGTTTAGAGTTTATTTTTTCTAATTTTTTTAAAAATTATTTTTTAAAAAGGAATAATCCAATTCCTCATGTTGCATCAAAGGATTCAATAGAAAATGTTTCTCAAGTTTTGGTCCTTTCCGATTCCAAACAACAACAACGTATTTATAAAGGTCTTTTACTTTCAATTGCTTATGCTTCTGCTATTGGTGGAATTGGTTGGTATAAGAATTTTAAAAGTTTTCCTTTATGCTCAAAACTAGTAGAGGGGCACGACCTGTTAATTTTCCTTGGACGAGTCAAATAAGAATAACAAGAGCTTTTATGCCGAAACGACCGGTGTGTCCAACACTAGACACTTTTTTTCAACATCAGAGGTCGTTCGTGACTTTGATTTTCGACCTTTTTTCCTTCCGATTTTCGAATTTTGAGACAGTTCCTTCGTCAATTCCAAACGACTTTATTAAGCATAGAGGAAAAGAACCAAAAAATTTTTATTTTTAATTAATTTATGTTTAAAGGTACTTTAATTGGTACGGGATCAAATATTGCCATGAATAACCATTTTCAAAGGTATTATAAATTTTGAATTAATAATTTCCAATTAAATTCTATTTTTCAAGTATTTATGGAGATAAGAATCCAGTTTCCTTCTTTTCATTTATTTGTTATGCTTTACCTCAGGTTTTTTTAAATTTTAAAAAAATTTTAAAAAATTTTCAGGTGATTATTCTTTTGATAATTTGTTGGATTTGGCTGCAATTTTTATTTATTGGATTTAGGTAATTAAAAAATTTTTTAATTGAGAAAATATTTTTTTAGAAAAAATAGCAAGAAAAATCAGATTGTGAATGATATGCTTTTAAATAAATATAAACAACTTGTAAGTTGAAATTGAATTACGATCAAACTTCACTAGTTATTTAAATAAATTTAAGGGACCAATACGTTATGAAGAAATTACTGTTGTATTGTCATTCTTGGCTTTAATAATTCTTGTTAGATTTTTTGATGATTAATTTTCTTATTTTTTACTTAAGTGGATGACACGTCCAATTTGGCACAAAATGTTTAGGCCAAAGTTTTTTTATTTTTTAGAAATTTCAAAAAGTTTTTATTTAAAGTTATGTCACTGACGGAACTTCAGCAATGCTAATTTCCATGTTGCTTTTTGTTTTGCCAGCAGAAAATCCATTTTCATCAAAGATTGTTGACAGACTTATCGAACACAAAAAAGATGAGCCTATTCGTACTGTAATGACTTGGAAGTTAATGAGGGAAAAATTTTCTTGGTCAACCCTCTTTCTGTTGGGAGGTGGATTTGCTATGGCTGACGGAGTAAAGAAAAGTGGTCTTTCTGAATTGTAAGGTTTTTTTTATAAAGACACAATTTTAATTGTAATTTAGGCTTTGTTCGCAGCTTTCAGGAATGCAATGGTTGCCTCCTTGGACATTCATAGCCTTTTCTAGTGCCATAGTTTGCCTGTTAACTGGTATGATAATTTTATGGGTAATAGTGTCGTTTCCCAGCCCCCTTTTTTTCCTCCCAATTTTCTACCTTATGTTTGTACGGAATGGTCAAATTTTCCCCTTCCTTTCATCAAATTTGCCTTTCCATATTTTGCCTAAAAACAATCAAAAAAGATTAATTTTTTATTCATTTCTTTCACAAGGATAAAAAAGTGAGACATGATGCCAAAAATTATAAAAAACATTTTCAATATTGCCAAATCGTTTTCGCCACATAAATTCCGGGAGATAACACCGCCAACATCCATATCTTTCGTCTTCCTTAACACTTATTGTTGTTCGACCCCCACATTTGTAGCAAGTTCTCTTTCCATGAAGAAGTCCAAGCTTCTCAAGCCATGCATCGAAATCATTATCACTCAAACGTAATTTTTCATATAAATCAATAGGTTTGAAATTCTTTAGTTCTTCCATTTTTATTAATTGGGAAAATGATTCTTCTCATTACTCTAATACTTATTTAAATATCACAAATTAATCTTTTTGATTGTTTTTAGGCAAAATATGGAAAGGCAAATTTGATGAAAGAAAGGGGAAAATTTGACCATTCCGTACAAAAATAGGGTAGAAAATTGGGAGGAAAAAAAGGGGGCTGGGAAACGACACTATTACCATTTTATGATTTTATAAGCCCCAAATCCTCCAGCAACCCCTCACAAAATTTTATAGACCTGAAAATACGTTTAAAAATATTTTGTGGGAAAAACAGACAAAATTCAGTTCATTTTTTATCTTTTAGAATTCACCAGTAATATTGCTACAGCATCTATTTTTATGTAAGAACAACTTCACTTTTAACAGAAAATATTTAATGAATATATTTTTTTAATAATTTGCTCTTTTTTATAGCCCTATGGTTGCCTCAATTGCGATTGCTCAAAATATGAATCCACTTATCTATGTCTTGCCAGTATTTTTTTTAATATTTTTTAAATAAAAATAATTTTTTCTTAGGTCACCTTTGCTTCATCTTTTACTTTTATGTTTCCCGCTGGCACCCCACCAAACGCGATTGTCTTCTCTGCGAAAATATTGCATGTTTCTGATATGGTTTGAAAATTTTTTTTGAAAAATTAAAACTGAAAAGAAATTTTTTTAAAGATTTTGGGTGGCTTGGTTCTAAAAATTAGTTCTTTCATTCTATGCCAAGTATTTGCTCAAACATACGCCTATTTAATTTTTGATATGGAAGGCCTTAATGTCTCGATTCCATTAACACCAGTTGCTCCATAAAAGATACTAATTAATTAATATTATTTAAAATAAGGCATTTGGAAGAAGATTGAGAGAGTGCCTTTGAAACTAGGATGTCATGGGTTATCCGAAATCGGGACTTTTTTCAATCCGAAACCTGACTTGAATAAATTTTCTAAAACTCGACTCGAAACTTTACCCGACGTTTTTCTCAACCCGTGGTGACATCCTTTTTGCAGGCTATTTTTCAAGAGAAAAATAATCTGTAGAAGCGGGCAACTCTAGGTCTTTAATAGTGCCAAGATTTAATTCTTACACTTTTACTATTGTTTATACACGATTTTTTGTCATTCACCTCATTTTTATCATTCCTAAAAAAATTTAAATCGAAAAATTGTACAAATAAAAAAAATTTATAAATAAATATTTTTGTCTGGACATTTTGGTTCTTTTATTTGTTGTCTATTGACCAATTCTTTCAGTTAATATTTTGAAAAGCTAAACTTTTTTTCGAAAAACAGCTGTATTTTTTTATCTATTTACGTGTAAATTTTTAATTATTCACTTATACTTTTATTAATTTTTCAAACCTTTTTAGGCGAAATTTTAAACTATAATTCGAGAAATGCTACAAAAACTTCAAAGTTGGTTAGTAAGGCAAAGAGACCAGTCAGCTGTGTCTTATAGTCGCTTTGGTCGTCCAGGTTTGCTTTTAAACATAGAAAACCCGTTTGAACATAAATTAGGATTTTTGGTTTTGTCATAAAGAATAAGGTTTTTTCTCTGTGATGTTTTGGTTATTCTACTTTAAAAGCGAGAACTTTTTGATAGGGCATTGGATGACTCATACGATTAGATTTAATCTTTTTTTAAGTAATTTTCAAAATTTTGACAATCCATGCCTTATTCATAATTTTGGTCAATTTTCTGGGTAAGCCATATTTCGTTTCTAAACTTTCGTAGTCCAGAAAAATCCACATCTCTTTTTTCAAAATAATTTATTTTTTAGGGGATGAGGAGGAAGATAAACCACCGCCTACAACAATTGTCGTTGCCCCATTTAATGAAAATGCTCCAGAATATTTTCTTTTTGGTTCTTGTCATGTTCAAAAGGCTGCAATCGTTTCTATATTTTTTTATAATTTTTTGTCTAATTTATTTTTAAAGTATTTTGCTGCTTTTGGAATGTCAATAACAATTTTGATGTTTATTAGTACATTCTTTGAATTTGATTGGTATCATTACAAAAGAGGGGTTGATGTTGGTGCTGTTATAGGTCTTTTCTTATATTTGGCTATTGGAGTGCTTATTCATTATTATGTGATTATTGGGGTTAAAAGACAGCTATCGCGTTATTTGCTTCCGTTTATTTGTGTTTATACAATTATATGTGTGACTGAAACTTGTATGTGTATTGGACTTTTGTAGGTTCTTTAAAGTATTTTATTTTAGAGGGAGTCTCTTTCAGATTTCGTGTCTTCCGAAATTCTGAAATTGAAAGAAATTCCATCATTTTGAGGACGTTCCTCTTTTTTATCGCCGAAGTTTAAAACCCCCCCTCCCAACAACTACCAAAATGCCAAACGTTTGAAAAATAATTTCCAATTACGTGAAAGTTTGTTAACAATCCACATTTTGGTATTTCGGCGTTTTTTGGGGAGTTTGATATTTTGGCGTTTGATATTCCATCACCTCCATTTTCTTCTTCTATGACCTTTGAAAATAATTTTTATAAAAAACAGGTTTAAATTATTGGATGCCCAAGTTACTGAACCCCATCATCGTGTACACATTCAAATGGATGTTTATTATCATTCTACAACAACAACAACACCTCCATATGCAGCTATTTTGTTTGGGCTATTTATTGTTCTTGCCGTTCAATTTTTAATGTTGGTTGGCGTTTTGCGTTGTCGACAATTTCTTTCAGCAAAGCAGGAACATGAAATGGCTATGAAAGTTGCTGAAATGAGTGTTTGTTTTTTTAATTTGGTGTTTTTAATAATTTATTTTGTAAATGCCTCACTGTGGGTCCTCCCCTTCCCTTCAGTCCACAAGATTTTTTTCTAAAATTAATTACCCAATTTTTTAAGAAAACTCAATATCCAACCATTCAAATTGTTTTTGCTTCTTCTGGCGGCGGTACTGGATCTTTTAGAAATCCAGCACCTCAAAATGGCATTATTCTAAATCCTCCCGTATTTAATCCATCTTCTACTACTGCTAATAATTATTCTTCTCCAATTCCACAAACGCCTTTTCACAATAAAAATGATGATGAGTCATCAAATTCTTCCCCAACAACAGCTTCAAATTCGTCTCCAATTCCTCCAACACCTTCGCATAATAATTCAAATAAACAATCAAAGGAGCCACCAATGGAGAATATTATTATTTGAAGGAATTTCCTTTGAGGTGAGCAAGAAGAGGAAAGGTTCTGAAGTGAATTTTTTAAATAAAAATTTTTCTTCCTTAACATTAAATTCAAATTTTTATTTTTTTAACAGGTCTATTTACTTACACAATTTTTTTCATTTTATAGCTTTTTTATTTATTAAATGGCCTGTATTTTAATCATACGGTCTGACCTCACTAGATACTTCTTTTATTAGATACACCCTCAATTCAAAATACGTTTTGGTTGGTTACTGAGATATACCCCTATGCTAGGGATATTCCGAAACACATTTTAAAAAGCGAAAGGCGTTCCACCAAACTGGAGAAAGATCATCTATTCGACGAAATGCGAAACGCACACCCCTGTCCTATTCAAATATCCCGTTGGTCGATTCTTTTTTTAAGATAAACTTTATTTTATAGGATGCAATTTTTCAACCCTAAGGAGTTACCTAAAAGTGAGGTCCGACTATTTAAAATAAATGCATAACATTAATTCATTTGTTGTTACAACCAAATATTTTTTTTAATTTAACAAAATTATTGCAATTCTTTGCTAAAAATTTTTTTCCTAAAATAAATATAAAATATTCCTTTTTTTAAGTTTTTAAAATTTGATTAATATTCAATTTTATTATCTTTAATTTTTTAAATTTTTTTATTAATTTCTAGTATTTTTATATATAAAAATGGAAGGAATGCCAAGAGCCCCAATGGTTGCACCAGATATGAGAGTACCTTCTCAAGCATTTCCTGAACAGTTAAGACCTGCTATTAAAGAGGTTTTCTTAATTTTTTATTATTTGAAAATTTCTGTTTTTAAGTACATTGCTTCGCATTTTCATGATAATCCGAATAAATATGATTCATCGCTGGATGAATTGGAACATTTACGAACGGTTTTAATTTTTCTTTTATGTTCTCACAATCAGAGTCCAAGTTTTATTAGGTCTTATTTACGACTTATTTTACCATAAAAGTTATTTTCAGAAGTAGGGGAATTATTCCACTAGGAGAGAGATTCGTTAAAATTTGTATGACCTAGCGTGAATAAAACTTGCTGACTTTTGAAGGAAAAGAACCTTTTTTAAAAAAATTAATTAAAGGTTGTTAGTCATTGTCGTGTTGATGTTGAAGCTATTTGTATTTCTAAACGTTATTTTGCACAATTATCAATGATGAAAAAACGTTTTCCAATGGAGGAACATGATCCAATTTCGATTCCTTTTGCCTGGTTTTTTAAGATTTTTCTTTTAAATTTTTTTTGTTTTTTAAGGACTGACCGAGGTTTTGATTTAATGAATCAAGTAATCTATGAAGACGTTAATTTTGAAATGTGTTGTGTTATGTTAAATATTGGAGTGGCACATGCTTTGGTTGCAGCGAATGAATCACGACTTGAAATGGATGTATATAAATTTTTAATTAAAAGAATTTTTCTCGGCAAATGTTTTTCCGAAATTTTTTTGCCTTCGCCCTCTTTCTTTTCTCCTTTCATAAAAATAAAAAAATTCTTTTTTAAGAGTATCAAAAATGCTTTTATGCATTTTCAATGGGCTTCTTGGCCGCTTCAACATTTGAGAGATCATATGGGCGCTTCACGTTTTACTCTCAGCGATTTTGAATCTCCTTATTTGACGTTTTATTTAAATATATTTTTGGTTTGTTTTTGTAAGGAAATGCTTTTTAATTAAAATTTTTAAAGGCTCAAGCACAAGAATGTATGTTAGAAAAATCAATGATAGATCATCGAAAGCCTGTTGTTATTGCTCGTGTTGCACTCCAAACACATGTAATGTATCGAAATTGTGAGGCTTATTTGAAGTCTTCAGGAATTTCTGATTTACTTTCTTCAAGCAAATATTCGGTTAAAAATTTTATTTTTAAACTAGGGTTGGACACAAACAGTTATCTGACCCGGAACTGAACCATTAACCTGTGTACTTGTCGAATCAACGGGAACCTAGGCCGGTGATAATCGAAAACCGGCGACCAAAAACCGCCCAGTTTCGTTTTAAGAATACACCCCTAAAGATTGAATTTCTTGGGAACAGGTCTCAGTTAACCGAGACATCGAAGGTAATGGTTAATAATCGGTGTCCAACTTTATTTTAAACAACTTTGTGTCCAACCTCATTTTAAACGAAAATAAAAAATTTCTTTTAAAGGAGTTAGAACGTTTTTGTACAACAAAATCATTTCTATATTCTGCCCTCTACAATTATTATTTGGGACAACAAGCTGAAGATGAAAAACAATCTGGAACACGTTTATTTTACTTTTCGCGTGCTTTGGATTTGATAAAATTAGCACAAAAAGCTGTTGAAAAAGAAAAGAAGAAACAACAACTTGGAGAAACTGTGCAATTTGCTTTTGATGTTATTTTACTTTGGTAATATTTTTTAAAATAATTTTTAAACTTGGTGCCTGTGAATAAGGTGTCCGTTTATTTTGGACATTTCTTGTGGACTTTATCTATCAGGGCCCGAAACCCGGTCGTGTTTTTTTTTTCAATTTTTTGCTTTTTCAACTTTTTTCAACCCGGAATCCGACCCGAGCCCAAACCCGAAGAAAATTTTAGAAGGACCCGTCTTTTTTCTCAAACCATGGTATCCCTTCTCCCCAGAACTACAATAAATGTCCTTTAATTTTAATCATAAAAAATATTTATTTAAAGTGAAGAAAATGCTCGTAAAGAAAATAATTTTATTTATCACGAAAGAATTCCATCAGAAGATGAATTAACAAAATATGAAGGTGTAATGATGGTTAAACCTTTAAGTTTTGATCCTTGTGATCCTTCTATTGCTGGTGATGATTTATTCCGTGAATTACTTCCAAATGATGTTGTCAAGACAATTTCATTATATAGCGAAGAAAAAAATAAATTTAAAAGAGAAATACTTGATTTGGTTGCACAAAAGGATTCGGAATTGGAGTAGGTTTGATAAATAATTTGGTTAAGTGTATTAAATGTAAAGATTATATGGAAATGGAATAGGGTTCGAATCCTTTCAGTTGAAAACTTTATTTTCTTTCATTAATTTTGTAAAATCCGTCTCTTGAAGTAGTTCTTTTTTGGTTTAAAAATTATAAAAAAAATTTGTAATTTTGAATTTTTGTAGAAATTACTTAATTTCAATGAAGTTTGATCAACTAGAATTGGATAGACCTTCAGAAATGGTTCGACTACCAGATGAACTTTTAACGGCGAGTGCAGCTTTAGCAGCACAACCAGATCTTTTCTGTGATTTACTTGATAATTTTCAAAGTTTTTTTTAAATTTTTAATAAACAAAAAATATTTTTCTTTAGAAGTTTCTTCATTAGCTACAGAATCAGAAACAAAATTGTCAGAATTAAAGCAAAGGATGGGAAAAGTAACAGATTCTTTTTTTACGAATGACCAAGGATTTATTGCGATAAATCGCAAATTGGATGAACTTACTAAACATGAAGCACAAGCAAAGTTTTTGTTTTTTTTAATAATTTTTTAATAAATTTTCTTTTAAGAGAAAATAACACAGAACTTCAAAGAGCGATGGCTACACATTCTAGTAATCTGAAGATGCTTAGTATTCCATTACCCGAATTGACAAAGAAAATTTGTGGAGATTTTACAAATCCAGGTTTTAAATAATATTTTTTTTTTGAAATTAGAATGTTTGTTTCTGGACTATGTCGTGTCCCATAAATGTGTTATTTTGAGGGTTTTAATATTTTCCCAGCCCTGGTAGCTTTAAGCCCAGACCAGGGGTGTCACTGGTTGAGAAAAAGTTTGGGGCCATGTCTAAAAAGTCCTGTTTCGGGTACCCGTGGCATTACTGACCCAGACTCCAAAAAATCTTACAAGAACCAAAAGCAAATATTAAAACCTAAAATCAAATAAACACCATGAGACATGACATGGATCCCAGAAGCAAAATTCTAATCTAAAAAATCCAATTTTTAAATTTTAGGCGACTCTCCAGAAGGCAAAGAACTTCGCCGTGTTATTGATAAGGTCGACGAAATGCGTTCTCAACGTTGTACTTTAATTAAACAATTACGTGATGATCTGGAAATGGATGATATTACAAAGAGAGCATTAACTGAAAGAGAATTAGATTCAAAACAATTATTTGAAAATGAACTACTAAAACACAAAAAATTAAAAGAATTAATTGAACAAAATTTGCGTGCACAAACATTTATATTGAAGTCGTTGACTGAGAAGAATGCAAATTTTGCTGATTGTAGGAGGCAAATTTTGGAAGCAAATGAAAGGTTTTTTTAATTTTTAATGATTAAAATTTTGAGTTTACCTCTGAAGACCTCCTACTAAATGCCTATTGCCTGTGAGGACCTACAAAAGGGAACATTGGGGGGATATCAATGGATTTGGTGTGATTGAAGGGAATCGAGATCTCTCTACTCACCCCAGAGTTGTAGTACACACTCACAATACCTTTAGGTTCTAAAATTTTTACCTTTCATAGAGCTGGTGCTTATCCCCTTTAAACCTTCAATATTCACCTTCAAACGTTACAGGTTCTTCAGATTTGATCCCAAAAATTTTTATTTAATAATTTAAAAAAAAATTTTAAGTCGTGCATTGCAATCCCTTACTTTAGTAACTGCTTATCAAACATTTATTGATATTGTCGAAAAAACAAATAAAGCATTGGAATTTTATGATCAATTGTTAAAAGTATTAATGGCTTTGGAACGTGGTGTAAAGAATATTGAAGAAATTAGTTTTGTTTTTTTTTTAATTTTTTGAAAAATTTTTTTATTTTCTCTTAAAGATAATCAAATCACACTCGAAAAGGAGAAAAAACGCCAAGCTGAAGATTCGAGGCGACGGGCAGAAATGGCTGCACATGAAGAGAAGTTAAGAAAGGAAGAAGCTGCAAGAGAAGCTGCGCGTACAATAAATGAATTCCGTTTTAATCGAGTTTAAAAATGTATAAAAAGGATTTCTATTTACATGTAATGTGAATAAATACCTAAATTTTTAACATACAAATATACTAATTTGTTGATTTTTAATCGATTTTTTCGAAAATTACTAATTTTACATTATTTTAAGGGACTAATTTTTCTATCATTTTTTTGTTACTACCGAATTATCCTCAATTTTTCTTTTCTTTCCTCCTCCTTTTTTAATAGTAAAAATGGTAAGAATAGTCCACTCTGAATCAGCGACACTGAATTGGCTTCTTTAAATCGGCGACTTTGAATCGTCCCTTACCCCCCAAAACGGCGCGCGACCATAACGGCGCAAAGCCATAACTTGCTTCTAAATTTCCGAATCTCGATAAATTTAGTATTGAACGATTCAACTCATCGAGCTAAATATTTTGATACCAGAATTGATAAGGACCATAAGTTTTTCAGCAAGTTATGGCTTTGCGCCGTTTTGGCCGCGCGCCGTTTTGGGTCTTTCACCCGTTTTTCTCACATTCGAGAAATTTTTGTTTTTCAAATCTTATAATATTTATTTGTATTTTTTTTTAAAAGTCGCTTTACTTATAATTTTTTCATTTAAAAACGTTGTGAATTTTTCTTTTTCGTTTAGTTTTTAGCAAAATGGATAAAAATCCAATGTCTTCGCAATATGAAATTACTTCAGCTTTATTGAAGCAAGAACGGGAAAAGAATAAGAAATTGTTAGAAGAAAATCAAAGGATGAAATTGTCAATGCCCAAATTACAAGAAATGGAACAATTAAAGCTCGCAAAAGAAGTAAATAAGAAGATGAAAGCAAGAATGGATTTAATGCAGAAAAAATATCAAGAAAAATTGAAAGAATTACATGAAAAATTGAAAGATTTACATGAAAATCCAATATCTTCGGAGCTTGTTACAAACTACAGAAGAGTAACAAATTTATTTGAGCTAGAAAAAGACAAAGCCAAGAAACTGGAAGAAGAAAAAGATGTGATGAAATCTTCACTGCCTCACTTATATCAATTTCAACTTGAAGCAAAGCGAGAAAAGGAAGAGAATAAGCAATTGAAAGCAGAAATGAATACAATGAAGATTAAATTAGACCAATTACAATCTCTGGTTGATTGGCAAGATCGACGTGAGATGTATGGCCTTGAAATATTTCAACCGAAAATACATCAACTTCCCGATAGGAATATGGAAATGGAGGTTTTGTTTATTCTTTTTTTTTAGATATTTTTGACTGTAGAATGATTTGTTTCCATCCCCCTCCCTTCACTCAAACTTTCTACCTGGGTGAGAGCTTTCTTAGGGCTTTTCTGACCAATAAGATAGCCTAGCTCTGAGGTGCCTTTAGTTTTATTAGTGAAAATACGGTTTGGGTGAAATGTGCGGACTGCGGACACGGGGTGAGAAAACCAGCTTTTTATAGGTGTTTAAGCCATCCCTCGTCTAACATAAGTTTTGTAAGGATTTATTCTTACATTTGAACTGAAAATAAATAAATATATTCTATGTTTTTAAGGAGGACTCGTTTATGCTTGAACCGTTACAAGAAGAACAACCCAAATTACAAGAAGAACAACCCAAATTACAAGAACAACCTCGCAAGGTCTCAACGTTTAGCTTGTTATTTGATGGGAGTCCCGAAGATCTGGCAGAGCCAGAAGTCTTTAGAATGCGTGATAAGGTTTATTTTTTGTAATATATTAACTTATTAATTAATATATTTTTGCAGATTCCTGTTAAGAAGCCTCTACAAAAAGAATTGAACATGCCACCAAAAGTTCCAGCAGCTCCAATACCAAAAGTTCCAGCAGCTCCTTTGGAGCAGCAAAACATCTCAACGACAAAAGAAGCAAAAGAACGAGGCAGAACTGATATTAAGATTAAGGTTATTAAATTAATTTACTAAAACTTTATGATTTTATCTTTTAAGCCTGCTAATCAACAAAGCAACAAAAATGATGGGAAAATTCAAAAAGAGAATCCGAAGGTTAATATTTTGTTTATTGGGGAATTTATTTATGACAGATTTTGACATCCGCTAAATTAAATTATTAACTTGACGGATTTTGGTACTTGTGGGGTATCCCAAACCAGTTATTGCGGATAATTTATGCGGACAAGTATTGGTACACACACATGATTAGGTTCTTATTCTTGAAGATGATGAATCATAGTATAGAGACTGATAGAGGCAAAGAAAATCAGTTTTCAGAAAACCTCACCCATTTGCATGTCCATACAAAACTGCTTTCTCCAAAATGTATTTTGGAAGCCCCTCACTTCATTTTGCCCCACACCTTGTATGCATATCTTTTCTTTATTGGTGAATTCATTTAAATGATGCCACAGGGGAAATTTGGTAAAATCGAGGAGGGAAAACCCTTTGACCATTCCGTACATGAGTCCGCATAAATATGTCCGCAAACACTGGTTTAGCATAACCCACAAGTACCCAGTTTTATACGATATATGATTTGCGGATACAATTTTAATTTGTTTATTTTTGCAGAAGAGAGTTGCTGATGAACACATTGTTAATGAACGCCACGCCATTAGAAAAATTCGATTTGTAGACGAAAAAAAACAAAAGGAAAAAGAAGTTTCAACAACAACAAAAGAAAAAGAAGGAAATGCTAAAGAAAAGGAGTCTATTCCTGTTAAGAAGCCTCTACAAAAAGAATTGAACATGCCATTAAAAGTTCCAGCAGCTCCAATAATTACACTAAGTAGTCCTTTGAAGCAACAGAATATCTCAACGACAAAAGAAGCAAAAGAACGAAGCAGAACTGATATTAAGATTAAGGTTATTAAATTAATTTGTTACAGCTTTATGATTTTATCTTTTAAGCCTGCTAATCAACAAAGCAACAAAAATGATGGGAAAATTCAAAAAGAGAAGCCGAAGGTTAATATTTTGTTTATTGGGGAATTTATTTTAGAGAGCTTTTTGGGAATCCAACGGCCATTCAATTTTTCGATTTATCTTAACCTAAGATTTATTATGTTTGGATGGTTTCCTACTGAAATTTCACCCAAAAATTGGATTGTTTATTTCTAATTGCGATTTTTGATTAACCTTTTTTCTTTTTCAGGAGAACAAAATCAAGAATCCAAACGGAAAGGTGCGGAAATTAAATAATATATTTAAATATAATTTTGATTTTTAGTATATCTCGGAAGATGAAAGGGAGAGAAGAAGACGTGAAAAAAGATTAAGGTGGAAAGATGAAAAAAAGACGATGAGGGAACAATTCAAGAAGATGAAGAAAATAAAAAATTAAATGATTTATTTTTGTTATTTTTACAAGGGAATCTCTATATAACGACGTTTATTTGGTCAGTATTTCTGTCCCGAAGTCTACTCAACTCTAAAACGGCTAAAACAATGTCGGTGTATAGAGACTCCATTTATTGACATTCTTGCTTCTATTTTTTATTTTAAATTTAATAAACAAATTTCCAATTTAAAATTAGAAATCCATAAATCGGTTTAAGACCGTTATATCTTTACCATTTAACAATATTTGTTTCAGAATTCAAAAATTTGCGCTATTTGGCATAATGCAAAACATTAAGGATAAATGACACTTCATCCCAAAAATCAATAATCGATTTTTGATGTGTCATTTAGTGTTCTCTGTTGTCCATTTATAGCTAAAGTGTTCTACAACTTGGAGCGTGTCTTTTCCTTTTTTTGGGGATTAACATTTTTAGGGATCTGGGGTAGTATTGAGTTGCGGACAAGACTTGCACTTTATAATTTTTAAAATATTAATACAATTTTTTTAGTTGTTCAGCAGCCGATACAAAACGTTTGTTTAGGTTTAATTCTTAAAAATAGAATCCCATTTTTAGTATTTGGAGCGGAGCAACAAAAGTCCCATTATTTGCTTCGGCAACATCTGGGCAGAAAAAGTCCCATTATTAGCTTCGGCTACATCTGGGCAGAAAAAGTCCCATTATTAGCTTCGGCTACATCTGGGCAGAAAAAGTCCCATTTTTAGCTTCGGCTACATCTGGGCAGAAAAAGTCCCATTATTAGCTTCGGCTACATCTGGGCAGAAAAAGTCCCATTATTAGCTTCGGCTACATCTGGGCAGAAAAAGTCCCATTATTAGCTTCGGCTACATCTGGGCAGAAAAAGTCCCATTATTAGCTTCGGCTACATCTGGGCAGAAAAAGTCCCATTATTAGCTTCGGCTACATCTGGGCAGAAAAAGTCCCATTATTAGCTTCGGCTACATCTGGGCAGTCTGGCTCCACTCCAAATAGTGCAACGATTAAATTCCAGTGCTCTCATCTACATGGTATGCTTTTTTACTTTATTAAATATCCGCAAGTCTTGTCCGCAACGTTACCCCCTAAATAAGTCTGTCCTTTCCCAATGTTAAAGCCAACAAATGGTAGCCAGAGCGAGAAGACGTACAGCAAATGTCCCATTGGTTATATGCATTGATTTGCTTGGTTTGAATGGTTGATCTTTTGATAGGTTGTTTTTATGTTTAAAGGTTTTTTAATAACTGAATTTTTAGCTTCGAGAGAGTGTCCAGCAGAAGCTGTTAAAATTTTTAAGAGGTTATTTTTAATCATTCACTATGGGTTTTAAGATTATTTGTAGGCCTGTGAATTGTTGCAGGAAGGCCGTCTATTTGATGAGTATGCTTCAGAAGAACAAGAATCGGCAGAAAAAATGGCTGAAGAACTCCAATCTCTTGTTAGAATTCAGCAAATCAGGTTTGGAGATTAATTGATTGGTTTGATTATTGGGTACTTGTGGGTTATCCCCCGGGCTTTTTTGCGGACATTTTTTGCGGACACATTTGCGCATAATGGCAAGAGTTTCTCCCTCCCTCTCTTTTATGCACATGTCAACTAATCAAGATTTACCATTATGTACAAATGTGTCCGCAAAAAGAAGTCCGCAAAAAAGTCCGGGGAATAACCTACAAGTACCCTTTTATCAATGTTTAAATCTCCGTCCATTTGCTTTCCTTGGGTATTGTGACTTGTAGGGTGTTTTTTTGGCCCATCCGATTTCGATAAATTT